AACAGAGGAGGCCAATATATGTACAGGGATTTTGAAACATACTTGCTTGTCAAATTCGTACAAAAAATCTGATACAAACTCAGACATCTCAGTAGAATGGAGTTGTAAAACGATGTAACAAAACGATAATCAAGAAGTCTCGAACAATGGCACTCAAAGCTCTACTATACTCATTACTTCGGAATGAAACAATTAATATAACAACTTTTCTAGTGAACATTGATCCAACAAAAAAATCATGAAAAGACATAGTTTGACATAATCCATGGTAAAAAACCAATATGTCAAATCTTAGAATAGCTTGGAAGCATAGTTCATGTTCATATTTCAAAGAAATAATCTAGTAAAATGGGAAGTAAATCACTACCATGCATGTTGATTGGCTATGACTGTGAGTCAAAAGCATTAAAAGTATATTGTCAAAAACGTAAAAAGTTTTTATCACTAGAGATATTGTAACCCATGAGAGTAGAATCAAATTCTTTGAACTGAAAAATGATAAGACATGTGAAGAAGACATCTTTCCGGCATTTCCTAGAAATGATAATGAGCAGGTTGAAGTTGATTAAGCAGGAATTAATATCAAGTGCTGGTTCATCTAATGAACAAGTTGAAATTGAAAAAATGATATCAAGTTTAAGTTGAACATGAAAGTGATGTTCAACTTAAAGTTTTTTAACTAAGCGGCAATAATAACGAGTTTGTTGATGAAGAGATACACACTCCGAAGCAACAAACCATGAAGCTGAATCTTTTCCAACTTCACGGATTTATGAACAAAAATAAAAAAGTACTATGTGTACTAAAAGTAACCCTAAAAGAGAAAGTTTTCCAAACTCCAGAAACTTATGGACATTGACAACACATGAAGATACATTCACATTTTAACAAGAAGCGTCACATGTAAATTAGAGAGATACAATGAAACAATAGGTTGAATCCATCAACAAGAATCAAAGATGGGAGATTCTTTACACAATTTTTCTTGGAATCACTCCAATTACAACAAAGTGAGTTCATAAAACCAAAGTTGGAGCATCACTAGAAGTTGTGAGTCTTAAAGTCAAGGTTGTTAGTTATAGGATGTTAGAGTATGTAAAATTTTTTGATATTTTTGCTTCGGTGATAAAGTGACCACTATACAAACAATATTTTCCTTAGTTGCAAACAAAAAGTGAAAGATTTGTTAACTTGATGTAAAGACATACTTCTTAAATGACAAGCTAGATGAAGATGTGTACATGTATGTGCAAGATGGCTTTGATAGCTCTCAAGAAACAAAGTGTGTAAATTTTTCAAAGCTCTCTATGACATTTGACAAGAATCAAAGGTCTAGTATGAGAGAGTATTAGGCTTTTGATGTAGTAATATGTACATCAAAGTAAAATGTTGACCAAAAAAAAGGTCAAGCTGATACTAATATGTATTACTCAGTCCTTGATATCAAGTATGCAATTGTGCTAGTTTATGTTGATGATTTGTTGCTTGTTGGAGATAGTTATGATGAACTTAACAAAATCAAAAATATTCTTACAAGTAAGTATGATATGATAAGTTTGGATGATGCAAAGTTGTTCTTAGAGTCAAAATTGGAGCAAATAGAGACTAGAATCTATTTGCATCAACGAAGTTTTATAGAAAAACTTCAAGAAAAAATTAATTTAGAGACCTATAACTCAATTTGTCTTCCAATGGCTTATGGATTGCACTTACAGCGTCATATAATAACACCAAAAGTTGATGCTACATTATATTTGTCATTGGTTGGATCACTTATATTAGTCGCAACGATTTCAATACCCGATATTAGCTTTGCAGCAAATAGCGTATGTCGATATATGTAGCATCCCCAATAAATTCATTGGGCTGCTGGAAGTCAATTTTGTGTTATTTGAAGGTAATGATAAATTGAGGTCTTCACTTCAAGCAACATGGAGTTTATTAATCAAACCTTTGTACACTTTGATTATGGGATGAATGTTGATATTTGAAGATCGACAATTGGAATTGTTCACAAGCTTGAAAGTACCACAATTGATTTGAGTAGCAAATTGCAATCTACAATGACGATGTGAAGTATTGCGGTTGAATATACTACATTTTTTCAGGTTGCAAAAGATATTGTTTTCTTATGCAGATTATTAGTAAAGCTAGGATTAGGCGAAAAAAGAGCAATTTTACTTTTAAGCGACAACTAGTCTTGCATCAAACTAGTAGTAAATCCTATTCTGCATGTGAGAACAAAGTATGTAGATATTCAATATCACTCCATAAGAAAAATAGTAGAATCATGAGACTTACAAGTCAATTATGACTCGATATCCTATTCTGCATGTGAGAACAAAGTATGTAGATATTCAATATCACTCCATAAGAAAAATAGTAGAATCATGAGACTTACAAGTCAATTATGAATCGATAGATAAACAAGAAGCAAAACCATCAGACATAGTAAAATTTACAATGAATCGAGAAGGTTTGGAAAAAATAGAGATCTCAACATTTTCAGATGTTCACGGAGCAAGGAGTATGTAAGAAGAAACACTTCCTTAAAAGCATGATGTGGGAATTACACTGTTGTGTAGTGGTGGAGTCAATTTAGGTAGTGATAAATAGGGAGCAGGCAGCTAAGGTTAACTAACTAAGTATTGGTGGTATGAATTGCGAAGTGTATATAGAGAAGTACTGAGACAATAAACAGAGAACATTGTTTTTCTAAGAGAAAACTTAGGTGGATAGATAAGAATGTGGGTGAATAAATACACATATACATAACCATCATGGTTTCATCTTGACCCACTTCAACCCTACAACAGTAAAATTCCAATTCTCGTCATAATCTATGGTACATCACATGAAACTATTACACCTTGTCTAAAATTATTAATCGTAAAGGACATATATACGTCATGCAATGCAATGTCGAATTTCATGTCTCCTACAACCATCTCTAAAGCTTAATACCAAAGGAGCTAAGAATTACATCTTCATTTTATCACGGGAGTGTTTTCATGCTAATGGGGTATCACTTTGAGGACTGGACTTTTTCCAGCTGGAAGTTGATGAACTTTAGTTATTTGATTTAATAATTAAAACTAATCTATATGTAGTAAGGGTATTTAAGTGTATACCTACTTATTTCTACTCTTTGATAAAACACGATCACGGTTTCTAAGTTTTCGTGGATCAGAAGCATTGAACACATAAGAAGGTACTCGAGGGCTTGCAATAATTGCGAATTTGTGTGTAGGCAGGCATGCAGGCAATGGAAGGCAATAGGCGATGGTCGAAAACCAGCACTGACGTTGAATCGATGTCACTCTACGATCGATCGCTCGACGTACTTCGATGTCGAGCGATGGAAGAATATGGCGAGGATGGATCTTGATGGAGATTGATGCGGGAATTCCCAATTAAATTTTCGAATTTCTGTTTTCGCTCATGGTGCGGCCTCGGGCGTGAAGCTGATGCGGAGGGAATCGGACGAATTCGACATGCAAAGGATTTCTCGCGGCGGGCGAAGCGCGAGGTGTTGTAATCCGCCGTCGCCGCAGTACGTGTCCCGGTGGATCGTGTCGAGATGAGAAGGATGGTCCGGTGCCTTTGGAAAGGAGGCATGGACGCGGCGCTGCATTGAGGAGTCGTCGTCTGACGATGCGCTCTCTGGACGAATCTGATGGTCGTTTCGAAGTTGAGTTCAGACGCAGCTCTGCAGGCTCCAGGGCATCAACAGCAGCAGGAATCTCGGAAGAAGAAGAGTTTCACATGGTTACGATGGAGCATGGACGATGTCTGCGAGTTGTCCACGAAAGGCCGAATGTTCTATTGACAGAACTTCGTTGATGCTTGGCCGCCATGGCCCTTTCGCTCCGAGACGATGTGCTGTCCTTCTATTTCTCGCTGAAGAGACGTCTGGGACATGGACCTCCTCCGCCTCGGGCCGCAATCCTGCTTTCACGCCATGTGGACTACTTCGCCTGCCGGACTCGATGGATCGGCTGTCGGCTCGAAACCTCCAGCATGGAGCTCACAATTCGCATCGATCACCGATGGTCGTCCACATTTCGAAACTGACTGTTCAATGGCTTATAAAAAGAAAACCGATTATAAAGTGAAATTCTCGCAGACGCGGATTGCAGAGAAGTTCAACAATGTGGAACTCTTGGCCACTATGCGACACGTGAATGTAGACGTGGTGTGGACGATCGTAAAGACAAGTGGTAATAAACAGTCCAAAGAAAGAAGGCCACTGAAGGTCGTAACCAATTTGGATGTGGGAAGTGTGGGGTTGGGGTTCGCTGCTACAAACACAGAGGCTCGAGGGAATAAAGGACCGATCATGCCCAAGGCCGATCAGTCGTGCTCCAGTTCACCTGTTGTACGAGTCTAAAGCGGCTGAGACGCAAGACGGTCTTCAGAAAATTGCAGGTTTCTGCTCACTGTGAAACAGTGAACGAGGTCGAACCAAGTTTAGTACGAGATATATTTGACACACGAAGGGCCTGAGGCACAGGATGGCAGGGAATCGACGTACGTAAAAATCAAATGAAGTCCGAGAATAAAAATCAAGCCTGCATAACTGACTAGGAATTCGAAAGTAAGCCCATCGGACTCACAGTAGTCGAGAAAATTCGCTGATTGAAGAGGTTGCAAAAATCCAGAAACGAAGATAAGTTTAGAAGGGTGGGGTTGACCACTCTCGGCCTCTAAATCTGACGGCAGTTTGTAAACAGCTCCAAACATTCTGCTCTGTAGACTCGCACGAGTTTGCGGGTCATGCATACGCGTCGGGGAACGTGCGACCTTTTGACATACATCGGCTGAAACAGCGCATCGCTCTCCACGGAACCATTCTCTGTGATCCTGCGAGTCATTCGCATATGCGTGCGGATGCACAAACGCTTGCGCATCAGTTGTGTACTTCCTTACTATGCACGCTGTAGCTGAATTATGTTCATCAAAATGTGGCCCGATTGACCTCACCTTTCACTGTCTCTTGGCGGGACCGATTCAAATCAGCTCATTCCACAAATTCAGGATTGTTCTTTGGAAAGAACAGTTCCCCATCAAATATGCTCGTCAGCTTTGTCTTTGCAATCTAAGCAGATGATGATGATGATGATGATGATGATGCGCGTAGCGTAGCTGGTGCGGTGCATATCTGGCATCGCTTCAGTCGCGACCTCTTCGAGTTTAGCTCGTAATCGTTCACTCGAGCTCGTTCGCAGTGGAACCGGACGCAGTTCTGGATGAATCTCGTGGGCGAAGCCGTGTATGGTGCTTGCGAGCATCAGCCACGTGAGCCGGATTTGTTGGAGTGTCGGTTGGTCCTAGAGTGAGGGAGGTGCCTTTGTGTCATTTTGTATGTCGAAGTGCACAGTATGAATCTTCATCAAGCAGAGAGCTTTGTGTCAGTATAAGTCTCTGAAGGTCCGCAGACATGACAACAGATTGTGTCTTTAGAACTCAAGCTTGACAGGCCGTACTGAATAGAATTACCGACAGAGGTGGCTTTATTCGATCACACAGTTTAGAATTTCTTTGCTTCTTATGTAGATCCAGTGGGAACAACACTTCAGAGTTCACCAGTCATTGAACTCTGAAGTTATTCACCTCGATTCAGTATAGCTGTAACTCAGCGTCGAGTGGTAAACAATTGTTTGATTGTAAAGGGTGGAAAGAAGGGCCACTGAGGACTTGGGCCATTGAGGACTTGGGCCATCGACTGCAGCGATTTCGAGATTTCTGAATCACTGCATTGTCAATTCGGTAAGAGACAGAAAAGACTATCATTTGACTGAACTTTTTGTGAGAGCTCTAGAAGAGGCACCGATTCTAAGTTTCTTGGCCGCTTTTTGGCTCCACTTCGGCACACTCCTTTACACTGCAAAGTGCCAATGCAGTTTCAATCGACTGCATCGAGAGTTTCTATATGTTTCAGTCATGTCAACCTACCCAATATAATTGTAGTACCTCGATCATCCCATACATCAGTTCGCATCTGCTTATAGGATTTTCGATCTCCATCAGCATGCGCATGTCTTTAATTGTAATGAGTCAAAAACTACTTCTCCTGAAGATATCACAAGAGATCGGTTGCTTTCTCAGAAGAAATCGATGCAATTCCGAAAAGCACTTGTTTTGCATTCATTCACATTTCAGCACATGGGAGTATCAAGCACCGATTACAAGTCGATCCTTACTCCCGAAAGGTCCAGTTTGTCGGAGGTGCACTTCGATGTGAATTGATATTCGTTTGTAAATAATGACTCCGGTTGTGTAGAATCAGAATCAGAGGATGGTGCAATTTTGGTGCTGTGATTTGTATACTTACACATGCTCAACTGGATGGACCATTGCAGCGGTGACCTTATAAATATTTCGGTGGAACATCTGGAAGACAGCTTGGCTCCACCAAAATGCGTATATTATGGCTCGCGGCAGTCCTGATTGCCGTCGTAGCAACAGCAACCGAAGCTCAGCTCACAAGTGATTTTTATGCCACTACTTGTCCAACAGCTGTTAAGACCGTCGCTGACCTTGTCGGGGCAAAAATCCGAAAGGACGGGACAGTAGCAGCAGGCTTGCTCCGGCTGCAATTCCATGACTGCTTCGTTCGAGTAAGTGTGTCAAACTCAAAATGCAGCACATTGATGGAGGGTATTGGTTGCAGAACTGTACCATTCGAGATGAGAATTTAAACCTGGATTTTTTCACCTAATCTTTCCGTGAAGAACGATAAATCGAAAGTGTGTTCGTTTTGTCGAAAGGTTAGAATTGTTCAAAAAGCGAACGAAGGAAACTTGTTCCAGATCTTAGTCCTGCAACTAGTAACTTACACACTTGACAATCAAAGCGAAGAGTGATGTTTGCACTGACTCAAGTCGAAGAGAAAATAATGTTACTCATCAGTACTGAGTCCTCTAAGTTCAAGGATTAAGTTCAATGGAAATGCTGATCCCGTGTCCCAGTGGAACATGGAACGGAGCTTATATTCCACCGAAACTGACAATGCCATTTTTTCAAAGCGAGAGCGTTTGAAGAATGGCATTGTGAGGCGCATGATATAATGTGTTTTTAGAATTATTCAGTATCCTACTATCGTGCAGTTATCGGATATTCAGAAATTTCGTGGCCATGGTATAGCTTGTCTACAGGAGCAGCTCTTGTAGTTATGAGATTGAAGAGAAAACGCCTTGTTCTAAGATCATACATGCGTATTCCAGGGCTGCGATGCGTCGTTGCTTCTTGATTCAACATCAAGCCCTCCTAATGTGGCTGAGAAGGAAGGCATACCGAACATTAATTCTGTAAGAGGATATGAAATCATCGATGAAGCCAAGGCGATAATTGAAGCTGCGTGCCCTGGAGTCGTCTCATGCGCTGACATTATTGCTTTAGCATCTCGATATGCAGTCAATGCGGTGAGTAGTATGTCCACTGACTACCTCGTAGTAGCGTTCCAGCATATACATGTTCCAAAATTTGCAGACTTTCATATTCTCTGACACGCCGTCACGATTATTGACACGATTCAACGGAAACTTCAGATTTAGCACTGTGAAATGCTGAGTTTCGATTTTGCCTTCAATGGAAATGCTGATCCCGTGTCCCAGTGGAACATGGAACGGAGCTTATATTCCACCGAAATCTCGAGTCTGTAGAGTTTAGCTTTAACGAAGCTGGAATGTGCAGATTGGTGGGCCTGGGTGGAATGTCCCTCTGGGACGCAGAGATGGAGTTGTATCTCTGGCCAGTGAAACTCTATTAAATCTACCACCACCTGACGCCACTTACGCGCAACTAGTGAGCATGTTCAAAACGAAGGGATTGACGGAGCGAGAGATGGTTATCTTATCAGGTTTGTTGCTCGAATTGGTGGACAGCTGCTTGGATTGAATGATCAGCGACATTAAGTCCCGTCAGCTTTATACTCCTCAAACATTTCTAAAACCTTTGCGCTATCAGCAACAAAATATTTCTGAAATACAATTTTTCTAATGTTGCGTGGTCTGCAGGTGGACACACGATTGGGAAAGTTCGGTGCTTATTCTTCCTGAATAGATTATACAACTTTCCTGGATCAGCAGACGGTGTGGATCCTACCTTCAACGCCACTTATGCTGCTGAATTGAAGAAAGTGTGCAAACCGGGAGACTTTACCACGAGAGTGCCCTTCGACCCCTCATTCGGTGGCAACAGATTCGATAGCAGTTTTTACACTGGTGTCAAGCAAGGCAAGGGAATTATCAAATCTGATGCTGTTTTGAGTCAAAACACGGCTCTGATGGACAGGTACTCCGCAGCTCCCATCATGCCTTTCTTCTGGGACTTTGCTCAGGCCATGGAGAAAATGAGCAAAATGGGTGTCTTGACGGGCACACAGGGAGAAATCAGGCTCAAGTGCAATGTTGTGAATCCTAAAACTGCCCCGCCACCCCCTGCTCCAATCACTGCACCACCACCTCCTGCTCCTGCTCCACCTACAGCAATCCCTCCACCTTCGACACCACCTCCATCTGCAGCAACCCCTCCCCCAGCAGTTCCAGTCACTCCTCCAGCTTCGATTCCTCCCCCACCTTCACTGACCCCTCCTCCAGCCACAGTTCCTCCCCCAGCTTCACTGACCCCTCCTCCAGCTTCAGTTCCTCCCCCGTCTCCAGCAACCCGTCCTCCACCCCCACCAGTTACAGTCACCCCTCCAGCTTCAGTTCCTCCTCCGTCTCCAGCAACCCGTCCTCCACCCCCACCAGTTACAGTCACCCCTCCAGCTTCAGTTCCTCCTCCGTCTCCAGCAACCCGTCCTCCACCCCCACCAGTTACAGTCACCCCTCCAGCTTCAGTTCCTCCTCCAGCTTCACTGACCCCTCCTCCAGCTTCAGTTCCTCCCCCAGCTTCACTGACCCCTCCTCCAGCTTCAGTTCCTCCCCCGTCTTCAGCAACCCGTCCTCCACCCCCGCCAGTTACAGTCACCCCTCCAGCTTCACCACCCCCAGCAGTTCCAGTCACCCCTCCAGCTTCAATTCCTCCTCCACCTTCAACACCTCCTCCATCTTCACTAACCCCTCCTCCAGCTTCACCACCCCCAGCATCTCCACCTTCAACAGCTCCTGCAGCTTAAGATCGAGTCTCATCTCCTGTTCCAAATTCTACTAACTGCACAACCTCGCCACCACCACCTCGTCCTCCTCCGATATTGACATTTATCCTCCACCAAATTCTCAGAAGTTTATTAGGAACTCCACGACCTCAACTCGGCAACTGACCTACAGAGGTTTGTAGTTTATTCAACTGCTCATGTTTCATAAGCTGTGACCCGAGTTCAAAGTAGTAGCTCCGGTAGCTTTCGATTCATTCAACATCACTGGATTCATAGTTAAAAGTAGAAATCATTCATTCGATTGACTCTCTATCCGCAATTGTGGAAGGAATAATGACTCGATCAAAGTCCTAGGTTCAAAGATAATATGAGTTGAAGATATGTCTCTGCTTCGTATTCTGATGCCTCTTTTGGCTCACTGGCTTACTGGCTTACTGGCTTGTAGATGGAGAACTGAAGATGGTCCACTTACATCTCCCAGGACGAACTTTCAGTGATTGGTGTGCCATTTTACTGATAATTGTCATCATCTCCCAGGACAAAGTCACAGTCATTTATTATGACGTTTTTGCTTAGTCATTAACTGTGTTCTACCTATTCTTTTTAGAGTAAAAAAATAAATACTTTGGTATCATATTCATCAGGAAGCTTCTTTGTTATTCTTCCTGGGACATGATCTATATGGATGTATCGAAACCTTTGAGATAATCATGCGCATACGTCTTACGACGAATTCCCATGTCGACATTGTTTCCTTTGGGATTAGAATATGTGTACCGGATGACGATATTTTCTTAGATGAACCTTTGCTCTCATTCATATCCAAAGGTTTCACTGTTTCACTTCATCTCCAATGCTTTATATTGACTGAACTATTATTCTCCTCTCACATTATAGATTCGTTTTAGTGTTCTCCTGTGACAGAAGTTGGAGTTATAACAATGAAATACCAGAGTTGACCAACCGATTAATCACTTCTATGGTGGACATTACAATCGAAGATTATGCTCACATGGCATCCCGCCATCTCCGGAAGTTATTGGTGCACAAATGAAGCAACATTCTCAGTAATCTACTATCATTCTATCTTCTGTTTTGAGAAAGTTCAATTGAGAATGAAATCTGCATATAGAACCTCGTAGTCTAAGCCGTGGTGGATTCAAATACGATACACGTGTAAATGGTATTTCACATATAAGCCTTCTATGACTCAATTTCGCGCTTTAAAAACATAACAATTAAATAATAAGGTCATTGGGTAAACTTTCATCCAGATTTTCAGATACGTATAGACTACAAGATAAGTGTAGACTCGTGGGTCACAACAATTGGCGAGTCAACCAATCGATTTGAGTTATCTACTCGGTACTTCAACCAAAATATATCTTTACATGAATGTCGTGAATTAAACGAAATTTCACATTTGTTTGCAAGATCAAGACAATGTTGTCGTGTATTATAGTTAGAAGAAATGCCACCTTTATACAATCACTGAATAATATTAACGATGAAAGAGTGAAGTTATTTGTTAATGTAAAAATTCAAAAATATGATCAACTAGGTATTAAATCATTTTAATCTAAGTAGTTTAATGCAATCACTTGAGTTTCAAGAATTTTGAATCAAGTTTGATGAGGTAAGGTACAAGAATCATCCACATATATGAAAAATTCAGCACCAAAGATTTTATCATTCATCTCATATGAAGTTATATTCACCATGACACAATGAATTGTATTTAAAAAAGGTCTTGTGGGTTAAACCATGTCTCCACATAAAGAGCAACTTCAACCCTCCAAATTATTTTTTCAAAATGAACATCAAGTCAACACTTTAGTCTTGTGATAGTTTATTTAGCAATAGTACAATTCTAGCCTACTGCTCAATTTCCAATTAATTAGAATACTCAACATCTAAAAAAAATTAGTATTACATCTCATTGATTCATGTTTTGGAGATCTTAATCTTGTTAATTTGATATTTATTTAATTGATATATATTAGTTAAAATTAATCAAACTAGCTCAAGATTAGCAAAATGAAAAGAATTTAAAAGTATAAAGTATTCAATGAAGAAAAATTTAATTGAATAGAAATTAGGTAAATTTTCTATTTTTTGTTAAACAGAGATGACATCTAGATAGATTGGAGTATTGGACTATAACATTTTTCTATTTGATGGACAAGATGATTATTTGCTTTGGAGAAAGTAGGTAAAAGGGAAGTTAAAAGTCATGTGTCTTGCTATGTCGCTAAGGAAGTGGCATGTTAACATCAATACCATTGAATGAAGAGATTCTGTACATGATGATAGTGCATCTAGATCCTTATGAAGCAGGTCGGAGAGTATGCTAAGGTCATATTGTTTTTTGACATTCTTCAGCGAAAGTTCCATCATGTTTCACGATTGTCAAAAAAAACATAACATTGTCAAACACATACATGACGCTGTTGAAGTTTAAGATTGAGACCAAAATCTAGATCCAAGATCACATTCAAACCTTTGGTTATCTGATGATAAATTTTCAAAGTATGAGGAGAAAATTTCCGACGCAAATAAAGCTTTACATCTTCTCAACTTGCTTCCATCGTTCTATCACAAATTATCAAAAATACTCTCTCATCTTAATACAAACACCATCTCTTGCAACGAGGTTGTAAGTAGTTTTTTGGCAGTTGAGGTGGAACACAAGATGATGTCATCATCTCGAACATCCATGTTCAGAAAAGCTCTGATATCTGAAGGTCAGTCAAGTTTGAAAGATGCCAAAAATTCTCGGAATGTGCAATCTAAGTGGACGAGTACCAAATCTAGGAACACAACCCTTCAAAGATTGACATCCTAGTCTAGGGGTAAGTTTGTGAGAAGAAGACCGAGATTTGTTAGAGATGTGGCAAGACTAGCCACATTAAGAGAGACTGTCATATGAAGTTCAAGGACGCAGTTCCCTCTCCATTGACGAACGTTGCAGAACACTTCGACCTCAAGGAGACGATTTGCTAGACGATGATCTATGATAGTGAGAAAGTTCTACATTTGGTTATGAATCAGGTTATGGTCAGGAGATTAAAGCACATCAACATTAAGTATCATTTTATCACTGAAGCAGATTGTGATAAAACGATTAAGCTAGTGAAGATATACAGTAAACTCAATTCAGTTGATGTGTTGACCAACATTTATTCTGTGGAGACTCTTATGCAATATTGTGCTAGTATGCAAGTAGTGCATGGAAAAAAAGTATTGCATGGGAAACAAAGGTAGATTTGCTAACATAGTATCTTCAATTACCTCTTCATACAATTTTGCTATTGTGTGACGACTACGACTTTGTTCTAGTTAACTTTGGTTTACAAGCGGAATCTTGTGTTAATTTTCCTTCTAGAATTTTTGGTGAAGTAATTATATAGGTTACAGAGATTACTATTTCCTTCATGCTAGCAGGTTTTTTAGTTATTTTTTTATATTATTATTAAATGCTGTTATGGCTACGACTTAGTTCTAGTTAACTTTGGCTAACAAAAGTGACATTGTGTTAGATTTCTTTTTAAAACTTACCTCAGATCAGATCTATAATATAGGTTATGGAGATTACTGTTCACTCAACGTAAGTTAGGGGAAAGATTATTGAGGTTAACTCCAACTAGAGAGTAACCTCGATCCAAAAAAGTTTAGCCAGGAAGCGTGGCTTGGACTGGGGCTATTAACCCTAGTAATATTTGTGTTACCATCACTTTTACAGGTTATACAAATGTGTGTTGTGATTTCCTGCCATGGATGTAGTACTCAAAATGATAAACCACCTTACATCCCTTGTCGACATCACTAGTGCTTTTGATGTCGCTGATTCTTGTGTTTTGCTGTCTTTGATTTCCGGTTAAGTGTTAACAGCACCTAGTAACAATATAAAATTTAACCTCTTTTGCTTTCTTATCAACACATTGCCATCACTATCAGCGTCTCGAGTTTAAATGTGGTAATTTTGAAAAATAGAATGAGATCATGTTTCATGATAGGTATTGCAGCCTTTTTATCTTCAAAGCACAATTCTAGCATAAAGTAAACTTTGTTGTGAATGAATAGAAACAATAACCATGCTAATTTGTTCAAGATATCATATGCCAACCGAGCAAACAAAAATTTCTTCTAACCTCATGATAAGTACATATGGAAGAGTTTGGCATAAGTTTGGCATGGGAATCTTATCTTCAAAAGCTTCAAACTAGAAACTGATTCAGATACAAGCCACTTTCAAGAGAAGATTTGCTTATATGTAACAATCAACAAAAAGATCTACACATTTTATTACTATCACATTGCAGTCTATAAATCTATTCAAATACAAGCTCATGACTGACATTAGAACGGGGAGAAACCTACCCCTCCCATCGTAATCCTAAAAATCCATGACTGCGATTTTCTTTTCATTCAGTAATGTTCTAATTAAGATAAAACAATGAAGTTATAAATTATTTAAAAACTACACCTAAGTCTGAAGGAAACAAAACACTGAAACCGACAAAACAGCAGATAAACATGGTGTTATATATCAGAAAATGCAATTGAGAAACGGAGAAGATTGTAGGGCCAAGTAGGACCCCATAGACAAGACAATACGTGGATCCCTCAGCATAGAAGAGGGCTATGGAAAGCAGGCCTTCCTTATGTAGTCCTGCCTCTTGGCTTTCGTTTCGGGTCCTTTAGCCTGGGCCTTCCCTTCTGTAATCTTCCCAAAAAGATTTAAAGGATAAGCATAACCTTTTTAAGAAACAAAGGATAATAATCTGAAAGACCATCCAGCGTCATCGAGGATGATCAGGTATTACATATAGAAGTAAAGTACCACACGCAAGAGATGTATTCAGATTCTCTAGAGAATTTTCCAAGGACTCCAGAAACGGATTTTGAAGTCCTTACAGATACCATTTGGCTTAACTGCAGCTGGGTCAATTCTTGACAGACACTAACTTACCTCTACTTAGCCAATTAGCCCCTTGGGCCTCTTGAGATGAATTGATGTCGTCACTGAAACTGTGAAACAATCACTTTCCTCCCTCGGGAGTATGGTCAGCACTAATTATGACAGGGTGTTAGTTGCTAAACCCTTCAGCAGAAGAGAAAGTCTTTCAGAAACAATTGGCACTGACCTGAAGCTGAAGCTCAGATGGAGCTTTGATTGAGCCACTGCAGCAACGAGGCCAGTTGTCTGTCATCCCTGGGCAAATCAGGAAATCGAGTCTTGGAGTCTTGGATTGCTCGTCACGTATGAGCCATGGCAAGGTTCTCTTACACATGATCAACACACCATCACCAATCAATCATTCATTCAGTCGTTCCATGAGAAGGACGATTTCCAGCAGTTGAGAAGTAGTAGCGCACTCCTCTCCTCCTTCTCCTGCCTGCCCTCGAATCCACGAAGTCCGAGCAACAAGTGTCGGACCAATGAGCTCGAGTCCAAAGAAACATTCGCCCCATGATCTCTCAAGTCGGGCCGGTCGACGACGCCTCTCACTAACTTCCATGATTCAGTTTTTTATCCCTGAGCAGTGTACAGCAGCAGCAGGAGCACACCTTCAGCACATGGAAGGCTGAAGGGCTCCAATAATAGCTCAGGAAGATGAAAGTTTGTGGAAGTACTCGCCATTGACCTCCAGAGAACAGGCCCTCAGTGCCTCACTCACTCCACCAGAAAGTCAAGCTCTCTCTCTCTCTCTCTCTCTCTCTCTCTCTCTCTCTCTCTCTCTCTCTCTCTCTCTCCTTCCTCCCTCATGTTCTCTAGCCACCTTCCAGCCTCCTCCCTCCCCCTGCTACTACAGCTGCTGCTACTGCTGCTCGGGACCCACCAGCCACATCAACTTTTGTATGCCTGCATGATGCGGCTCATGGGACGACCCCTCCTCATCGTGCATCATCTGCTCACAAGTCCTGGCCTCGCTCGCTCTCCCTCGCCTTGTGTTCCTTCGCTTGTCCTTGTGCTCGAGGTCGTCGTCGTCCACTTGGACGACGCTTCTGAGCTGATGATACACACGCCAAAGATGATCACTGAGCTCAGTGGTCGAATTCGGAGTCGTCGAATCGAATCCAATCGGATCGAATCGTCGACTGTGGAGTTACTGTAATCAATGAACACTGCTCCGGTCGGAAGAGGTCGAACTTCTCGTGGAATGTTGGATCATCCGAGTCTTGGACTCGGTGGTCCGAGAATTAAGTCACAGCCTGGAGCAATCCTCAGCTGGAAAGCCTAGATTTCTGTCAAGCTCACGTACATCGATGGTAGTCCTTCGATGAACTCTTCAGGTTATTGCACAAGCCGTAGGTTTAACTAAACGATGGAGGATGGGCAAGGGGCCTAATTATTATCATACGCTTATGAGATTTGCTGTGTCTGGGCAGGAAGGTATGGCTGGGCTTGAAGTAGCAGCTCACGGGAGGCTCATTGAATTTTGGGTTCGGCCAAGGCAAGAGGAAGGTGCTGGAGGAGATTCGGTCAGAGACATTCCGTTGGCCAAAATGAGAAGCTGGGACAAAAGATGAGCGAGCCGCAACTGAGTGAAGAGAGATTAAACTTGCTTTTATTAATTGCTCGTGCCCGAAGCTCCTCAACACATCGATGCTTCGACATTCTGGTCTGACTCCTCTCCGTCCTCGTCCTCGTCCCGACGGCTTCGATCTCTCGCTAACTTAGTATTGTCACAACTACAGCAGCTGCTGCTCCTGGTGTTGATGTCCTTTGGTGAGGTGGGCCCCTTTTTAGCTCTCGCTCGATCTAGCAGTGACTGACTGACCGACGGACTGATGAGTGTATGTATGATACAAGATCCCAGACTACTGTAATGCTGCTGCTGAAAAAGTGCTTACGGATAAGAATTTGCGAGCTTTATATTTAGCTATTACGGGGCTTGGATCCGGACATGAGCTGATCCGAAAGATCAAAACTGGTGCAACACTGTCAAATTTCTAAACTCTTAAGCTCCTGGAACTCGGTGCACGAAGCAGAGACCTTGCAAAGGGACTCGTGACGGTCGATGGATGGGAGCTACTTTGAGGGCTATGTGGGAAGTGGCCAGCAGCCGCTGGCTCGGACGCGTTTCTCATGAACGAGATGGGAAGAGCTACGAAAGAGATTTCGACTGATGGTAGGAATTGAGATCTGGACGACGATGGATTTATGGATAGATGGATGGACCGGTCGTTATCTCTTTTGATGGGCCCTGTGACAAAACGCCAGAGTCACTCGGGATGCGTGAGTCGAATTGCATGCATGGGCTAGCTGTCAGCTGCTGCATCTGTACAGGCTGATTGATCTCCCTGCGTCGACTGATCTGAGCTCGAAATTCGGCATAACCGCTCTTGCTGCTCGCTAAACCTTTCATAAATTCCGTGAAAACTCGAAGCCACAGTTCAGCTCTTGATTTGAACTCCATTAAACGTGAAGACGTGCCGAAGGAAAGTCCCCATTGTTGCTATTCTTTGCCTCTTCATTCTCAATTGCACTGAGCAGAATCATCATCCACATACTTCCTGCTCATCCTCAACTTGCCAGTTCTTGAAACAAAGGGTTGTTAATCCAGGGAATTTCAGCATACTGAGGTTGAAGAGGTTCTGTCCCGAGCCGCTGGTATACTGGAGAATCCAGGGTCTCAATTTCTATCTCGGTGATCTCCGACTCCACGGTATCAGGGTGCTGCCCATTGGGGAGACTGAGACTTGCAGCTGGAGCAAACCAACTGAGTGTTATTATGATCCAGTCATAAAAACCATTCTCCACAAATTCCCTACTTCCTTCCTGCCATACCACATCCAACTAAAACGTGCTGCACTGCCTCTAAGGCACATAAACTTTAAAGTGAATCTGAAGGAAAGCTGGACCTCATTCCAGTGAAGTTAAAATTGCAAATTAGCCTTGTGTACTTACGAGGGTGAGATTCTGCTGTTGGTGTATCCATGAGATTGAGGTCTTGATCGGGCTCTCGGTCGGACTCATCTGAGCTGAAAGTAGTGCTACTCCACCTACTGGATCTCGGAGAATGAATGCCAGGACTGCCCAAATGGAACGCATTGTACTCACTTTCGGAGGTGCTATCCGCATAATTATCGTAATCGTCAGTCGTGTGAAAGCGTCGGTAGCTGCAAGTCAGGAAGATGCAGCACCAGGTGATGTCAGAAGATGTCTGACACTGGATTTATAACTATCCAATAGAATCCGAAAATAAAATCTCTCCGAATGTGGAGCCCTTTAAACACTCCAAAGGAACATTTAAATGTCCACTTGCAACCGAGAAAGAACTCGTGAAAACTGGAAGCAAGATGATCATGACCAGAAAAATTCATGAGTAGGTCTTCAGAAAATATGAATTCGATTTTTACGAGGGAGAAAAATCTGATTTCGGACTTTTGAGTCCCAGTGTAATGAGGACTGACGGTGTCAGTGTAAGCTTGGAGTCAATCCTTCGAGGCGTCTAAAGGTGTTGAAATCAAATCAAATCAAAAGAGTTCGGATGTAACAGAAGGTCAGGTCAGCACACGGTCTTTGAGCAAGATGTGGGGGAGGAAGACGTACCCAAATTTTCCTTGCCCCTCGTTTATCATATGGCACATATATACGGTGCTCAGCACCACAAGACTAGCAAACAATAGCTCAAAATACATTTTGTCGGACGCTGGAGTTGCGATGGAGTGGAATTGAAGTTCAGCACGGTCTCGACGAGGACGACGATGGTGGTGATGGTGGTGATGAGGATGATGAAGATGATGGAGGATGACGATTGCTCAGCCTCTGGTTGAGAATGGGTCGATTGATTTCTTGGTTGGTGGCTCTTGTGGCCGGCTGCTGCAGGCCCGCGAACAGCACATGTGCCTACGAAGCTGAGCCGGAGAGGTACTGGCCATGGTCCACAGTGGTGACAAAGCCACAAATATTGTAACTACATCTAGTCCTGAATTGCCAGACCGCAGAACTGCTAATTGCGTACGAGAGGACCTCTGATCCGAACAAATGCCCGTCAAGCTTTTCCACCAACATCTTGCGAAACAGACCACGTTTCTGCTGCTGCTCTTGCTGCTGCTGCTGCTATTGCTGCTGATGGATCTCGGCCTCACTGAAACTTGGGTATCATGAGCACCCTCACTCCTCTCGCTGAGGGATCTCCAGCCTCTCACTCAGGACGGCCAGAAACTGTCAAGACCTCGGAGGATTTCGTTCATCAGAATGCTGCTGCTGCAGGAGACACAGATTGAACAGAGCGAACGCTGGAAATACTTCAAAGTGCGAAATGCCAAGCTTCAGCGAGCTCTGAGAAGCTGTGTGCAGTGTCTAATAGGTGACCCGAGTCTCTCTTCTCTCCTGTTTTCTGCTCTGCTCGTCACACCGTCCCCATGAACATCCCACACGTACTTGAATGGGAGGCAATCGAGTTCAACGATCGAGCGCTGATCGTGAACAGGGAGGGATCGGAAGGTCCTGGGATCCGGCGAGTGCTTGGAACTGATTCGAAAAAGCATATGCTGGATCCCACAGTGGCGCACAGTGCCACAGTTGCTCCTCAACTCGAGCACTGGCCTGCCAGAATCGAGATCGTACTCCGCTAGGTGCTGTGTGCTACATGACTCGGCCAAACCAGTGGTGACAAGCCGACTGCGAGTTAAATACGTCAGCCTGATGTTTTCTCCTCATTTCCTTGTGCTCAGCGTGTGAGCTGAAACCCTTTTTTTTTTCCCATGATTGTTGACCGCTCTCGGCCTCGCATCGACTGCTTTTCAGACCTTGACGGAGTTCTACTTTTCACCCTCACGATCACCCTCACCCTCACTCTCCTTCTCATTCGTGCTGCCAGAATCTGCAGCCATTCGATCGATCTCTCAGCTGCTCCATCGATTTCTTTTCTCGGTTCCGTGCCTCGTCATTCTCGACTTTGCGAGATTTGTAATCTGCCGATCGATCGATTGACTCGCAGATTACAAAGATTACAAATCGCACAACGAGATTCACAAAGCTGGGGGCACTAGGCTCTGAGAGATGGCAAATTCCCCTCGGTTCAGGCGGCAATCAAGCGAGGCCTTTGTTTCTACATTGTTTCCTCGAGGTCCGTGTGGAGATAACTTGCACATGATGATGAGGATCATGAAGCCCGGGGAGAAGCTTGGAGGAAGCTTCTCCAGCTTCAACTTGGGGGTGCAGTGAACGAGCAGCCATTATCCTTTTGGTCAGGACAAGGCAGAATGTTGCTGTTGTCGCCCTTGGAAGGACTCGGAGCAACTGTGATATTCTCGAGAGCAGGACATTTTGATCACTGCACGAGCAATCGCATCTCATGCCATGCCAGGGAAGGTAATTGAAGGGCAATCCAGTCCAGTGCAGTGCAGTGGATGGGGGCCAAGTTGCAAGCGATTGATCGACTGCGCAACATCTACCGATATGTTCATGCGAAGTTAAGACATTGCCGGTCTGCGAAGCCATCCCCGTTTGTCACGTAGCAGGCTCGAGGAGAGCCGACGAGTTGCAATCTTTTGGACTGCATCAGAAAGAGGCTGGATGCATGAAACAGTTGTGGCTTTCCAAGCTCGGAATCTCGGACAGAGCTTTGCACATTTGCGTGACTTTCGTGCAGTCGTGCTTTGCAGCTCGCAGCTCCAGGCCTCCGAGTGCCTTGACTCACTCACTCACTCACTCTTCTCCTTCACTGGCTGCGTTCCAAATTTAGTGTTGGAGTCAAGCGGAATTCGAGATTCTCACACGCCAGGCCCTCCTCGTCCTCGTCCTCCTCCTATTCCTCCTCCTGTTGCTCCCCGTCGTTGTCCCCGACCGACTGACTGCCGGGTGATGCTTATCCAGCAATGGTGCCATCGAGTTCGGGAAAAGCTGCTAGTGAAGAAAAGCTCCAGTGCTCGCCTGGGCCAAACAGACCACGTGCATTCAGAACGATGGCTGCGCGAAGGTAGAAGATTTTTGAAGGAGTGATTCTACAGTCATCCAGTCCAGTAAGTAGATCGATCGAGTGATCAGTCAGTCAGTGAATCGCTTGCTTCCTGTAAGCTGTGGGAAGCTTACAGGAAGCTGACTGCTGCTGCTGCTGCTGCAGCAGTGGCACGGGCTTTGCGTTTCTTCAGGTTCACGGATTTTGCCAGCCAGCTCGTGTCTCCTGCGCTCTTGTCCAGGCAGATGACTGTGTGCGGCTGCTTCCAAATTGAGCTCGCAATTGCCCTTTGGCTGCCCCTTATAGAATGACAGCCGGCCTCCCTGCAAGCCGTAATGCAAGGAAGACTCACCAGTGAAACTCTTCCAATGGCATGCAGCTTCGACGAAAACAATTCTATCCCTGCTGAGTGCCCCGAGGCATGACTCAGGTTCAAGCTCTGGTTGGGGTTGCCACCATGCTCACACTCGGGCCCGGAAGGTCTCGCTGTGAGTCCCTCGCTCGCTCCTTCAGAGTGGAAAAAGCGACGAGCTCGAGTGGAGCCCGTCTACGATTCACTCGGACCAGTGGAATGTCAGCGTGTGCGAGCCTAGAGCATCCACTCCAAGGGGACCCGTGCACAGCATCGATGAGCCCTGACGAGTCATCCGTGCATCACTCCAGGCCATGATTACGGCGGCAGAGCCACCAGAATTTGAGACTTGAGACTTGAGACTTTTGCTCGTGCTCCATCGATCCATGTCAACCTCCGGACCTTCGCGTTCTAAGACTGGCAGAACTCCCTCTCTCTCTTTGGTAATCCTACTGCCATGAGTGACTGGATGAGTGGATGAGTGGATGGCCTCGAGCAATGACTGCACGGAGTCAGGAAACTGAGGGAGGGATCTTCTGGGGAATCAGGAACTTCTTGCCATGGTCAAACATTCATCATATCACGCATCCTAGTCGTCAGCATATCTGTCGGCTTCAATCAAGTTCGGGCAGCTCGGTGTGTCTTATTTTACTCACGGCTGCAGCGGCTGAGAATCAACGAGGTATATGCACAGCTCTGGGATTCCACGAGAATCAGAAGCATTCTTTGTAGAGTGAGGGAATCAAGCGAGCTTCCAGAAGATGAAGGAATCCCTCCCTCAGAAACTTTCTTATTCTGCGTCTCACTGAAATATTCAGTTCCCTCGCTCGCACACGAGGAACAAGTTTCCATTACAGTTTCTTTTTGTCTCTGCGTGCTTTCGGAACACCGTCACGTGGAAGCCAAAGGTCGAAGCCAAATCCTTCACTGGATCGCACCCTTTTCACCGAAATCCGCAACAACCCTCGTGCATGATTTCGTTTGCCCTTTCGATTATCCCCAGGCAACGGTTTCTTCTGCGGATCCAGTCTTCCCAGTTCGTTATTCTCAGCAGAGGACGAGATCCACTGTCCCAGGATTCGATAGGCCTCGATGTATTTTAAAATGTCTGAGCTTTCGTCGGACGTGGGCCTTACGCATGACAGATGCGCACACCACCCTATTTCGAAAAGAGCCCGAAGGGAATTTGCCATGCTCATGATGCGACAATGATGGCGGCGATGATGATGCTCACTGTGCCGACTGCGAGTAGGTAAGTATCCACCGCAGTAAGGAGTTTCGAAGCTTTCGAGAGCCTTATCTTTTATCGACGGATCTGCTCGTCAAGTGTGAATTAGCTATGCGCTGCAATTGGCTTGGATAGTCACACATCTGCCTCTCAGTAGGCCAATTGACGGCCACAACGATACGAAACGAGCCATCAACGATTCCATATACTGCTGAAAAGGCCATGACGGTTTCAGACAGAGATCCTCCTTGTCCTGGGGGGCCCAACAATCCATTCTCAAACACAGCCAGTCTCCATCCATGGGAAGACTTTTCCCTGGCAGCCAGCCAGCCTCTCACTCACTGCAATCAAAGGAAATGAAGCAGAAGACGAACCTGCCCTGAGGGACTAAGAACATATCCGAATAAGTGGAAGACATGGTTTTATAGAATCCATCACTTAAGGATGGAGAACTTCTTACTGTCGACGACTGATTTGTGCAACTTCGAGGTTGTGCAGCTCAAGCTATACACATATATCGTCGTCCCCTGGGATGCTACTGGTTGAAAGGAATAAATGGATCGACTATTATATTGCGTGTCAAAGAATATCAGGATTGAGAATTCGATCGATCGATAAATCGATCTTCTGTCACAGCAGCACATTGTGGATCTACTTGGTCCGGATCTGCGGGCAATCACGAGAACAGTAGAGAGCCCATGCCTCGTACGTTGTGCTCACTGCTGGATGTGCGCAGTACGAGAACAAACAGCTGTAGCCGCGGACTTGCTTCTGTAGTCGCGCTCTGACCGAGCAAGCACTTCAAAAGTCTTCTCTCGCTGCTCAGCGCCAGATCGGCGGTCACGACGACGAGCAAGTAGTGCCCAGCGAGAGCGAGTCCGTCTGGCAACCACGCCCTTCTGCATCACTCCCTGCGCATTCACAATCAGCGTCCGAGTCCACGTCCTTAGCAATTCGGTCGTTCAAAAAGTGTCTATGAGGTTCTCTCCCCATTCTACAATCCAAGCAATCTCAGTCGACATCCCAAGGACGGTCCAGTGAGTGCGAGAACATCTCGCCGATGAACTTGGAGCCAAACTTTTATGACACAAATGACCTATTAACGATAAGCCGGTACGTGTGCAGCAATGGCTCAGAAATACTCGAGCTCGTATTTATCGTATTCAGTGGGCTAGAGGTTCACAGTCAAGGCTTCATTCAACCGACAGAAAAATCAGATCTTCGGGTTCTGTCCAACTTTGAGGCAACTGGAATAATAATGCACACCAGAGTTGATACACATGCAAACGGATGAGCAAATTGACGTATGGGACGATGTACCTGGCGGGTGAAAAGGCGGCAGCCAAAGAAGTGCTCGAGAGGGAGAGCAGCATGCACACGGAGGTGTTGATCACATGGCAGAAGAAGTCGAAATCCAGAATGTTTTCGAGGAGTGGGCGGTCGACCTCGCGAGGAGAACCAGCTACCTCCTCGCGGGTAATAGGTGAGGTCTCTACCTCAAAAACAGGACAAACAGTCGCAGCACTCCTCCGGCCGGCCATCTGCTCCATCGTCTCTGATCGTTCAATGTGAGCAGCTCAACCCCGAACCTTCAGATTCTCGACCTCTCCTCTCCTCCCCTCGTCTCCTCTCTCGAACTGCTGCAACCCCACGTCAAAACACTCACAAGCTCAGATATTCTGCGCCACGAATTCGCACACAATTTCATGCCCCCTCATCAGCAGTCGCCAGTGCTCCCGGAGTGCTCCCGGAGCTGTATCGATCAGCAAATACGTCGATTGCAACATGCGCTCGAGAAGGAAAATTTCACAGCAGAACCAGTTACATGCCACGAGAGACAGCGCAGTGGGGGAGGGGAAGAAGGGGCGACGAATGCGCAGCAAGTGGGATGGAGGGGAGCTTAAAGTGGGGAGGAGGGTCACGTAAGCTCATGATGAAGGAGGCCTGGGGGCCCATGCTCCACAATTTCGCCCGAAAAGCCGAGAAGGATGTTGAAAACAACGACGAGGCACTGTAACAGGCACGGAAGTTCCGCATCGACAAGCCACTTGCTCCGCTTAGCAACCCACTGTACATGAAGCTGTCTCACGAGGCTAAGGCTCGGGCTTTTTTCTCTCGCCCTTACTCCCCTTCCCTACCCTTCCCTTTCCTTCCCTTGATCCACGATTGAGCCATTCATTCATGCTCGTCTGATCCTCGCCCCAGAGTTCGTCAACATGGACGTCCACGGCTCCTTTCAGCAGGATCATTTCACGGGCACGGTTCGATGGCGAGGTCAATTGGGCACTCGAGGGCATGACACCAATTATTGGCTCTGGTGCACTCAAAAGGCCTGCCACCAACATTTTGGCATGTGCCCACCAATCTCCGCTTCTCGGTGCCCCATGGCCCTTGTTCTCCAGGTTGCCCGAGTGACCAGAGGGCAACCTGGATATGGAAAGTTCTGTCTCCCGTGGAAGTGGACGTGGATGACTTTCTTCACGGAATTGGGAACCGCCTCCGACGTGGTGGTCAACGGCTGCTTTTCTCGTTAAGAACCTAGAGATTGGCATTTTTGCCCCTCGAGCCTGCTTGCTTTCCATACCTCGTGCTACATACTCACGCTTACGTCGGCAGTGCTGTCCTTTTCGGGATACTGCCGTCGTATGCGGCAGCTCCTTAGACCAACATCTGAGAAACAGTCCAGACGGAAAACGTACATCTCAAGCAGTACCCGTGGCCCGTGCTCAGATAAGAAATCTCGTGTCCTGTTGTACGCGATCCGCACGATTGCGCTCTTAACAAGGCCTCCCGGGGTTTGACCAGCTCCCTGATAAGAGCAATTGACCATCGACGACTCCGCAGTCAAGGGAGAAGGACCTTCGGCTTGTGGACGTATGTTTAGCCCGTGGGCAGAACTCTTCGCTCCAAAGGAAACCTTAATTGCACACCTCTTTTGAAGGGGGCCTAAGGAGTCATTACTCCTTTCCTGCGACCGGCAAACTCCAAACTGTTCTCTGGAAGGGTTCGTTCATGATTTTTTACTGCGTTAAATTCCTTGCCTTGTGATGAGAGTGCCGGTAAAAAAATGGAGGCAGCTGGGAGAGGAAGTTCTTGGTTCGTTCGTTCTCGCGGATCAGATGTTTTCGTGGCGGTGTCTTATTGAACCCTTCATTATACACCCAGAAAGCTCCTTAGAGCGTTGTCAACTTCCACATCAAGCGTTGCGCCGTTGTCCTTGAGGAAAACTCGAGACACTGACCAGGAGCGGGTAAGATGAATTCTCAAAAATTGCTGGATCAAGTCCCTCTAATCAGGAAGTACACATATAACCAAGCCTTCTTTACTCTACTTAGGAGACAAATGGGTTATGTCTAAGTGAGACCCCAGAAGCATTTACAACTAAACCAACTGTACAGGAAGGAAGAGACTTCATATCCACCTTCTCGTCTACAATAACGTGCAAAAGCGCGAGACAATCACTACGTGGAACGTCTCGGATGCCCGCTGAAGAATGACCATGCTGCTAATTATACTACACTTGCTCCTACTTTGTTCCAGAGAGCTTTTTTGGGAGATTGAAGGTTTTCTTCAAGTATTTAGAAGCTTGATCATCACCCCTGTAACAAAGAACACGTAGAATAGTGTTGGCATCTGTCGGACCCCATTCACCTGTTGTACGTGGAAGCGCGGCGAATTTGAATCTGCTCGCAGAACCTACGTCTGCTTCTGGATACTCGTCTCGAAGTCTTTCTATTAGTTTCTCAGTTGAGAGATGAAACAAAGTCAAGACACCTCGAATCTGTTCCGTAGCACCGTCCACCAGATCCTGTGGCAAACCGTCTCCGTCACATGTGAAGAGATCTGTTAGTGCTGCCAAATCTTCTTCCAATATATCCGCATGATCGATTGAGAATGCTCGAGAAGGGCCTCCAGCCAGAAGGACCAACACTAGACAATCCATGCAGGCTTTCATCAGAGCTCCTACGATCCGGTTTCGTAAGCCTTCAGCAGCAATCTCTGCGATGATCTCGAGTTGCCTTTCAAGCTTTTCAATCACAATCTCCATCCTGGCACTCTCCACACCTCCGGCATAAAGACCCTCCCAAAATACACGATGTAGGTCAAAGAAAACGGCTCTGTAAGCAGAAAGCTCTATCAAGAACTGGACTCCATTTTCTATCTCTACTCCCACTTCCTTGAAGCTGCTGTATTCACCGGCGACAGGGCTATCGTGTCCGTTTCGCTCCATTCTGGATGGCGCCTCTTTCTTCCAGCCGTATCTCAGCCTCTTTTCCATGTACTGCAGTTCAGTGCCTAAGTGATACAGAGTATTGATTCGCACACAAATATTTTCTAGTTCCGAAAGCCTCTCATTTGAATTAACTCCAACCTGTGATGCTATTTTGCTTTTCGGCGGCAGATGCAGCCCTGCTCGCCAGCCCCCTTTTTGCGTGAAAGCTGAAGCGTTATATCTCGTAAGAGAAGGTAAAGATGGAACATACCGCTCCTTTTTCCCTGAATATTGCAACGGTAAAAGAAAGAATTATAAGTTCAGAGTCGTCTGAGCAGACCAAGACGCGAAATCAGGAATTTGAGCTTCGAGGAGCCAACACGAGTAAAGAGTAAAAAGACCCACCACATGCAGATATCGTTTTCTCACAGTACAACTGAACAGCACTCTCCACGCCTGATACAAGCTGCTCGACATACTGGGGGTCCTGGGAGATTGGCAGTGCAAAAAATGCGTCCATGGTTTCCTCCATCATTCGCAGAACCTCAACAGCTGAAGGGGCGTAACCTTCCCGTGTACCCTTAGGTTTCCACTCCTAAGAAACAAGACAGGCAAGTAAATGAGCGAACAGGGCTACTACCAGGAGCGTTTTTCGCACGTTCTCTCTAATCTCAGCAGCCCACGACCAATAAACAGGAAAAGTTCACAAAATCGTCCATTATGTTACTTCCTTTTGGAAACTTAGTTCGAACTTCATCAACTTAATTTACCGTTCTCTCAAGATAGAGCTGTAATTAACAGGGTATTGAGAATCTTCCTTCTCTATGAATTCCAACTAAGACACAGAAAGTCCTCAGACCAGGAGGCCACGATACAAAAGGTTGCTTAATAACCGTTCCGTAGCTCCCTCCATTTATCCCTGGGCAGTTGAGTTACGAGCTGGTTAAAGTGTGAAGAGAATCAAGTACCTCGTTTTGGATGTTCCTGCCAACCCACTCTAAAAGTTGTGCCAGGCCATTTTGAAGCCAATCCTTTGAAAGCTTTTCAATAGTAGTCTCGCACTCATAGGGTTGCATTTCGCGCATCAGCCCCTTTCCACCATCCTCTGCATCTACAGCGTCTTCGACTGCAATCTGAACGAGCTCCTTTTCGAGAGTATCAGCTCCTTGCAGAACTTGAAGTACCTCTGGACCGATGGTTTGGCGACCACTCAAAAACTGCATTATCTCCCTAGCGAAGCACGCATGAAGTGTTGCAGCTGCTATACCTCCAGCGCATGCATTCCACTGTTTCAGGACGGGGCTGAATCTCAGCCTTTCTTCCTCGGCAAGCTGTCCGATATCTGCTGCTAGAACCATCAAAGGTGGGCGAGAGACACCACCATTCTTGAAGGACCTCCTTCTTGTGTCCGTTGTTTCCATCATCTATAAGCCGAGACATTTTATGGTGGTTAGCAAGTCATCGCTCCGAATCTACAATGGACTCGCGGACCTCGTCAAAGACGAGGCTAACTAGTTCTTTTCAAACGTCCAGAATTCAAGGATACAACATTTGACTGGCCCGGAGGAAGAAGAAACGTTACAAGTTTACAAATCACGACGAACCTGAGCGAAGGCAGCTTTAAGAGATGACCTTATGTACAGCTCAACCTTCTCACTTTCATAATTCGACAAATCCTTCTGTTTGCGCTGCGATACTTGGTTGGCATCATCTGCTAGAATTCTACCTGCTAAGAGTCCAATCGACAACAAAGCTTCCATGACTCCGCTAGCTCCTTTTGGGAATGTCTCACGGTAAGCTAATAATCTTCTTTCTGCCCACGAGTGAATGCTCGTGAGGGCTGTCTTGAGAGCCTCTTTCCCTTGAACAACTACATTATTCTTGGCTAGTAAGGCAACTTCCTTCATCAGATGTTCCGCAGCCTCCAGCAGACCGACCTCGAGTTGTTCAGTTGCAACAAACTGACTGAAAAGCACCCACATGAAGCAGAGATCGTGTAGCATCTGGTTAATACCCAAAATACCCCAGGTTTTCTTGAACGCTTCCAGTACCTCGTCTTTCTCCTCAATTACCTGCCCTTCTTCCAAAGTGTCAAAGACGGATGACAAGAGCGCCAGGTAAAGACTAACATTCAAGGGGTAACCATCTGCCCAGTGTAGGTGAGGACTCGGGTGTTCCCCACTGACTGATCGTCCTGCTTTAGCCAATGCAGCCATTCTTAAGGCGCTCATTTCTTCACTACTTTTGCCAGTGTCAACGGAACTATGTTGCAGATCATGTAGCATTTTCTGCAGTCTCTGGTCCAGAGTTTTATCACTACCTTCCTTTCTAATTGAAGGATAGATCAGCAAACCACCTTCTAACACCCGCAGCTGCCTCAGTCTCCATCGGCTGTAGTGTGCGGGATTCACGAAATCTGAGGGCCCGATAATCTGCAAAAGTTCCAGCGGTACTAACAGGCACTCGACGGGCTTCCCAACCTAATGAATATACATGCAAACCGTCAGCTCGAAGGTAACATTTTCCACGACGAGTTGAAGAAAAAAATTGAAGCGCAACGTGGAAGTCTTTGAGCAAATAAGGCAAAGTGTGATAAAGCAAACACGAGCTTCGAAATTCTTAACATGCACAGACCGAAATACATTCCGGTCCAGTACCTGATGAGTGAAAGCGCGCAGCAAGCCTTTTCTAATTCGACTTTCACTCTCTTGGCTAATCTGCATTTGATACTGTACTATCTCGGCCGTTGTAGGGGGTTTCTTTCCCTTCCCCGCGGGATGCATCGGTCGATCTCTCTTGGATCCCATCGCCACAGCGGCCTTTCTGAAGCCCTTAGCGGTCAGAGAGGAGACCGAGGTCAATCCCGCCTTCGACTTGGGAGCCTGAGTTCGGGCACTGAGTGCATTATGTCCGCATGCTGCCACGAAGATCTCATACGCGGTTTCTCTGATATCATCCTCCGACAGATCGAGCTCCAAATCTGGAAATGGAGAGCCTACGGGCCCGTCCGAAAGTGAAAGCATTCTCATAAGCGGGTCTGGAGCACTGGGCGCCATCTCTCACCAACAGACCGTCTCACGCTACGTACGCGTATCCTTCCTCCCTGCTTTGCACCTCGACCGACAGTTTGCGGCTCACGCGACTACTGTCAACCAATCCCCCTGATGCAAACGGACCAATCAATCTATCGACCTCCTCCGCTACGCTACAAAACCTTAAAACTTCCAGGCGTAATAAATATCCTACACCTGAGAATGCCGCTGCCGATACGGAGAGTCGAGACTCCTGCAAGAAACCTCGACTTCCTGTAAACTTTTATGATCAATCAAAAGGTATTCACTAAATGCCACCATTTTTCTTCATTCAGATAAGAACTATTCTTGTTCACTTGAGAGTACACGAAGGCTTGTCGCTCTCCTCTGGTCTCGCACACGCACCCACGCACTTCCTTTAAAATTTCGACTAATCAGCTCGACGAGATAAGTCACTCACTCACAAGCTGCAGCAGCAGCAGCACTACTCAGGGCCAGCACAAGAGAGGAGCTGGCGTGCACGAGAAACCATAATATCATCCACCCGTAAATCCGGGCGAGGGAAGAACCTGCGAGGCCGCACTGCGGATTAACAGAAGATGCTGCGACTCCGTTCTAAACCATTGCATTCTCGCTCGCAGCGAATCCACTTGACAGAGCGCGCGAGCCGTTGAGGCCTCGCCTGCCTCCCCGGGGCCCTACCACCACCAGCAGCAATCTTCCTCGTCCTCCCTCCTCGTCCTCCTCCTTCCTTCGCGGTGCCAAACCGCCGGTCGATAAAAAGCGCGTAATCGATTCCCAGCGAAAGGAGAGAGAATTGCGCCGAATGCCGACAGCTCCACGCTCTCAAGAAGAGAAGACGATGAGCCCCAGGGATCGATCCGCGCCCTCTTCCTCCGGGAACGAGACCGCTCCAACGCGCTGGCGCGCCGCGGGCTCGGATGACCAGGCTGCCGGTTGACGTGGCGTCGCTCGCGACGACCCGAGTCGCGGCATCTACTGCTCTGACTCTCTGACTCACTGACCAACTTTGATGACTCGGACTTCCCGGCAAAGGTGTAGCCATGCATCCTTTTCCCGATTGACCGGAACAAGCTTTCCGAGCTTGAGTGCCCTGGAAAAACTGAAATATTATTTCCTCAAATACTCATATCCCCATCATTTATTTAATCCTCGACTCCATTGGCCCTAAGCAAACGACAGAGTTCAAACTGTGTTTCTTCACATTTCTTCCAAATGACATTACGATAGGAATTTCATGAATTAAAAAGTATCCTTCTATTCTCGAACTCACTTTATCATGGTGTCTGAGAAGGCGTATTCTCTACTTCTAAATTATGAATAAATTAAGATTGAGATTAATAGAACGAGATGTGAATTTGCTTTACTGGCTTGATCTCCAACGAAGAAAGAGGAGTTCGATTCGGGGAAGAATGTGCGACGATAAATTCCTCGAAGGTCTGGAGGAATTTATCGTCGTTTGTAAACTTTCGTCGTGGCGATGCGGTCTTCTGATGCGCTCTGATTCGTCGAGGCGAGACTTTCGATCACGAGGTCGCAGAGACTTGAACGACGACGACAATCGGCGACAATCGGCCCGCGAGAACGTACAAACGGAAGGAAGGAAGGTCGGAAAGCACCGCGCAGGATGTACCGATGTACTCGTCTGGACCATATTGTCCACACCGTGCTGCTCCCGAGGAAGCCATGTTACTAGTATGAGCAGAAGCGCTCGGTCAGACCTTCGGCGTGATGTACGGCTGAAGTTGTTTACAAAATTGTTGCTGCAGAGTTCTTGTTTGCTTGTGTCGCAAACCTTGTGGCTTACGTCGGGGCGGCGTTTGTACAATCCGTGCGATAAATGTGGACGATAGAAACTCGGCAGCCGAGTGGCTGAAGGCGACAGAGGAGAGCCAAAGACTCGGCTTGTCTAACTCTTCTTCATCGGCCAGAAGCGAATATCTGGCGAAGGAATGTCCATTTCCTACAAGAGGTCTCTTCAAGGCGAAGAAAGAACCTGCCACCGCGGACAAATCTTCTGAGCCAACTGTACGTGTAATGTTTAGAACAATGTTCAAAAGTTCTGTTGCACTTCTCGCTTCAGTGCATCAGAGACCTTTTCCTGTTGATTGTGCCTGCTGCAAATAATTGCACACTCCTTTGCAATAGAGAGAGACAGAGAGTGAGTGTGTGCGCTCTTAAAAGCGCATCACTTTGCAAAGATTGATTGCGCCGAACAAAGCAAAAGAACGACTCGCCACTTTTACAGCTGCTGACGATGGAGAGTGTAAAGAGTATATTTTAGTCGAGACGCTCCACTCAAACTCTCGAATTTCTCGTCTTGAAAGACGAACGATGACAAACGATGACTTCATCGTGTGCCTCTCAGCCGAGGAAAACGACTTTCCGACTCACTCCATCCCAAGTGCTCACTTTGTCAACTTACCGTACCGGTCTTGCGAGACTGGACTGCGGATGGAGATGCTGGATAAATCCAGCATCTCCATCCGCAATTGAAAGAACCTCTTCCACCTGAAAGCAAACACAGTTGAGCACATAATCTCGCCCCCGCTCTCTCGTGATCGATTCTTCCCGGTCCGGTCAGAATGAAACCTTCACATCCCCAGGGCCTTTTCAACGAATCAAGCGTCCGATGATCAATCAGCACAGTGCTAAAACCTCGCCAAGCGTTCAGCTTACGAGGATTTATTGGCATGTTTGTTTCTTGTCGCCCACATGCACAAGACCCGAAACTAATCATTTTCCAGTAGATTTTAGTCCTAGAAGACTGGATTGACTGATGAGCTTCTGATCTGATCTGCAGCAGCAGCATCGGTCTCTGCAGCAGAAGATAAATTGTGACATGCCCAATAGAGCAACAAACAAACGAGAAAGACTACAAGAGTGCAGTCGACCGGTAACTACGCGATGACAGTCTCGCTCTATCAGACAGATGGCGGTGAAGTGCAAAAGGACATGCCTTCCGCACCCATTCTGCGACCGGAGCATCCGGTCGATCGATTCCGTACGAGGCACTCGAGTCGAAACTCTGTTCGGGACCGGGCTCGTATGCATACGGAGGGGGTCTTTTACAACGTTGCATGTCAAACGGCTGCCACTCGGTCAATCCGGTCAGCGAGTGACTGCATCCGTGACAAGAGACTGACGATGACAGCTGACAGCACTGAACTGAGCTGAACTGATCCAGTGGGAGGAATCATGGTTTTCCTACTGGAAAGCACCTCTCCGCCCGATCGCTTCACCTCCTTCATCATATTTACACATCCATTCGCAAGTCATTTAAGGCGCCGTGATCCTGGCCGACCCCAAGTTAACTATCCTTCTGACTGCAGAATGTGCTCCCTTACCGGTCTACAGATAAGTCTATCCTTGAGCTTCGGTCCGGACAAAAGGCTTGGGTCCTCCTCACACCAAGGTCATGGTGAGGCAGAGTTAGTTGGGTCACACCACAGCGCTGGTGTGACTCAACTAACTCTTCACGAGAGCACAGGGAGCTCCAATGGAGTGCATCCACGACGCTGATGGGGAGCATCAGTATTGACAGCTGCCGGGTCGGTACACGCAGATAGCTTTCGATTTTGAACAAGGAGAGGTTTAATCATGATTGCACGTTATACATCGACATTACCGATTCGTGGTGAGATATTGAATCCAGAGTGTGGCGGTTCTCACTTCGGTCCTCCAACACCAGCAGGTGAGAATACTATCATTCTTCATTGGCTGGGTGGGAAACATTCCAGGACAGAGTCCGGTGCTGGGGGAAATAGGATAAGTCTGGAAATGATTTCGCTTCAGAAAAACATCACACAGCACTTCAAACTCAACTCTCCGCAGATGACTCCTTACTTTTGTGGGAAGATGACGGGCGAGCATACATTCTGTAGAAAGGCATCCTCAAAGCAAGTCGGAACATTGACAAATACCCGGCACAGAACTGCTAACTTCACCAACTGCGCACTAAGTGTGAAATAAGCTGATCAATTCTGATAGAATCTGATAACACAATGTTCTCATCTTGCTCTGCTATAGAACCTCGACCAAGCATCACACTTCTCTTTTATTCACTAATCTAAGAAAGTGCTACAGCAGTATCGAGCCTCAAAACCAAACCCTGGTCCGAGAACTTCGCTCAGTGCAGAGCTTTCAGCCAGGTATTAAGTATGCATTATTTACTGAGACTTAAGACACAAAGTTTAGGTCATGTGTCTACATCCATTTCAAACAATAGAGACCTGCAAGTTCCAGATTTTGAGACTTTACGCACCATGTCTCACTGAGGACTGCCTCCCTCACCACAAGTTCAACTTTTGTCAGTGAGAACATGTTCCCATTCTGCAACAATCTTATGAATGTAAAAGACAGTGCTTGCTGCTTAAGCATGCCGCTTAGAATTGTGAAGTGAATGAAACCCCATCATATTTCTCCAGTGGTAGAATTGTGAACATATCATCGACAAGAGAGATCGTTGTATTGAGACTGTTCCATAACATGAGTAGACGCCCGCCTTGTATGCTAGTCATAGTGGAGGAAGACATCGCAAAATTTGCAGAATGGATGCCGCTTAAGAGACGTCTTTTTCCATTTCCTTTGAAAAATCAAATCACAGTAATTACAGGTGGTTTAGACTAAGTCATTCTACTCTCGTTATAATTGTCCTCGTAATCAAGAAAATCAATCTAACTGCACAGAGATTGATCATTCCCAAGCTTCCCAAGATTTGAATCAGTTCTCTGCAGAAGCAATGAGACATCAGAGATGAAAACGAATAAATGATCAACAGGAATTAGTTCACCTTATTGACCCTAGTACAAGTTAGCAGTCAGGATGGCACAAATGAAGGTGGCTTTTCCGATAACTCGGAAGCCTCACACCATCTCTTTAACATCTCCCAGCAGCTCACTTGAAAACTCTTGCATGTGAGAACCACCACCACTTCATCCATCCTCAATGGGTTGGACGTTTCATACAAAAAAGCACCCAACCCCAATGCTTGAAATCCACACACAAAGTGTTCAGCCGTCAACAAGACCCCGATTTGGCTACACCAACTAACTGCAGCAAGCTGATTTTTGCTTGCCCTTGCTGGGACCAGGGTCAGGCTTGTTGATTTTGATGCTGGGGGCCTGCAGACAAACAACTGATGCTCAGTTTCACAGTTGAAGAACATAGCATGTTAGACGACCAAAGTTTAATTTCAAACGACTTGACTCGAATCTGCATGCACAAAACGATTCAGTTTCAAAAATACCTCGGGCTTTGAGTCAGTTTCTGCCAGACGTTGTTTGATATCTCTTGCTATGCAGTAAAACACATCCTCAACGTTTAAGTTCGTCTTTGCACTCTGCAGGACCCAGAAACAATTATTGATGAGATTAATACCTGACGCTCTGAAAGAGTATGAACATGTAAACTGGCAACTACATTACCCACGATGGTTTTGAAGGTTACCTGTTTTCTAGATTTACTCTCCCTATAACCGAGACCTCAAGTCTCGATGATCTACAAAGTAAGTTGGTTGCCGCTGAGACTTCCAAGTAAAAACTAAGTAGGAGGCATATTCAAAGTCTTCTCTCTGCGGGCTTGCTCTCCTAAACAGACAAAAGGAGCCGAAGAACACCCAAGACAGGCAAAATAGAGGCAGAGGTACACCAAGTGATAAAAGCGAGAGATTGAAACCCTACAGTTTCAAAAAACTTGATTCCAAACTCATCGGCAAGTGCTTGACCTCGGGCAGTTGTGACAGCCTGCACCAACACATCCATATCTTATAAGTGAACGATTGACGGAGGAAATATACATGTGCGGTGAAAAGGTGGGCAAAAGCAACTTCTAAGCTGCATGAGTTAGATAGACATATGTTTCCACAAGTCTTTCCGGCTACGATTAGAAATGAGTGGACGAATCTGCGGAGAGAAGAATGTAAATTGTTATGTGGCTTTGTTCTGACCGACAAGGTGCAAGAAAATCACATACCCTTTTGCTCTCGTCCATATCAGCCTTGTTGCCGACCAAAATCTTGTTGACGTTGTCTGAAGCATGCTGCTCAATATTTCTGATCCAGTTTCGAATATCTGGAATTTAGCATCCACACAATTAGCTACATGATAAAGGGTCCCCAAAATCCTACTGCCGTCCAGTAGTAACTTTCAACTGAGTTCTGAAGAATGAGAAAGATAGCCACCAGTAAACATGCTATTACTCAGGTGTTTATAACGGTGTTGAAATTTCAGATCATTGCATTCCTTCAACCATGAGCCACCGCGGCCCCTCATGAATCGAAAGCAATATCAAACGAAAAAGGGGCAAAGCGTTTAAATTTAACAAGTTCATAGAATATTCAGAAAATTTCGAGATGATGATCTTGTCTCCAACACACCGAGTCATTTCCACAAAACAGATCCATCCAAGTGGCAAAGCAATCCTCAATCATGAGCAACTCCTAGCTACATATAAAGGTCATTACTGCTAAGAATGCCCACTCGAGCCATCCACGACAGAAGAAAATCTGGGAAGGGTCAAGAAGAGTACTGTTGAATGAAGACTCGTCCGTCACATCGTAGACAAGCAAGATTCCCATAGCCCCTCGGTAATAAGCTGCAAGACAGTGAATGAAGTAAGCAGAAGAACAGTGCACAGGAAGATCCAACATATTCGAAACTTACATCCCCGTCACAGAGATGCTCTGACTGCCGGACTGTCCGACCTCACCATTGACCATGTAAAGAGATGGCCTTAGGAGTACAGAGTACCATTTTCCCAATTACATGAGCACAACTTGCTTCTTATACAAGTCATCAACGTTCATCAGGCAGTAAACAAATTCCTCCTTTCAATTAGAGGCAATTGATATAGGACCTGTTGTGATGGTTCGGAAACGCTCCTGACCAGCCGTGTCCCAAATCTGGAGTTTGATGCGTTTCCCATCGAGCTCAATAGTTCTGATCTTAAAGTCGATCCTGAGGATGAAAAGAGGAGCGGAATAGCGCCGTCAGATGGACCAAGACAAGAATGAAGAGGGCTGGAATTTAACTCACATTGCAGAAGTGACGTACAAGGCATCCAGTCTTACCCTATGGTTGTGATGAAACTCGTTGTGAACGAGTCATCAGAAAACCGCAGGAGCAGACAAGACTTTCCGACACCTGCAATGCAAATAACATCATATTACCCGACCATGGCTAAATCTGATCACGTACATAAGTTAAATCGGCTAGCTCATGAAACAAAATGCGGCAAATCCATCGCCATGGCGTACTTAAAGTCATGTCCCGATATCAAGAACTTGCTTCAGAGCAATGTGGTACCAAACGCTATACTAAGTTCGAGTACATGGAAGCACTTTTCAATCCTACTAAGGAAACAGTCTCCATGATGGATAACTTCGGAACGCATCCTAACAGCATATCCAATCTGACAATGCGCCTCGGGTGAATAAATGCTTTCCTACCAATTTCGGAGATTATCCCTTCACTCACAAATCGGGAGGAACTCATGGAGAAATGAGGCACGAAATTAGCCAAAATGGACGTACCACTGTCTCCGATTAGTAACAGCTTAATGAGATAGTCATAGTCAGCCCGGGCTCTCGCTGCTCCTGCTGCCATTCCTTCTCCCTCCCCTAAACTGCACCACTACGTTCCCTCCGTGCCGATTGAAGGTGTATCCTCCACTCTTGAGCCTTCCTCTGCTATTGATTATACCGATATCCAGGTCCTACACGCTCGAAGCTGCCAAAACAACCGCACTCAAGCGCCTCAAACAGATGCAAAAGGAGACAGAATTATTCACAGCAATCCCTAGAACCAGATTCCTGCTCAAACATGAAAACTCTCGTCCAAAGCCACGGATCGATCGAATCCACCAGAGGCTCGGCAAATACTCACCCGCAACAACCATCCGCCCTCAGTGTTACAGGATCCTCTCTCTTCCCCTCCTACCTGTCGAGCCAACCTTCCGTTTCGCGGCAAACGAATCTGTTCCGTAACTCAAATCGCTGTATCTCTGCTCTACCCTAAACCGGCCAGACTCGACTTGCGTTCGTTCTCCTTCCCTCTCCTCTCCTACGCGAGCCCTCGCGCCTTCCTCCACCGTTTCTCCGCTGTAGCATAAAGCAAGGCCAAAATCTCGCAGCCGCACCTGAACACCTGATGTATTCTCTCCGACTGCCACCTCCTACTCTCCCCACCACTTTATGACGTCCCGCCGGAATGAACCTCTTCCAGATCAATCAATCTCGCAATCTACCTAACGTTTTCTCCTCCCTTGCAGTATTCGATCCACTTGCTACGACCAAACTCACTTCCCTCGTCCTCTCCTGCTATTATCCTCTGACTTCGTCCTCTCCCTCTTTCTTTCTCTCTCTTCTAGAAACTCTCGTTCCCTTCCACCTCAAGCAAGCAGCAAACAACAATCTGCCCGATTTGACGCAATCGCCAATCCTCTCTGCCAGACTGCCTGCTTGACTCCTCTCTCTCTCTCGGGGAGAAGGAGAAGATGAAGAAGAAGAAGAAGAAAAGCAGGAAGATAAATAAGAAGAAGAATGCAACAAAACAAAACCACTCTCTCTTTCCTCTGACCCTGCCTGCCTTTCTCCCCTCTCCACTCCTCTACTGTCTGTCCTGCGTATCGGCCTGCCTCGCTCTCTCTCTCTCTCTCTCTGACTCTGTCTCAGCTTCCTGATGCTGCTGCTGCTGCTGCTGATGCTGCCTGCCCGCCCGCCCGCCTGCCTGCCTCCCTCCGAGCCTTCCTTCCTTCCTTCGTCGGCTCGTAGTCGTCCTCCTGTCACCTCTCCTTCCACTCTCTGCGCACAATGGACGACAAAAAGGGGAAGGGCAGGAACAAGAGGACAACAGCGCCACTGGTCTTCTATATCATCACTGTAACACGCCCCGCTCTTCCCAACTTTAGCGCTCCCGCTATTTCCTCCTCCCTCCGCTGCTCTTCTCTACAGTTGCCCCACGGTTATGTACCGCGGGTTCTTTCGCCTCGCCCGCTTTCCCTTCCTCACTTTCTTCTCACTCCATGTCTTCGTCGTCGTCGTATGCTCCATCATTGTCATACGTACATACATACATATCTGTCGCCTTCCCTCACCACCCTCGCTCCGCACCGTACGTCCATTCTGTACTCTGCTTATCATTCCACTGTATCGTACAGTATACTCTTCCTTTAATGCTTGCATTTTCCGCACGCATTAATTGCGTAATAATCCGCACCCCCCTCCCCCGTCCCCGTCGGATTAAACATCGTCAGCCCGCAGGACGAATTTCCTTCCCGATTTTATTATCGCTCTGGGAAAATGGTGGAATCCTCTGAAGATGCTCCCCCGCGAGCTAGAGCAAGGTGCGGACACCGAGCAGCGAAGCAAAATTTAGGTGCGTCGTGAAATGGCTGTCTAAATATACGAGGAAAAAAATAATGTAAAATGGAATGTTTTGGCGTTCTCTGGAGATTCTGGTGACTTGAGAAACATCCCACCAATTTTTTATGCACAGCGTGAGACACATGATCGTGCTAACAGTAGGACGAGCTCGCATCAGGTCTAGCTAGATTTGACCGACCTCGCTCCCGTGATTTGCAGCAGTCGCACAGCCAGAAGGTATGATTATTCTTCCACCCAAGTACATGTAGCATACGGCATGAAAATCACCACTGATACACCGCGCCTCCTGAGCCTGAGCCTGAGCCTGGCCGAACATCCTTCGACGTGCAGTACCATTTTCCATCGGAAGGTTTTACAGGTTCCCGACCTCAGGCCGAGGGCAACCTCGCATTCTCGAAAGTACTTTCCTGCACACGCCCCAAAAGGCCTTCTCTGGATTATTCAGCGTCTCATATCGGCTAGTTTAGGGCGCTGACGTCAATGGCTTGTGATTGCTTCAACAAAGACGAGCAACTTTGCAGCAAAATGAAGAAGTTGACCATATAACCAGTAGGTATGTCATTCTCTGGATAAAATGGTGTATTCGCTGTCTTTTTGTACAGATTCCGTATATATCATACCAGGTGTCGAAAAGCGGTCTCGTGGTATGGTGGAGAGAAATTCTCTGCATTCCAGATTGTTTCATGTATTTTGGACTGGCGGAGTAATAATAACCACGAGACAAAGAATGTCATCGACTGTTTGTTTGATTGTTCTACCTCCATACCCATACTATGTGTGCCTGATCCGTGTGTTTGGATAGGAATTTGGATAGTTACTGCTCAGATTGACTGTGTCGAGCTACCGAGCCTCGGGAACAATATTCGGATGCAGTAGCAGGCTCCACAGTCGATAGACTAAACTCTGCTGTTGACAGACCTTGTTAGTATGGCGTCTTTCGTTGGGTGCTCATTTTACAACAGCTTTGGTGTTCGTGAAGGCATAGCGTTTAATGATGGTCCGCTGGGATTTTTTGGAGGGACTTAGGAAATTCTTCCGAGTTGCGTGGGTGAAATAACTTGTAATATGTTGCTTTCGTTGTGATCCTTCTTTATAGTTGTATCGGAAGATATGGCCAGCTTTATTGTCCTAAGTTTCTTGTTTCAAAAACATCGGAAGCTGCGACGGATTAGTATTTTGTGAGATGGGCATCATAAAGGTCAATATTCTGGTCAGTGAGGGCCACGAGAAGGGACAGCCTTAACTGTTCCATAATTTTGTAATTTATATTTATGGTATGTTCTTATTTCGATCTATTTCAAAATTGCTTACATCCAGTTAATATTTCATGGCCGAGAGCAACAAGATTATTCGACATTAAGCATCCCATTATCACTTTTGGCTGAAGACTTAACTATATGGATCAATTTCACCTCATTGCCCACTGTTCTCGTTTTGTGACGTTTTCGGCTGAGAGTTAAATGATTTGAAAGTAAATCTGTGTGATTTACACATTGGGATTTTAATTCAAATACGAACTTGTCTTTCAAATCTCCTTGTGAAGAAAAAAACCGACAATTTCAACTTTGATAATGTACTGAGATCTTCATACTCCGCGAGCAATTAGTCAAATAACCTTTTACGTGGAAATAAAATAAACAGATTAGAAATTTCCTGCCGTGAAAGCGGAATCAACTCACGTGCAATCGTATTTTATTTCGCCAAGCATCATTCACTTAGTCAACATCAGAATCTCACTGATTAAAGTTCCACCTGGATGCCGATGGGAACGATATTCAAGTGAACTTCTTTGAGATCCTTCCTAGTGATGGGGGGGGATTGGATGGGGAGGGTGTGATGACGAGCGGTGCGGGAACTCGCATGGAGTATTTTTTACGTAAGCTTAATATTATCATGGAACATTATGTATAAAGAAAAGGGTGGAAAAATGCATTCCATAATTATTCTCCAATCTTATGTGCTGATTGTATAAGTTCCAAAAACATGAAAAGTATACTTTACTTGACGATCGTCTTCATGTTAAAATTTTCTTCTAGTTGAATCAAAATGCTTGAAAATGTAGAGAATCGATACTTAGTTGGGAAAATCTTTTGTTAATCTTCTTCACATATCTTCGAATAAATAGATTCGATACAGGTTTCAAATATTCAAGAAGATGGCGAATCATACAAAACCAACAACTGCTACAAGGCTAATTTATTCGGAAAGTCCAAAACAAAAACCATGTGAATTCATGGTAACGGAATATGAACTGAATATCAAAACATTAAGTATAAAAGGTTAAAGATTCTATATGAAGTTTTGGGTTTGATGCCTTTCTAAATATACGATTGGAGTAATCATCCCAATAATGATGACAATGATTACCTTATTTAATGTCATTGCTAACCTTAAATAACTTACGATCTACATGTCGACTCAGCTGGATATTTTATAATAAATAGGATTCACAGCAAGCATGCAAAAGGTTTGTCGTCCCCTACTCCCGATTACATCGAATTATAAATAGATATAAACAAATCTTTACAAACATGAAATTGAACAAAGGGGCTACTAATAATCTTGTTTCAGTCAGAATTCGATATTCTGTTGTTAAATCTTGACCTGCTATACTTGATTCTGTAGTCAATTTTTCAAACCAATTACATGTGTCGAAATATACAACTCGCCTGGGGATATGTTTATGTGAATTTGGTTTTCTTCAATTTGTTGAGTGGGATTTACACCAACTCACGTGTTCCGTAAGAAGTGAAGAAAAAAATATACTAGGAGGGGCTTCTGTCCTATAGTTAGTGATATGGATATGTAAACAGTGAATCACCATATACAAAAAATACAACATTCTAATGTGATTGTTGTAATATGAATAATCTTAATTGGTATTTTATCAGTTTTGAATTGAAAAGAACAAGTTAATGTTTAACATATAACGAAAATTTGGAAAGACTGATATTGCTCGTATTGTTTGTATGGCTATCTAGGACTTCTACATACAATGATGGACCTAAAATTTCATAGATTCAAGCTCTAGGATTAGAATAACAAGAAGATTAACTTTACCCACGCACTTCCAGAACTTGGCGGCACCCATCGTCTTGTTACCCATCCAGTAAGATGTATATTCAGCGTCTAAACTATGTTACATGTACAATAGATAACATGAATCTATGAAATCCATCACACTCAATAGCATGCCGATATAAAAGTCTTTCTTCGTTCACGAGGCTTTCTTCGAGAAAAGCTTGCAGTCACAATGGCATGCACGAAACGTTCTTGTCAGAATACCGAAATTGTGTACAGTATGCATACACGGATCGATGCGTACGTTGATTGGAATACGATAGAGGTAAGACATCAGAGTTCGTGGAAGTAATACACATGATTAACTGACAGCTGTAAGAAATCAGGAATAGAGTGCAGTGTGCACCAAAGATGGGACGAAAGCCGAAATGAGCTGAAATGCAGCGAAATGAATTCGGAGGAGGTGATGATCGGCGAGTAAACTGCACATGGCCGGGGGTTGCAGATACGACCTGCGGCGGTCAGCCTCGTGACTACAACCGCCAGCTGGTCTTCACGAGATTGCCCGCCCTCCTCGGCGCCCGCCCGCCCCCTCGCCCGCCGTGTAAAGTCGCCTCCCGGTCCCGCCGAACTTTCACGGGCCCGTCGAATGATCTCGGCGGCGCAGGGCAGGCCGGACTCGGCCGGTCGGTCCGTCGCCGAGGCGCGGGCTGCCACCGGCTCCCGTTGTTCTTGCGGCAGCGCACGAGAGTACGGAAGCGGAGCGTCGAAGGGTTTATCGAATTTGAGTTCAAACTTCGAACTTCGAGACGTTCGAGACGCTGGCGCTGGAAGTTGATGAGCCCTGTCGACGTGTACCGTTCGCGCGTCGGGGCGTCGGGCGGGGGTCTAGGATTATTCGCAATTTGGGTCGAGGGATCGGCTTCTTGAGGAGCTTTTCTTTCGATCTCGAGGTCTGCATGAGTCAGTTTTCACGCGCTAATTTCTCGTACTTTCATGAATTCACGATCTGATTGCTTCTCGTTCTTTTTCTCGCCTGAGACGATCGAGCTGTATGTCTTCACGCGCTTCGATTGCACTTTGCAAATCGCTCAATTTTGCATTTCAAGCTCTTGTCTCCATCTTTGTTTCGCGTGTCTCTAATAGCAGGGTACGCTTTCGGACGGGAACTGCGAATGACCAAGGGGATGGCAAAGTTTGTGTTAATTGTGATTGACGGGTTGATATTCTTGGCAGGCATAAATTCGGACGGTCGAAAGACGGAAAGACATGGGACGCAGGGCAGCGGTCGTCGTGTTGGGTGATATAGGGCGATGCCCACGAATGCAGTATCATGCCCTTTCTCTTTCGAGACAGGTATGAGGGTCTATCACTTCGTATCCACCTTGCGGTTCGCGAAATTCTGTTCGTCTGTTGCGCTATCGTCGCACAGTTGCGTAATGCATAGAAACTTCACTGATGATCAGACGGTTGTCCTTGAATTTGGCAGGCTGAAATGGAGGTTGACATAGTTGCCTTTTCAGGTAAGTGATAAATAATACTCTCACAAACGATGTGCATCAACTTGTTGTGCTTCAGCATTGTTTTGAACTCAAAGCTCACAACCTTGGCCAAGTCATTAACACGACACAAATCTTATCGAGAAACTTCAGGTTGAAAATGGCAACTGCTTGATTTGTTAGATCATTGGTTTTAATTTTATTAACCTTACTTCAGCGGAATAATGAGTCAAAGGCTGGATCACCGTTCTAGTTTGCACTGGAAGATCGAAGTAATCAAGACGAAGAAATCGAGATTCTACGGTACTTTTAGACATTCAGAGCGAGCAGATATACAAGGATTGAAGCCTCCGTAATTTAAAATCTGGATGCAGGCACCGAGCCGCATATGGCAGTCTTGGAGAATCCTCACATTCATCTGCATTTGATGGTGAGATGTCGTTCCATATTTTGGTTTCATCCTTTTTCTATGTACTCTGTATTTCCTCCATCTGTGTAGCATCTCTGCTTTGGCAACGGTGATCGGAACAGACTTTGATATCTTAAGTCTTCGCTCATGTGCCTTGCAGAAAACGCCATTTCCAGCAGGTTTACCCAGACTTCTGTATTTGCTATTGTTGCCCGTCAAAGTAATCGTACAATTCATTACTCTGCTATGGGTTCTCTTGAGGCAAATACCAGCACCGGATGTTTTCCTGGTACAGGTATGTCATTAGCTGGAGAGTATTATCTATAACACGGAAAACACAGTTCCCAACTAGCTGCTCTATGTGTGCATCTACCGATGGTTTGATCATTTAAACGAAAGTGCATGATCAGAGGAGAAGATACCCTTGAAATGTTTCGCTTAGAGGGAAGGAACACTTACAAGTGTTCCTTCCCTCTAAGCGATAAAGTTGATAAAGATAAACATAAAGATCAACTATAAGATAAAGATAAAGATAAACAATCTTATAGTTGATAAAGTTTGGACATGGCCTTCGTTTTTACAGCTGCACTATGCGTACTTGGCGCAAAACAATAATATTGCCTTGCTTATAAACTGAAGACTGAGAACCATATGGTTACCAACTCCGAACACAATGCAGAACATGGACCACCACCTCGCCACATGGACTTCGTTCTTTTTGAAGCCCTTGGACACCCTGGTTGATCTAGACTTGCCGAACTGTTCTGATTTTTAACCCATTTGGAACGCAGAATCCTCCATCGATTCCTACTTTAATAGTCGTCAAGTGGGCATGCTGGATACGCAAAGCCGGTTTCATCATCGACTGGCATAATTTTGGCTACACCCTGTTGGGTTTGAACCTTGGATCCAGCCATCCAGTAGTGCAAATTCACTTTTGGTAAATAAATGCGGAGATCATTTTTGACAACCGTGGACACTTTTAACATAGTTCGAGTGCTCATGGCTATAAACTACTCATACCATCTATGGCTTTTCTTTTATGTAATTCTCTTGTGTTTGGGTGCCTTGTACAGGTTTGAACAGCGCTATGGGAAGATGGCCGATGGATTTTTATGTGTCACGAAAGCCATGCAGCATGAGCTTGCTCAAAATTGGGGCATAAAGTGAGCCTAGATTTGCCTGCAAGAGTTAGATTCAATTGTTTACCTTTAGTCTTTAGTTTGTGTATGTTCGGGGGTCTTTTCTATGTTTTGATTGTGAGACAATGACTAAAACCTACCCCTTGTTGGGACTACGTATATGGGACTGGAAATAACGATTCTATTTTGCTGCAGGGCCACGGTATTATATGATCGCTCTCCTGAGTTTTTCCGCCCAATCACTCTGCAGGAGAAACACGAGGTAAGCTTGAACTTTGGAGAAGGGTTGCCAAGTGTTCCAAGCCGTTTCAAAATCTCCTTATCAAGATCTTCACCAAACACGCTGCCCTTATAAACTTCTTCTAGTGAAGGCAAATTTCATTTGACGTCTGGAATACAGATTCTTGAGTTAGCATGAAGGATTCCTTTCGTTCGTAGCTGTTCTACGGTCTAGAGTAGCCTTTTTAGGTAGTGTATTAAGCCTTTGTGCTCTTCAATTTTGCAGGTTTTTAAACGGCTTTACAGACAGTTGACAACACCATTGGGAAGTAAAGATTGTTGTAGTGATGATTCTCCCGAAGGCTCTAGGTATATGGATATATTGTACGACTCGGCCCCAAGTAAGGGGGACGCAACTGGTGAAACTAGAAGCCTACTCCAAGGAGATTATGTATTGCCAAATGTCCACCATACGATCTTGACGAGCCATACCATGGTGGAGGGCAGTGAAGGAGACACATCGGAGATAATGGAGGGTGATATGTATTCTTACCGTGATGGCCGACCAGCGGTAATTGTGAGCAGCACGAGCTGGTACGGGTTTGATCAATTGTACAAGTAACCGCTTATATGATTCTAATATTTTCAGTTGAAACTTGCCTCTTGGGTTACTATCTTTTTCTGCCAGTATTTTGAGAGATCCATTGAAAGTGGATTAACATGTATGCAGGACAGCAGATGAGGATTTCAACATCTTGTTGGAAGCCGCACTTATGTATGACCGTCGTGTTTCGGTCCTTCTAGGAGAAAACGACTCGGTTCTTGAGAAGGATTACACAGATGACCAACTAAAACCAGTGCCAGGCAGTCTATTTCCGAGACTGCTGATTATCGTCACAGGTTTGTTTACGTCATAGATTATCATGGTCTTTTTTTTGTACCAGTCGTTTGAATAACAAGATGAGGGGGGTAGAAGAATTTGAGATTGACTAGGACTTGTCGTGGGCTGCCCACATGTCTGGCACCCCTCGTGTTTTCTTGGCAATCAGGTAAAGGGCCAATGCGAGCACTCTACGAAGACCAGATTCGGAAGTTACGCCTTCGACGCGTTGCATTTCGTACCATGTGGGTTTCTGCAGAAGACTATCCACTCCTTCTTGGTATTAAGCAACTTTCATATCCTTGAAACTCAGGATGTTCTTACGCCGAAGCTTTCTTAGTGGCGCTCTAATGTTAGGAGTGCACTATAAATTTGGTTGACTCTGAGCAACTGTTTGTCCAAAGTAGTGATGGAATTGAACCAAACCACAATTAACTTGAATCTTAAAGCTCAAGTTTGGCTCTCGGTTTGCCAGGATCAGCTGATCTCGGCGTTTCTCTTCATACATCTTCATCTGGGTTGGATCTTCCTATGAAGGTAACGTGCTAAGTTTACCAATTCCCTTTGGATGGAGACGAGCAGTCGTCTTTGGTTGACGAGTTGCCTAAGATCTCAGCAAGTTCTAGATTTTGAAATTTTGGCTTTTATCAGAGAAAATTAGTCTCAATGCTAACGTCTCGGAAGTGCGCTCTTCTTTAGGTTGTTGACATGTTTGGCTGTGGACTTCCCGTTTGCGCCGCTTCTTACTCATGGTAAGGATATGACTATCTCCTCATAGACAGTTTCTCCTATATAGTGGAATTCATTCGTGAGATGTGTCCATTTTAAACCTATTTGGGTGTGGCTTGCGTAATCTAACTGATTGGTTACGGTCGCTTCTGAACCCGTTCATGCAAGGCAATGCGATATATGTACACTTTCAAGTCCATGTTTAGAAATCTTCATAGATTGTCCTAAATCAACTTGCTTCTCATCACTCAAAACCTGTTTGGAGCAGTATTGATGAATTGGTAAAAGATCGTCACAATGGTCTTTTATTTTCATCGTCTTCAGAGCTTGCAGATCAGTTGCTGGTAAGCAGCCTACCCCTGGCCGAAGTCCTTTAATTTCCTGCAGAAGAGAGGGAAGTCTATAGTTCCAAAGTGTTGAGCTAGGATCTTGATGGACACTTTGGACATCACTCAGCACATGTATGGATGATGCTGCATCACCTTTGACGCAGTAAGTTTGTGTACTGATGCAGCCTTCACGCCTTGACTCTTGACAAATACAGGATCTGTTTAAAGGGTTTCCGAACTCATGCCATCTTCTCAGCTCACTTAAAGAAGGAGCTCAAGCATCTGGGTCTTCAGCGCGGTGGAGTGATGAGTGGGCTGAGCATGTCCTCCCCATGATAACAAAGGTACAGTGGATTTTTTTTAATTAACTCACTACATACGATTCCAGTGAGGTAGTTACCCTTTATTTATCTTCACCAGTAAATTACAAATCACCTTGCTATGGACTACAGCTGGCCATACACAGATATATACATACTTTTCTGAACGAGTTGACGCAATACTGTGATAGCCGGACTCTTTTTGACTTATTTTCGACTAACTAGCCTCGTTGTCTCTACCACAGGTGGCAGAGATGCATCACTAAAGCCATGACGTCTTTGCACAATGATTGTATTTTAATGTACGAGGTTTTATTAAAATTATTATTTAAAAGATCTCGCTGCGTTTACATGTGAAGTGCTGATCGTATTTCATTGTAAGAATACGATAGTCCTCAAAAAAATTGGTACTTGTCTTTAAGCTCCCCCAATGAATACATGTCAGCTGAGAATGATATTGAATGTCCACCTCATTAATGAATTTTGGGAAGAGATTACCAATTGAATAGGATTGTGAAAGTTTTGACTATGGCTGACTGTATGAAAAATTTCTTTGAAGGACAAGATATCTTGTGCACTTCCAAAGGATAAAAATGTTGCAGTTTCTCGTGCAAAAAATCGAAAATTTCGTGTCTACTTTTGGAATGAGTCCCTCATCTCACTGTTTGAATTTGAAAAGAGAGAATATGCTCTCTTCCCAGAGAGAAGACATTCCAGCAACCCCAAGCCAAATTTGGGATGCTGGGGAGATCTCTGGACTGAGTTCAAGAATTCACGTCATCCATCTACTATGGTGTTCAAGATGACGAGTATCAGAAGTCCATTGTAGTGGTAAGTGGTGGCTTGAAGAAACAGACGTTTCTTTGATTGTAAATTACTTACGGACTTAGAGAACGTTGATGGAGGAGCGTTCAGAAGATAATAAGACAAGTCCCAAAACCGAGAGCTCTTTACGAGTTCATGTCTCAATATGTACATAATTAATCCAGCGCCTGCAAGTGCCCAACAAGCAAAGAGCTAAAGACACCAGACCAAAGAGAACCAGACGCAATAGCCAACCCCCAACCTAGAAGAAGAAGACCAACTGAGACAACTCCACCAGCCAGAAATCCAATCCAACAAGCACTGACCGCTAAACAACCTAGAAGACCAAACACAAAAAAGCCACAATGTTTAGAATTATCTCAGATGGTTTTGTATAGCCAACCCCCAACCTAGAAGAAGAAGACCAATAGAAGCAACTCCACCAGCCAGAAATCCAATCCAACAAGCACTAACCGCTAAGCAACCTAGAAGACCAAACACAAAAAAGCCACAATGTTTAGAATTATCTCATATGGTTTTGTGTAGCCAACCCCCAACCTAGAAGAAGAAGACCAACAGAAACAACTCCACCAGCCATAAATCCAATCCAACAATCACTAACCGCGAAACAACCTAGAAGACGAAGCACGAAAAAACCACAATGTTTAGATTTATCTCATATGGTTTTGTGGAAACTCAGGATGATTCTAGAATATAAAGATTATTCAATTTTTTTCATGTTCCAATCACGTTAATTATAAACTTTTCATTCACCATTCAATTACAAACATTGATCATTCATCATTCAATTACAAACATTGATCGATACTCAAAAAGTATATCGTAACTCAAACTTATATTGATGAAACAAGTTCTCATCCAATTTTTTATCCAAATTTGTTTGAGAGTATCTTCTCTAACTCTCTAGTTAGTTACCATAGGAACATATGGTAATAAACATCTAACTTACATTTACAAAGATAAATCTAGGTATGTTTTACTAATTCTCAATACTTGGTAACATGTCATTCACATACCCAAACTTTCTAGAAATTTATTTGTTCCTAGGTTGAGATGATGACATGTCATTTAAAATTTTCAAACTTCCAAAACTTAAAACTTAGTTTAACCAATGAAATGTATTTAATTTAGTCAAACGAATCAAAACTAATCATCTAGTCAAAAGTATTTTCTATTGAAATCTAAACTTGTGTAAGAAACAAAATAATAATGATCACTCAAATCTTCTAAAATTTTACTAATGACTATGGCAAGTCTAGACATAATAGCCAAACTTAATTATAACTAGCTAGACTTAGTCATAAGTAACTAAACTTAGTTATACATAAACTAATCATGATCAACTCATTGGTTATTTATAATACTACTTCACACATACCACAATCGGTTTTATTGAGTGTTGTCCCGTCATGTGGGTAGGCATAACGTGGAACCTTAAAGATAAAGTGAGGATCGGGGCGAATATACAACCTCCTAGCGAAAGGAAAAAAAGGGTCAATTTTGAGTGCTGGTCGGTCATGTGCCTGAAGCTTATGTTTTTTCTTCCAGAAGAGAATAACGTTCCAAGAGTTTTGCTGAGCCGTCTCTCATTTCTAATAGTACATTTACTACCTAAAACGTTTTCGATCATTTGAGCAATGAACAAATGCTACTTAGAAGAATTACGTATAGTAAATTCTACCAATAAAGCAATAGCCTTGTCGACTGTGTTGCAAATTCTAGCATGAATGTTGACGTTGACAACTAGAGTATAATATAGAACCTGATTTCTACTCAATCAAAGATGACTACATATTTTTATCATCAGCATCCATTCTGCTCCGCTTTGACAAGCACTTGATCTTTGCAGGCAGAACTCCAAAGGATGCAAAAGATTATTTGCTTGCTTGAAAATATTTTTGTGACCAGCACTGCTACAACGCAACTTGGCCACAACATCACAAGTATTTCAAGTGTGATGACAGTCAAACAAAATATGAAAAACAGATTTTCACGCGTTACATACTCTAGGACGGTAACACCGGGTGTTGTCTGTGGGAAATGTTTGTAGGAAGCAGCCAAGGATTTAATCATGGTTAGCTTAGTTATGACTAAGCTAATTCATCGCTTTCCTGGCATTTTCATTAAGATCTCTCACGTTCCAATAAATCACATTCATCGTGAGAATCCTGATATTATTGTTGGTGTGATTCATTTTTCACTAAAGGCCGCTAGACCAAGCTAAATATATCAAGATGACTGTTGGCGTGATTCATTTTTCACTAAACACCTCTAGGTCAAGCTCAATATCTCGAGATTAATGTTGGTGTGATTCATCTTTCACTTAAGGTTGCTTCACCCAATTCAAATGTGTATCGAATCACAAAGTGCATTCTATCACAAAAAAAACAATAGCACTATCTAGTAGGAAGAATTTTTTGTTGAAAAAAGCATAAGAAAATTTCTTAGACTCTTTGACAGGTATCTTCAACCATTTTTGTACTAAGTAACATTTCATGCAAGCAAATTTGGCCTTCAGAGCGAAAGAAAATGTTATTTTAGAAAGTGCATGTTTCTTGGATGCTTTAAAGCAAAAATTTTGCATCGTTGTCTTTTGCGGCTCTTCAGTATTAGCTTCTTGCTGAGAATTCACTTGTTGAAAGAAGAAATATTCACTATCGCCTTGAGTCTTAGCATGATAAGTAGCATTGCAATCATGATTAATGTCACACAAGATTTCAATTTACGAGAAAAGCTAATATACATCAACAAGATACAGTATATTCTCTTGAGCATCAAGAACTTCTTGTTGAGTAGAAGCTACAATAGAAACCAAATCATTTGCAGAAGATGTTTTGGCTTTAGTTTTTTGCATTGAATCCAGGCTTACGAGAGTAAATTTCCTCTTCGAACCAACCAAGTAATCGAATCCAAGTAGTTTGTTACCAATTTTCTCATGTAATAAACTAAGGAAACCATTCCAACCAGTTCGCTATATTTCTTCTTTCTAGAGACCAAATTTTTTCAATAGAGTAAACAAGGGAAAAAAAATTTGTTCATAGTCACCTCCACTCTTTTTTTTGCTGTCAAAGGTGGGATAGTACTGAGAAGCATTTTTCCAAAGTTCAAGAGAAAAGATGCTCTTGAATCTTGAGGTTGAACTGAAGTTCGTGAGAAATAAAGGAATTATCTGCAGAAGGTTTCTTCAACAATTACATGTATTGTGTAGACTTATACTCTTATAAATTGGCACCTTCATTTGGCACAAGGATCAAGCTTGGAGAAGCTTGATCACTTCGGACCACATCAACACGAATCCTAAAAGATCATTACTCACAAAGTACTTTGCACACTTCCACCTTGTTTTTACTAAAGAATGGATTCATTGCTTCTACAATCTATGGGTTGGGCCACATTGCAAAACAAAAAAGTAGACAAGGTGGAAACTTCATGATCGACCCCTTTTTTTGAAGTAATTTTTCCAATTTTATCGAGTATAGCATACTTAATTCTGATGGATGTATGCTTGTAAGGATTGTTGCGCCCTCTCCACGAAATGTTGTCTAGAGAAGCAGAGGTGAATAGTGGATCTTCTTGGCATTGGACTGCAAAATGTCCTTGCATTCTGCATCAAAAACATGAGTTCAAAAGATGTGTATTCTCAATGGGAATACTCTCACGCTCCTCACTCAGTTTAACCTCAATAATAGATAGAATTTCTTTTTGTGTGATAATTTGATGAAAGAGTGAAAAACAAGGCAGCTTGTTCAATCCATCCTTCAAGAGATAAAAGAACAGGATCCAAGGTTTTGCAATCTCCATCAATTATTGGAATTACACTGAAGATAGTAAAGGAAAGCGCACACACATTGAATAACACGTCAATAGATAGTCATCTTCATCCGCATTTTCAGTCCATTAAAAAAAATTTATTGTAATAATTCTTGATACAAAAATTAGAGAAAGTTGAATCACTATGCTTCACCCTACTAAACTTCACTTGAAAGTTGCTACTTGCCATGTAGAAAAACGTCTTAGACAAAGAGTCTTTTATGTCTGACAAGCTCACCATCCACCCAATCTTAGATGTGATCCAAGCTTAACCTTGTATCCATGAAATATATCACTAACATGTATTCTCTTTTAGCTTCTTGTCTCCTCTGCACTTCTTCCAAAGAAAGTTCAAGAGACACTAAGTTGCCTCGTTAATCTCCTTATTAGTATCACCATCCATTTTTGAAACTAGAAAAGATAGATACTTCTCATAGATCAAGCATCAATAAGTTGTAAACTTGTTCAATTCAATTTTTGAGACAAAACAATACACAATGGATCAAATTTGAACCCCAAGAACTTTGGTTAACGACGTCGCGGCAGTCTTCAAAGTCAATTTCTAAAACTAAGTTTCAAATTCTATTTCCTAATTCAATAAAGATGAGAAGTCACTACTTTGAAGAATATCCAAAGAACAACACTTATCCTCATCATGGTTGCCATCTGCCTCCAAACAAGCTCAAAAACGTTGGATAACTATGATAATTTGTTGTTCCTACCTTGTTGGTGCATAACGCTGCTAGACCTTTTATCCTACGTGTTTTGCGTTAGGTTAGGGTTGAGCTAGAATTCTGCTCAAATTTCTACTTGATATTGTTTTTTTTTTGATAATGTACAATTATTATTCAATTGTATATAACCACAAAAAATTTTAAGATTTTATTTTATGGAAATATACAATAGATTTGAGATAATTTATTTTTCAAAAAAATGAATCTAACTTTACTCGAGACATGTGTATGGTTGCAACTTGTCGATACACATGCTTATATTTTGTTGAACTGTAAGGGGTTTAGGATTAAGCTCTAAATTGCTAAACTTACACGTCTTGGAGTTTAATGTCCAAATTCATATTTGATGTTTAAATAATATGTCAAATCAAACTCGATGTGAAGGTATATTTATTCTTTGTGATATGCTGCATGTCTACCTTTTTAATTTGATAAACTGAAAGATTACATAGTTTTTTAGCTTATTGTGATGTATAAACTTGTTGTAATTGTTGAAAGGCATTTTCTTCAAAGTCAAAAAATCAAACGTACATATATAATGTGACATTCTTTGTAGATTGTCTTTTGCCAACATTTTTTTTTGGTATAATACAATGATATTTTAAGAGAGGGGCTAGTTCTCACTCACTGAGGGCAATTAACCCTCACCCTATTGCACCTTCTTATCTTATTGATCGCACATTTTATAGTTACCACTGCATGGATCAATAAGATAATTACGCATAGTAGAGTGGTTGCCTATTAGCATTAAGTTTAAATATCTAGCCGTTTTCTATTCTGAGTGCACTTGCGATTGTTATTTTGTTACTTTATTGAAAATTGAATTTGTATAATGAGGTTGAAATTTTCACTTAGGTGTGGCTTTTATCTTCTATTTATGGTGGACAAAAGTGATATATGGTCAGAAGAGATTAACAACAGTTATATCATATTTTATGTAATAGAATGTACGAAAGAAAGGGACTTATTGATGTTTGGCTCAAAAAATCGACACATTTTTGGAACATATTTTTTCGACTTATTAATGTTCTGACTTTGTCGTTTTTTGACAAGAAAGATGTTTTCAGATGAATGTTCAGGAAGTATGTGTAACGGTTGTATGATTACGAAAATTTATACTGACAGTGAGGAAGCGTATGATATGTAACATGTGTTACATTTTCATAAGTATATTGTATGTATATACGCACTATGGCGGCGGAAAAACATCCATTTTAGAGCCTGGAACTTTCCTTCAGATTTGCACACATTTGTAGCTCTACCATCTTATCCTGAAATTTATCCAGCAAATGTCCCCACAACGCTGTGTCACAAATAGTGAGATCAACCACTTCTACTAAAATATTCTGCACATGTCAAGGGATGTGTACATGCTGGTGCAGTACACATTTCAGCACATTGGCAGTGTAAAGCTATTTTTTCACGACATGCAATGAGACAGTTCACATTTCGGACTTACATCATCGAAAGTTCTAATTACGATGAAGCACATACATCAAGAACTTTCTTCATTTAAACCTGCTTTCTAATTAATGAATCGTTTTTCTACCTGTAAATTACAACACGACCCCGGCGAGTTAAATAATACAGTCAAACTTCTCTCAACGAAAATGTTGTTCCCTATCGGCACCGTCACTTCCCACACGCTATCCACACCATTTCTGGACATGCATTTTCCATTCGAGGTGTTGTTGTGGTTACAAGACTTGATACCTACTTTCCTTCCTTCTACTTTTACTCGTAGAGTACAAAACAGATTGGATTGGAGTGTGAAGAAACCCTGGTTTTCAAATCCAATGGAACTTTCGACAAATAAAAGACCCAATTCCTCCTCCTCGAGTCTCCAAAGTTGGTGGCTCCCATTCCATAGTCATGACGAAGAGATTAATCAGGCGCTGGAATCTACAGGTACAGCAGCTTCGGCTGCAGCCTCGGAGGCAACTGAGGGTGATGAAGTGTCGTCCACTAAGAGCTCTGGGGCAGCTTGAACTGCTTCCTCAATCACTGCTGGCACAGAAGCAGGTTGTTCTGGGGAAAACTTTGCAATATAGTAACTCAGAGCCGGACCAGTGTATCCGACTGTGATTTCTGGTGGGGTTGGAACATTCTTGGTCACTGAAAATAAAACAGTGGCAGCTCCTGCGACAGCGAACAGCGACAGGAAGCCTGCCACTGCCAAGTTGTTCTCCGCTCCTTCAGAAGAAGTGCCAGCTGAGTTAGAGCTAATGGCGCTGTCTGCGACGTACATGGTGGGCTGCATAGACACATTACGATTCTTCGCTTAGACCAATATTCTGACAAACATTGTCAACAGATATCAATTGAATGCCAGAAAGACCATCAACAGCTCTTTCCTACAGTTACTTGGGACATAGTCGCACTCTCTCTCGAGTGAACGTGTTGACCACTTTCACACATACTGTGCTTTGAAGTCTGTTTTCATTAGATGATGGCAGCAAAGTTCGGGATTTCGCTTGCGGAGTTTGGCTCATGACCAAATCACAGTCATCACTGACCTGAAAGAAATTGAGCACGACAGAAGGAATAAATCTAACCTCGACGGAGTAGATGTTGGTTTGTCCGGCCGTATCTTTCTCGACGTAACCTGTCCACTTCCTTTCCTGTCTTGCAAGAGGGGGGAATGTGCCTGTCACCTTGGTCTTTTCCTGCGCTTCCCATGACATGCTCAGCTTCCCAACCTGTACATTGAACATAGAAGTTAGAACCTCTTGTAGTGGCATACAAAGAGAGATTCTTTCTATACGCTGAGATGGTCGAAATTGGCGACATATGAAATTACAACAATGTTGGGGGGGACGGACAATAAGAAGGATCAATACAGAGAACCTCGGAATGCACAGTGAGTGTACGTCAACGCAGCTCTGCCTAAACAAATCTACTTCCAAACTACTGAAAGATGTGGCACATGTGGTTCATTCCGTTAAGAACATGACGAATTCGACATGCACAGTGAGGACGGTTGATGTGAATGGAATTACACCTAAATTTCAGGATCATTCCTGAAGCTAGGAGTCTGGTTGGAATATGGGGTATAAGTGGGGAATGGACGAAAAAGAATAAATAAACTCAAAGATACCTCTTTCGTCGGCGCGCATTCCTCCTCGTTGCATTCCGTCACTTCCTCAGAAGCTCTAACTCTGAGACTAGTCCTGCGTGGGCTCGACCACTGAGCTCTAGAAGCGAGCGACGGCCCGCACGGAGCCGCAGCCCTGGAAGCCAGAGAGCGGCTGGAGCTGCAAGTCATCTGCGAGACACCGAGAGCCGGTGCCATGCCCACCATATCTGAAAACACTCCTCCGCACGTCGCTCGATTCCCAAGCTCGAGGAGACCGCGACCGAACCGAACACAAACTCAGCGCCTGCCCCGACAATTAAAAAACCTTCGGAATTCCGACGAAATCCCGACGAATTCCGACCAAAATTTCACACAACAATTCCAACTCCGTCACGAGAAGCAAGAAAGAGCCGATCGCTTCGATGGCTTCTGGAGGACTCGAGAGGAGAGGAGGGGAGGGCGGAATGATGGGCGACGACGAGGGCAGGGGGCGGCTAAGACAAGCGGAATTGCGCGAGAGGCCTAAAAGGCGCTTGCGGGGATCGATCAAGAAGACGAGGCCAGCGCGCGAGCAGTGCCGCGCAGCGTCGGCAGGAAGATGTGGTGCGTTACGAGCCAAGGAAAGCGGGGCGCGGGGGAGCCGACCAAGAAAGACGCTCCGGGAGAGTCAGGAGCGTCGGAGCGTCGGGCGCGGGGCGCGGGGCGCGATGGGTTCAGACATCGCCATGCTCGTACATCATCCACCACCACACGTCGGACGGATCGCTGATCGGGCCGAGGCCCGACTCGCTCGCGGCCGCAGTATCTGCCAGGTGGAGTTTCGCGATTGGACGACATCCAGCCATGTAGGATCCACCATGCCAGATCTTATTCCCTCCGCGCGGACCTCATCCTGTCCACCAAATCGTATGGGCCTACATGTCGCCTCCCTTCCCTAATCACATTTCACGACGTGCTTCCTCGCTCCCCATTTTGGCGGCGGCTCCCCACTTCCTATTGTTTTAGCAACAGTTCTGGCGATTTTTCCCTCTTGCAATCTCCTCCACTATTTTAGCTAATCATGGCTACTCTTGGTCATTCTAGTCTGGCTCCATTCCCATGTTCACGAGGTACGGGGTCACACGAACATTCTGCCCCGAGGGCCTCAGCGACGATCTGCGACTCATTGCTCTTGCTGCGAATTGCGTCCATTACACTTGACTTGCATGATTCGTCAGTTCACAGGCCTGTGATGTTCGTGTCCCAGCCGTATTGAACATGAGGAGTGGGAGATTTGGATAAAATTGGGTGGTTGGGCTCGGTTAGGCCATGAATTTCTTGTTCCGAAGAAGAGGACCACAGGGAATCCCGGACCAGGACCGCTTCTGACTGCATTTATCTACGCTGTGGCACCGTTTCAACGAATTGGGTAGATTCACATTGGTCATTATCGTGTACTGAATCTGCTCCTCTGTCGGGATACACTCATTGTCTTCCCTCTCAGCATCTGCATTCATTGTCAGTTAGTAATATGTAGTAGCAATTGGCATTGAATAATTTTACTATTCATATTGGTTTACACAATTTCTTTCTTCTTTTTTCTTCAGCCATTTTTCTCCTTCCTCGCCTTTCCTTCTGTAGAAGATTAGCAAAGTGTAAAGAATTCATTTTGTATAATAGTTTTAGTCCATTACTATGATATTTTCCCATTTTTCCTCTACTCTCGTTACATGATCCAGTCAAGTTTTCTAGATTCTAGGAATACAGAAACTCTTCCCTTATCTTTGTTATCACGACTAGATTATGTGACTATTTCCATTCAAGTTACAAATAACATTACAAGGTGGCGGATTCAAAAAGTGTTCACACAAGCAACATGTTTCAATTCCGAGATATACAAATTCACAGATTCACAACACAACATAGATTGCACACCATGGACACTGAAGTGGATATCCGAGGCGGAAAAACGTTCGTATCAAACCGATGAATTTTTTATGTCCCAAAGTTGGAAAATTCAGTTGATAGTACAATGAAGTTGTGTCATATACATTTACAATAGATGGAGAAAGTTCATACTCGTTACCCTGTCTAGGGTGTCACCCTGAGATCCAAAATTTGAACCCTATAGTCAAGACTGTGTACCCTCGATGGAAAGTATTGCCGGCAGTGATGAGCTTCTTCGAAATAAACAATAATCACCAGCACTACGTCCTTCACCTTTGCACGAGTCATACACCTGACCGACAGTCTATACTCTGGACTTTTGGCCCTCCCTACGAAGAGCATTGGCCCTGACTAAGCTACCAATGGTGTTGAATGCAAGCTTGATGTCGTCGAGTGGATTACCAGGAACGACAGTCTTGTACAAATAACTGTCAAATGTCATCTTTTGAACGTAATCGTCAGCGCACATCTCTACGAAAGCCTCACGAGCCGGGTTGGACCTGTAGAAGACCTTCTGGAGAATATCCAGAACCTTGTAAGTTGGCCAGTAGGTCTTGTCCCATTTCTCCAAGTAAACTCTGAGGTCGGCCTCGTTCACCATCCTCGTTCCATTGCCAGAACCTTGGACAATGGCTTCGGCACACATCCGACCGGACTTGGCGGCGAAGTAGATACCCTCGCCAGAGCATTTGGTAACATAACCTGCTGCATCTCCGACCAAGGCAACGCGAGCAGCAACTCGGCGGGGCCTGGGGTGCTCGGGAATGGGGTGAGCTTCAATTCTGATGATTTCTCCCCCAGCAATTTTGTCCTTGGCACGGTTGCGAGTAGCAGTTTGGTACTTCTTGATGGCGGGCTTGTTCACCACGGTTCCGGTCCCTACAGCAACGTGATCACACTTGGGGAAGACCCATCCGTAGAAGTCAGGAGAAACATCGTCACCGACGTACATCTCGGCCAAGTTCTCGTAGTACTCCATCTTGTCAGCAGGAATTTTAATCCTCTCTTGGAAAGCAATGGCGTAGTCGTACTCTCCAGCGTCGATGTCCTTCGCTACACGGCTGTTTGCACCGTCGGCACCGATGACGGCATCCACCTCCAGAGTCTTCGCGACTCCGACCTTGCTGCCATCGCTGTAATCGTTGTAGTGAAGGACGTATGGCGAGTTGTCATCCTTGGGAATGTCCATCTTCAAGAACAGACCATTGATAACATTCGCTCCGTAAGACTGGGCGCGGTCGCGAAGGTAAGAATCGAGAACCTCCCTCCTCACCATACCGATGTACTCGTTCTCGTTCAACGTCTTACCGACGTCCACGGCGACATTGGAAGGAGAAATCATTTTCATCTTGGTGACCTTGCGATCGATAATGTCCAGCGGCAAGTTGAATTCACCAATCATGCACAGAGGAATGGCACCTCCACAAGGCTTAGCATTATCCAACTTCCTCTCAAACATGAAAGTCTCGATACCTCCCTGGGCGAGAGTCTCGGCCGCACACCCACCAGCAGGCCCGCCACCGACGACAGCGACACGCAATTTCCTCCCCTCCAAAACCTTGCTGCTCCTCCCGGCGTAGATGGTGAGAGTGAACTCCTCCTCGACGGCAGCCTCGGCGTGCACGGCCTCGGTAAGAGAATCATACTCCTTCTTGAAAACGCTTCCGGCTCTGAGGCCATTGAATGTCTTCAGCCCCGCGGAGGCTGAGGCGGAGCTCTGCTCGCCGAGGACGACGGACCTCACCGCGCCGAAAGACCTCGAGGACGAGGCGAAAGCCGCTCCCTTGACCTCGCTCCTCTGCAAGACATCGGTTGCCCTCCCGACGCTAGACGCCGCGACCACGGAGCTCGAGGCTCCAGCCAAAGCAGCAGAAATCGTCGCTGCCATGACTGCGATGCGGTGCGATTCTCTTGACCTCGCTCTCGATCTTCCTCTCTCTCTCTCCTTCTCGTTCACTCTCTGCACAGCTCTCCGCGACTGAGGAGCTCAAGAACGAGCTCGACTGGCGTCGGAGGAGAACGAAGAGCTCGCTGGACGCTCTCCAGGTTATCTCGAGGAAAGCGCGTCAGGGAAATCCGGATTAGGCACTAAGCGGAGCGGATTAAGACGAGATCTCAATTACGCCCGGTAATCGAGTCGCGACTGGTAATCGGGATTAGTTCCGAGTGTAGGCCGGGTCGGGTGTAACAGTTCGTTCCGAAATCACGACGTGGCGGAGTTAGTGTCGTGATTAATTGCGATTTGGGCGGGGGGCGGGCCCGGAGGAGGTTAAGTGGGGGTTAAGGGGACAGCGAATGGCTGAGCGGGTGAGGATCTTCGACCACCTTTATCCGCAGCTTTCATCCGACTGGGCTCAGGTCCGGTGACGTGGCGCGGTGGGGTTCGACGGGCCGATGAGAAGTGATGATTGGAGGCCAATTGCGAAGCGATTGTGGCGATCTGTGGCGGAAGAGATATTTGCGGGCCATGGCATCGTCGCTACTGCGCTCGGATAGACGCCGACAGCGGTCCGTCACCACGTCGCCTTCTCTGGCGGTGGCCCCCGGCCTACGGAGTTCCCTCCAGGCCCACTCCCACAATACAGTACCTCCAAAAGCTAGTCACAAAAATAATATTTTTTTCCATGACTCGGTAGATTATGCAAACCGTTCCCACAATACAGGAGCGTCAGTTGATGAAATGCTAGCTGAATATCAACTTGACATCTGAATTTTCATTCAAGAGTTTTCTAGACTGAGATTCTTTTCTGGAAATATATGTAATATTTTATCATGACTTTACATATTTTATTAAATTATGAAATCTCCCGACTATTATTCTGCAAGGAAGTTATCGTGATTATAAAATTATATTTCCAAAATAAAAAATTTTCCATAATTTTATTAATTTATAAATCTCCAAGTATATCAAACATGCGAAGAAGTTGCCATGATCTATATTGCCAAAAAAGCAAACCCATTATTTCAATTGTGGACATTATATGATTGCCACTGTTGGTAAGGGGTTTTATAATATAATAGAGAAAAACCGAATTGCACGCCAAAGGAATATAATTCTAGAATAATATATTGAACGAGAACTGTGCAAATCAGGGAAAACATGCATTGCAGTTGGTAGACAGCTTTAATAAGTCAATTATTTTGTAACCTACTTGAACACATGTTTCAAAGAACATGCGTCTAGAGTGGACTGCAATACCCAGCGCCAGTTTAGATGGAGCGTTGAAGTTAGTGTGGCCATTTTACGCATTTTACCAAAACGTGGAGACATTGCCTCCAATAATTACTCAGTGCATCTTGTAAAATTGTCGTGCTTTTCTTTTTCATTTCTAATTATCGGTTATTATCATATAACTTGTTTTTCTTCTTCACTTCAATTATTGGTTATTATTACATTACGTGTTTTTCTTTCTCATTCCTAATTATTGGTTATTATTATATTAGATCCATTGTTGCAATAATATCCAATGTTGATTTCCATTGACATCTACATATTTTTCTCATACAAAATTTTACCGCTGCTAAACAACTGGATCTAGTCTGCGACATGTGCACAGGTCAGGTGTTTGCAGAATCTGACTAGAATCCCACATTTGAAACTCACATTCACATATCGATGTCTTGGAGTGGGTTTGGTAGTATTTTACATCACAAGTTTATTATAATTTCGCTAATCCGCCATCGCTTTTGTTCGCATTCATATGAATGTGGATGTCTCTTAAAGTACCAACGGTATGACAACTCTGAGATATCTTGGACATTTCGTTTGGACGTGAAGTACAGTCGAATTAGATTCATGTAACTACATACATATAGACCTATAAACCATTTATCTATTATGGATTTTCAATTATGTCGACATCTAAATGAATCAATGGCAGTTTAAGTCCACACTCTTGTAGTTCGCCTTAGATCGTGGATATGTACTAAATCATGGATCAGAATAATCTTATCAGGGCCTCTAACCCTCATGCCTTAAAGATTGTAGGTTCTAAACATTTTGAGATTTTCTGAATCAACTTCCCAGTACACTGGCAATGTCGTAAATTACATACATGAAGTTTTACAATAGTAAGTAGTTTCCTTGCTCAACCCATAAACAAGTGCAGTTGCATCGACTAAACCACACAATCGACATTCAACTTTACTGACTCATTCCATGTTTAGATTATGATGCATTCATCAGACAAAATATTAAGACATGACTCGGAATTCGACTAGTATCAACATTTCTGTAGAGAGCAGAGAAGGTGACTTGAGATGGCATTCACCATCTCAAGTTTATAAGAAGGTAAACAAGTCCGCAGAGTAATTCAGTGTAAGGAACTTACCACACTCAGTATTAGAGTCATCAATGACAAGTTTCATGAAGATACACTCACACAATAACAGTTTTGCCGATGACAACACGTACATTCATACTGCCAAACATTTACTACTGAGAACTAACTTTGAATATCATTTGGTTCTTTGCCGTCTACATCCATATCTGCACTGGATTTGGTTGTAGTATGCAAGGATCTAGGGTGAATGTGCATACACTCGGCATACGGGAAAATCTCCCAAAATCTACAGCCCAACAAGTCTGCAGTGTAGTGGCAAACACAGAACAACTGTGTGAAAAAACTGTGTTGAAACCTCCATACATGAATATTTGACACAAATATCCAACAAAATTGGAACGGAAGAGTTATAAACAAATGATGTTCAGAAGGACAACAAACAGCGAGCCGAACCACCTGTAAGTTGTAAGCTGGACATGGTCCAGGACATATACAACCATTATATGAAACATGACTAATCATTTGACTTAGAACAATGAATGATTGTCACAAGCTACGTTGCCAAGCTTCTCCCAAACGTCCTGGTCATCTTGCACTGCGATCTACAAAAAGTAGAGCTCAAAAAGAACAAAACTCGAACTCCGAAGCCAATCATCTACAATGTCATCACAGTACTTTTCGCACATATTATATGTGCGCTTTGCAGACAGGACAAACCGCCTGCCGCTGCAACCACTTGTCTATACACTGCGAAACGAAACAAACAGAGCAACTTGATTAGTATCCTTATAATGTGCCTCATTTAGTAAAAGAAGTTGCCATCTTAATAATAAGTACCAAATGAAAGTTTCAGCCTGGAAAATAGTAAAGTATGGTGAATGATATGCAAACGAACAAATAAAAGACAATGGTATATCTCCTGAATCACCTTCGAGTGGAATACATGTATGCAAGGAAGACGACGTATAACTTCTCCAGAAACTTGCATCTCGAGACATATTGAGCACGTGTCCTCACATACATCGGTGGGCTGTCAATTGCACAATGCAAACTCCAGTTAGAAAATATATCGTGGCGAACGCGAAATGGAAAGAAGCAATTCACGTGCAATATCACTTCACTTCAACAGCAAGTTCAGCGCAGTTCAGTCTGCCATACAGTTTTGGCAGACTGCGTCAGGCAATTTCACAAACATTTTAAAGTTGAAGCACAAACCTGAAGTGTAGTCAGGGGTAAAAGATTAATTTTCTCAATCGTTGCTCCTCTATTTCTGTCTATATCCGTGTCGAGAGCAAGTAGCATTTCATAATCGTTCCTGAACAAGAGCATTCGTTCTGCATATATCAGTGACCTAATAAACAACTCAGAACCTACTCTCCAAGAACTAAAACCAAATCGGGGTTTACTGCACCATATGCAGTAAACCCAGTACTAAACGCTTATTTAGCTTCGGAGACTATGGCATCTCCAAAACAGACAGACAACCAAAACGCGATTCACAACGGAGGTCCTAATAGCTTCAAAAAAACTTACTCGTTGAAATCACGGTCAACTTGTGCCAACTGCAGGCCAACAGACACCTGTTCTTGAATAGCATTTTCCAAAGCTGCCAGAACTTCCAACCTCTGCAAAAGATTTATACCAATCGAGTAAAAATTTGACATGAAAAGGAACAAATAATACGCCTCAAAACTTTGGCTTCCCACTTCTTATCGGTACCTTACAATTTTCCTTACAAACTACCGAGGCTAAGCATGACGTCTAGCTGTGAAGCTGGTACTGCTCGTCAACATTTAGCTACAGCGATATGTAACGCACTAAGTGGAGTATCAATCATAGTTTAAGAAAAATAACTTGCGGACTATGGGAAAACATAAACGAGAGCTGCATCTTTTTTTTAAAATGAAGATTAAAATGATTACGCTGAATAACTCACCGATTCCACTGTCATGTGGGATGGGAACTGAACCCTTCCCCCTGGTAACTCTGCATCCATGTCTGCCTGTCCTCGATGGAACTGAAAGAGCCGTCCATTTCTTACAACGGGTGGGAAGTTGAATCTGGAACTTGATGATGATAACGATGAGGTCTCCGAGCGAGGTCTGGAAAGCCTAAAAACCCTGGGAGGAGATTCGCGCATATCTCCCAGGTATCTCTGAACATAGAACAGGTTTGTTTGAGGAAATATCCTTCAATAGTAGCAACTCACTTTCCCTCTACCACAACTGACAGGGTCGAAATTGTACTAGGACACATAAAACTGAAGTGAACAGACTTATCTATTTACCTGCACAGCAGAGAAACCAAAAAGATCACCACCGCGGGTGTGTCTGAAGTCTCTTGCAATATTGTCTTCCTCCGCTTGCAATCTTCTGGCTAGAGACTCGTCATCCTGATAATCAACAGATCAACAGATTATAAAACCTCTACCATCAATTCAGGTGCTCCAAATGAAGGTTTAAGAAAAAAAAGCTATAATATGTACTAATCCGAAAAAAGAAAACATTGCAAGCCACGAGGTGCGTGTTAACTTGTCCAAGTTCCCGTGTTAACTTCCCGCCCGCTGTCAAAGATGGACGACCCTTTCAGCTCCATAATGGACAGGCTTTATATATGTAGTTATTTCTTGAAGTATTCTGTAGCTCGTACTTTTCACTGATTTTTTTCATATTTAGAGGTCTAAACATATAAGCCACTCAGTATGAAGGAAATCAATGGAAATTACGGAGAAGTGAGCAGAAGATTTAGTATGACTTACAGGAACTTCACCGCCAGCTGCTTCCGAAACATATGCGGCCTGTAGTTCTCTAGCAATCCTCTCATCCTCTGCTAGCTGCCTTGATCTCACAGTGTTATCATCATCGTCAGAGTCACCAAAGGCCAAATAACTATCGGAGTAGCAGAACGTTTCCTGGCTCATTTGCCCAGGCAGCCATTCAGGCCCAAAAATGCTACCACCGATGGTGGGATGCCCACCACTTGAAGTCGTGTCAGCACCTGGAAAGAATCGTCCCCCCCTTCGACGATGATTCCCAGCTATGGGTTGATTATTTACAGACGCATCGTCCAAGATTCTAAGGTCGTCAAGATCCCAATGGACCCGTGGACCACTTCTCAAAAAATATGGCTGAGAAGGTTCAGTTCTCCGCCGAGAAGACTCGGTTTCCGGGTGTTCATTAGCTGACAAGTTGATTCCAGTGGGGATCACTTGGCTGGAACCAGCTCCATTTGAGGATCTTTGGTGTCTTCCTGTCGATGGTCGAGACCGATCAGCAAGGCCTCTTGTCCACCGCATACGATCACGACGGGCAGCACGTCTACTCCCTGGAGCAAATTCGTCCCTCGATCCCATGTTCGGAAAAGATGGTCTTTCAGGCGAGCTTAAATCAATAACCTGGTTCGAGAGAGAATGTTCAGGTTCTGGTGATATCAAATCAATAACCTGCGCCGGACGTCTTGCAGGCGACTCGTCCACGGCGTTCGCTGTTGAAGGTGAAGATTCTTGTCTCCCTGATAACCAGTTTGGAATAGGATCATTTTCTTCTACACCATCACCGTCAGGCCCCGCAGCCTGCTCTAGATCAAGAACATAAGGCTGTGTGGAAGGGCGCATGCTTAGGATGCTGTGTGGAAGGGAGAATCCTGAATTTCTCCTCGAAGACCGCCCCCTTGGGGACGAATCTAGGAACGAGATGGGCGTGATAGGTTCACGCTCTGCAATTCTTCTACGTTCACGCAAAGATGATCCACCCGCAAGAACCCTCCGCGATGGCCTGCAACAGAGTACAGCTCGCATATGAATAAAGCTAATCTTCCCAAGTTTAGCACCGAACGCAAAAAGCAGACGAAGCCCTGATCTCGACGATATACCTTTTGAACTATGCATCGGCGACAATTCAATGTACGGTCTCACTCACGTGCAACCACTGCAAGAAGTGCAAAATCAGCTAACAGCAGGAATGATAAAAAATTTAAAAGCTCCTATGATGATGTGAAAAAGGAAAGAGTGAACCACCTGTCCGAGAAGAGACTTCCTCCAAGGATTTCATCATCGGATTCACTCTCCACATTCTCCAGGGCAATGCCCACCGCTGCGGCAGATTCCGATCTGTCGACGTCTCGCTTTCTTTTTCCTTTGGAAGCCGCAGCTTCAAAGCCAGACCGACTACAAGCTTCGGCGCTTCCATTGGTACCTGGAAGGCAACTGGACGATCCCAAGCGGGAGGTCCCTGAGTCCCCGGGGACGAATCGAGGATGGGTTCCTAAACATAACAATGTTTCCAAGCGCGACCCTTCATCATCACTTAAATCTACTTCTACTTGCTTGCCAAGTCTCGTCCTCCTCTTCTGAGAACCTTCGGCCTCAGCACCAGAGTTTGGCCGGTCTTGATCACGTCCTTGGGAGGAAGGCACCATGCTTGCATCTGCTCTGCCACCGAGGGCGATGGAAATTTCTTTCCCAGAAATGTCCTTGAACTTGTCTTCTCCGACCTTTTCCACGCCCACCTTCGTGGAGTTCAACGAACTGCTCGATCCACAACCGAGCTGAAGATGTGTGGATGTATCGCCGACATCATGGGTGTGTGAGCACCCTATTTTTAACTCGGTGCCGACGGATCCTCCTCCAGCAAGACGGGCCCTCTGCTGCTTCAGAAACAAATTCCGAACACCCGCTCTGGTCGAAGGCCTTTCAAACTCGGTAGACTTGCCCATGGCTGGCAACTTTTCATCTACCTTCATCGGCCCTGCGACAGCAGCTTCATCCGGCGGCGACTCGGACGAAACATTCAAAACATCTTCTCCTCCATCCATGGCGATCCATGAAGTAGAAGATCGCCGCCGAGCGGTGAGGCTACCGCCAGAACGGCTGTTGGATTTTCTCCAATTTTCTACAGATTCAACGAGAATCTTAGGCCTCCGCATCCAGTCAATCTCCTCATTTTTTGAATCTGTACTATCCTGCATCACTGCGGTTCACTTCGGTTACCAATTCTTTGTCTCCGTTCTTGTTCTTCTCCGAGAACCCTTCCTCGACAAACCCTACTGACTTCAGATTGGATTTCAGCCGAGGTTACTATCCCAGCAAACAAGGTGCCACATGAGGTGAGCAGTCGGTTCCTATCTGAAACCTGCTCCGAGTAATCGAGCGCCCAAGATTGAGTTACCCAATACGGCGAACATGGGCGCCACACACGCGTCACACGCTACACTGGGAATGCGAGTTCAATTGCTAGCCTGCAACCAGAAGTCCATTGATCAGTTCGACTGGATAGATATGGCGGCACTAGACGAGATGAACCGCTGCCACCGTGCCCGCATGAAGCCACTTTCACTATCCTGGGCAGCCATGTCCTGCTGATGATCATATCTGCTCAAGGATGCTAAAATCTCTCCACCGTGAAGGGCCCGGGAGGCAAGTCGTCAGACGGAACTACGAAGAGAAGACAATCGGAGAAGCGAAAGCGAAAGGAAGCGACGCAGAGCGAGCTGGGAAATGAGAAGAAAAAGAAAAAAACAAAATCAGAAAAAACTATGAACGCACAATTTAATCGGGGCTCGATGAAAAGTCAGCAGCCCTTTCGCCAAGAAGGAAGCCCGGAATTGGTTTCCTCGACGTGGACAGACGTTCCCATTGATGATGCCGTGGCCTACGAGAAGGAGAACTTCCCGGCACTTCCACAACCGTGCGCAAACGAACAACAGCCTCGGCAAGATTTGAAAATGACAAGTGACCGACCGACCGACGGACGATACAAGGAAGTGCAGCCGATCACCAATCCCGGACACGAACAAAAGATACCAGGAATTGCGACATCGAGAAGGCGACGCAGAACAAAACCGCGTCCTTAGATTACAATCCAACGAGGCGTGGCGAGGCGAGGCAACGGCAATTCTCGCGAAAAAGCAAAATTCTCGTTCGAACAAGGACTTTACCAGAAAACTGCCTGCGGGGGGTGGGGGTGGTGGGTGCGTCCGTCCGTTCTTGCCCCAGCGCAAGCGTGCCGACGCGCACAAATGCCCTCGAGGGTGCTTCACGCCCGCTGCATGCTCTTGCTCTGTCTCTCTGGCCCGATCGATCGCTCGATCGATCCACGCCGCTCCAACCGATCCGATCGGCCCCCACCAGCACCAAAACACTTGCCAACGAGCCGAGCCCCCCCTCCCCTCACCCGCGAGTGCCCAAAGAGGCGAGCAGAGAGCGAGGCGAGGCCCTCGAGTCCCGCCCGGCCCCGGGCCCGGCCAGCAATGCTGCTCCTTTCGCTGCTGCCCCCACACGAACGGACGGATGGACAGCCGGACGGATATCAAACCCCCGCAACCCCACCGCCGAACGCAGTCGTCTCGTCTAAATACGCAAGCCGTTCATCGCGCAGCGCCGCTCCTCGTCGTCGTCGTCGGCGGCGGCGGCAAGCAGCCCTGCAGAGCAGCCCTGAGCGTATATATACGTCCTTGGCCTGCGGCAGGAGGGTCTCGGGCAGGCTCTGGGGCAGGGCTTTGGCAGGGTCTGGTACGAACAGGTGAACGAACGTCCATTCTGTCGCCTTGTTCGTCCGTCCGTCCCGTCGACACGTCGGACGCGGAGGAGGACGCAGCTCTGGCCGCCGTTGCTTTTGTCGTGTTTAGAAAGGGAGGGAAGGAGGAAGGGCAGCTAGCCAGGAGCTTGCCCGGCCCGTGGAGGCGGTGCGAAGCGTTGGGACATGCCTCTCCCTCTTGCCATCTATCTATCTATCGTACCTACACGTAACCCTCACATGTTCATATACATGCATGCATGCATGCCAGAGGCCGATGCTTCAGGGCCATCTTCCTTTGTACCTTGTTCCGATTCCTCTTGCAATTCTTCGTTTCATTTATTTTGCAATTCCTCTTTATTTATTTCTCTATCTCAATATTGGATTTTCTTGACAAGAGTTTCTAATCTGCCTCAGTCATTTTTCTTGTTCTCTGGTACTTTGCTTGTTGGCCTTCGGGCTCCATCTCTTGCTCACATACATAGGCCAAAATGTTCTTCTCTCCCTTGCATTCATGGGAGTAGGTTCCAATGACCAATCGTTGCGAGGATTCATACATGAGGATATTTACCGGCATTCGATATGTGACTGATTTCACTGTTTTAAAATTTTACCGTTTTGGCATGATCATTGTACTGTGTCAAGGGTTTCGTCGGCACAATAATTGGGCTGGAGATAGGTTTCACTTTTTCCTTTTCGAAAGATTTTATGTTTGAAAGATGAATCATTTTTTGGATGGGTTGATTACAATAATAAAGTCATGATAGTTCAGAATCAACAATGGGAGGATGCACATCAACCATTAGAACCTACGAGATCTTAGCACATGCGGATGACACAGGGTAACATTATACACACAGAATTTATGAATCAGTGTATGAAAAGATTGACGATAGACTGGAAGAAATACATTAGCTATATTAGTGAATTATTAAGAATAAATCGGAATATGTCATCTACATAATTCTCAAATGCCCAAAAAATCTTAAATTTCTATCAATTATATGTTCACATTTTTCTTATCAAGTATCGAAAGAAACATTTTCACATACTTAGTTAAATTTCATCCTAACTTAAAATTATGTAAAAAGGTCCACATAAGTTTTGAATAGTTGCTGATAAAAATGACACGAAATATAAGTTTGTATCAGTAACTTACTGATGAATCAGCAAAATAAATTCTATATAGGAAGTATTTATATTATCCTCAGATTTCAAATCCAGCACAATGATATGTCTTTTTATATTCATTTAGAGACTTGGAAACTCATCCTCTACATAATTTATATTTCATTAAAATGAAATAAATTCAAAATAAATAGGTATGTAACATGTAAAAATTCTGTTTTTGAAAAACTGAAAGAAAATTGAATTTCAATTAAAACCCCCTAGAAATTATGATATCTCAACTTTTTTACTTAGAAAATCGATCTAAATATTAAAATAAATTGAATATACATATTTATTACTTATTTTAGATGAATATATATTAAAATTACCTCTTTTATTAAAATTAATATTCTTATTACCTAAATATAAAAAATAATTATTTCTTGAAGATTTATAATAAAAAATATATATTATGGTTCAGCGTGGCCTTACATAAGTATTTTTATTTCAAAAATTTACAAATATAATTTTATAACTTCTTTTATTATTCATGAAATTATTTATACTGAGGTTCTTATTAATTACAAATTTAAACAATTTAATTTTTAATAATTTAAATTGAGATGATTTACATATTTTTCAAATATAAATTAAAAAATAATTTCTATTCCTAACGATATAAGTATTTTAAATATATGTGTGAAAATTAAAAATTAGTCAACTTCTTATCAGAAAATCATAAATTATATATATTTATATATACTTACAAACCTTATTTAAAATAAAATAAAATAAAAAATGTCTTAAAAATATTATTAGGTTTAAAATTTGGCTATATTTTTTTCAATTCTAAAAATAAAAAAATATCATGAATTTTTCTATTTTTTCTATTTTCCTCAAATTCTATATTTAGGTTTTTGTGTGCAGAAATAATGCTTGCCATATATTTGCCATTAAGTGATCTAGATCACTTAATTTTTTTTGAAATCTGTATGAGATTAATCAAGATGGTTGAGTTAAAAATATCTTATGAATTAAAAAAATTGGCTGTTAAAATATTTTTTCATATTATTTTCAATCATTCAAACACCCTTTTAATCTAAGATATATATTGAAATAATAGCTGATTGATATATTAAATTTGATTTATTTTTTCTCAGTAAGTTCTTCTAAAGTGCCTGATATTATAAGTATTTATTATCATTTAATGAGAATAGTATGATATCTTTTTTTATTGATATAATTATCAATAAAGATATATAATATTCTAATTGACCAGCAGATATGGTTATGCATAAATATTTTTTTAATCTAATCTTTCAAATAATGCAACTATTTTGATCAATTCTGCAAGCTATCAATATGATGAGATTCATATCTAAAATCATGTTATTTAGCTTGAAAATTTTAGTTCAAAAAATATAGTTATTATAATCATCATAATTATTAATTTAATTATTTTTAAAGATTTGAAGTTAAACTTTCAAGTTTAGAAGGTCAAATCTGTACTTCACTCGTGGATTTTTTTGAATTTCCAGCAATATATAGAGCATGAATGATAAGTGAGAGTCAAAAATCTGATTGAAGTGCAAGGCTGGTAGTAATTTGCTTGTCTGGAGATCATCCGAAGTTTAAGATATTAAGATAATAAAAAAAGGAATAAAGTTGTAATTTTATCATATTATTAAATAAAACATCTCTCTCTTTTATTTCCATCATATTATAGTTTACTCTGTTGACCTAAATTTAGCTTCTTGACTCTAGCTGAAAGATTTATAAAGGAATATACAAACTGTTTGATTATTAGAAATTTATTTCATCATGACTGTGATGAAAGGGGTTTAAAGTAAACCCTAAACCCGTAATTTTATTCCATCATGATCATTCAGCACTTAATTCATCATGTGCGTGACGTCCACCGTCTAAGCCTAAAAACTGATTTCTGATTCACTTGCTTTTCACCATAGCAAATCCTCATTGGGTCGTAAAGACGAGGATGAAGGCACATGCAGTCTTATTTGGAGTTACCTTTTGTTCTTCGAAAAGGATGAGTGGGTTTTTTAAATATATTGCGCCATTTATGGCATTTTTTGGCAAGTAAAAAAGTACAAGATTCAGCGTCAGAAAATGATACTTATTGATCTGGCGATTTTCGATCTACTAAAATTGGTTCGGCGGGACCAATTTCAAAGAGGCCATAATTATACTATCACAAATGCTTACGATGTGCTATTCATGCAAGACTCTATGAGAAGTGGGTGGTAGGAGTAGTCACGGGTGGGATGGCATTCTCAAATTGTAGTGATCGCATGGTTTCTTCTTCGTCTACAATTTAATCGCTCTTAAGGATGTTCGTAAGACAGATATTGGGCATGTCTGCTGACATCACCAGATCAGGGATGTTTGAGTTAGTGAGAAAAAATTTGCCATCAAGACAAATGTCTCTTCTGAATCCATGTGGACGTGTATGCCATATTCTTTGCTCATCGTTACACATAAATCGTCAATGGCCTATCGCTTTGGGAAAAATACTGTGCAACTTTTTCAAGATAGACTGATATAATTATTCTATAGAGGTCAGGTCACTAGTCAGTGTTCTGCAAAGAATATTAAACACGTTAATTGATGGGCAGTTGGATGCTCTGTTTTCTGTAGACTATTTGACCTCGAGGATGATGTAAGACATTTTTTCATTGTGATATCATTGAGTCATGGACCTCGATTTTCAGTTTGGTTTCTTCCTCTTGGTCTTTCCAAGGCATTCCTATTTATTTCTCTATTCACTTGACCACTACCTCTTCTTTCTCTCCTTTCGCACTCTATAATCCATCATAAAAATCAAAATATTCCATACTACATGCACAGCACATTAAGTATCATGAGTAACCGACGAGGGTACCACCTGATCCTCGTGTATTACCTACTTCTTAGTGATTGCTATTAACCGATCAAGGAAGAACGGCAGCGTTCAATGTGTTCTACTTTATTAATTTTCCCATTGGTGACTTCCTAAATTTACTTTGGCCTTGTGCCCTGCCTTTTTCATCACTCTTGGTCTGCCGAATGATATGCTGTACATACAGTATGAGCTTGTTCGATATGTCCTGTAAGCTTAATTAGGGTGATATGCTAATGATGAGTATGATTAGTAATGTGATAAATAGACGATGAGCTTCATCTAATTATATGACTTCATTTCCTTGTCTTCAGTGCCGTAAACCACAAATGCGGCACCTCTTAGTCCACCAAATCTTCACATCCGGTCAGATGAGTGTTTTGTCGTATTAGAGTCCGGCGCGAATCGTCTTCTGGGCCCCTCTACGTAACGCCCGCTCTCAACGATGCGCACTATCCAAATCAAGTTCGAATCTGGGCTTGAATACAAATTGGCTAACGACGGGCTGTTTCCTCGGCCCCGTCGCCTCGGACCAGAGACCTTGGGTTCCATTCCTTAACGGTCAAGACGATGAGGTGGCCGAGAAGCAGCCGGCAGTGCAGGAAAATTCTTTCCCGATCAGGCAGGGCGAGCCACGCAGGCAGCTAAAACAGGCCAACTGGAACGGTGGCCGGTGACACGTGGAAACCTACGTGGCGTGACCAACTGATGTTATATTTTTGACATCGACCGAGGTTGAAGGAAGTGGTTATTGATCTTCATGGAGGTTCCATCGAGAGACAGAGAGATGGAGTGATACAAAGAGCAGGAAGCAGGAGCACAACATCGAGATCGAGATCGAGACCGAGACAGAGACAGGGACGCCGTCCTTCTCATACATAAATATATTCATTTCGCAAGCAGCCGTATACTATAAGAATTACAATTCGATTTGATGGTGTGACCATCTCAATATCTACAACTCTTCTACTTCCGAGATATAACTACACATGTACAAAATTTCTCATGGTACACTAAGAAGGAGGGTCGTTTCTACAAGTTTCCGATCTACATCTCCCGGGGCCGGACGGAGTGTGCGCGTGATGATGGGGAGAGAGAGAGAGGTCCACACCATCCGGACCCAGGATCGTACAAGGCGAGCTGAGCTGCTCTGAGCTGTGCTGTGCTGCCAGATGAGCGAGCGACTAGTAGGTAAGGACACATACTGGACTGCTTAAAATTAGCCCACCGATCAAAACCCCAGGTTTGCTAAATACTAATACTGGGAGCGGTATGTGCATACGCCAGTGCTGTGCTACTCGAGACGAAGGCTGAAGTCAAAAGAAATGTTGAGGAGCGGAAAATACCTTTTTGTATTGCCTGTAAGAAGAGAGATCCGTGGGGCAGAAGAGAAGAAACTGTGTTGATGTGCAGTGAAATGCCTCGGGAGTCAGTCATGACGGACGAAATTGCATTTCGGCACTCGAAGGGAAGGATGGAGAAGACGAGCAGTGAAGAATCGGACTTTAAAGTACACGAGGTGGTGGTGGTGAGCAATACCATAAAACAGTGCGCATCTCCTAACTTCTTTTCCTTTTTCCGGTGGGTGTATTTTGCCTTTTTTTGATGTTGGTGTTGGTGGTGGGGAGGGGTTTCGAAGTCGCCATTCTATTGTACATCGTTGCCGGGCGTGGAAGGAATGCCGTGCTGTACTGGAGGCGAGAGAGTCGGTTTTCTAGTGCCTCACGAGACAAACGAGGGCGAGTGCAGACATGGACAAAACCGTCGGAAGCCTGAAGTTGTTCCAGAATTGAGCCCCCTTCGAAGAGTCGTTGGCTGCTTCTCGTAGCCACACCTGAGCTCGAAGATTCTGTATTTCCTTGTCCTTCCTCTCCGACATCTGGCAACACGCGCCACATCATACAAAATGAATGAGAATAGTTCCCGTGCATGAGTTTTGACCTTAAACAAACCCCGTCCATAACCTTAAAATGAAAACATTCGATCGTATTCTCGTCACGTCCTAAACGTCAGACATAAACACGAGATAGAGTCCTTTGCTCGTCGAATTCCCAGAATTTCAAATTCTTGACCTCTCACGAATGGCAGATGAGCGTAATACCTTCTTCAACTTCTTCGCTTGCGATCGAGCCTCCTGCAAGCTCAGTTCCAATTTGACCACCTTCTTCCTCAGCTCCTGATCTGCTCGTTGTTGTCTCTCCAACTGTCACAACCGAGCCATTGACAACAATCAGCAACTCAATTCGACTCCACGCGAAGTAAGCGAACTGCTAAACAGTCGGTCTAACCTTAGAGCAATAGGGCTTACGATTAAGGATTTCTGGACTCCTAAGAGCTTAAAGATCCTTCCTGAAATGACGCAGGAACTCAAATTCATCATGACACGATTGGGGGGTGTTATCTGGTCTGCGCAGAGACATCAAAAGAGGGATACAGTGAGGCTGTGGGCGTGTGGAACCGTGTCCTGTGAGGAGGACAAGGAAATAATTCGAGATTTCAAGAGCAGTCATCTCTACGCACCTGTGCATCAAGCTCGAGAGTTTTCAACCTTAATTCGGTACCAGCCACTTTGACGTCTTGTTTTAGTCGTGCTATTTCGTCATCTTTGGCTAATAAATATCTCTCCAGATGTTCGATATTCCGCGATGACACTTCGTTCAGCAACTTACGAAACTCGCATTCCTTCGACACGTAGCTTCTCCCTAGAGACATCTCAATCTGGGACTCCAGGTCCTGAACTTCAAATCTCAGCTGCTTCTGCGAGCTCTCCTTCCGCCTGAGTTCATCTTGTAGCTCTCTTAATTGCTCCTCCAAAATCACAATGAGGTTTCTCTGCTCCTGTAACTCCAGGTTCTTCTCCTCAATTTCCTTCAGCAGGGCCTCGACCTGTAGTTGGGCAGAATGTGCGGACCCTGTCATCGCTTCGGCAACTTCCTCCGACACAGAAAGCCTGTCCCGCAATTCTGCAATCTCAATGGCATACTGCAGTCACAACACAGCAACCCTCGAAGTTAGACACAGACATTTGGTGCGTGTCTAGAAATCCGGCTTCCGGTTTTCCACAAAGCGTGACTTCGCAGGCTAACGCATTGACATCATCTTCGACATTAGTGGGGGAAGAAGAACTCTTCGGGACGTTTATCGAACTCTTCGGGACGTGAAATTACACATCTAATGGATAAAACCCCCTCGAGTGCTGCCAGGGATGGAGCAGAGTTTATCGAACTCGTCGGGACGTGAAATTTCAAATTTAATGGATGAAACCCCTCGAGTGCTGCCAGGGATGGAGCAGAGCAAAGAGCCACGGTTGAGATGAGGTATTCTAAATATGAAAGGTGCACTCCACTTTTCATCGAAGTCTACGAGAGTTTCTGCCCCAGTTTCAGCGCTCGTCGTGCAGGTTGACTTGAGCAACTCAGAAAAAGCCTGACTCACTGAGAAGCTTGGCACTAGTCAACCAGCAAGCCAAAGCACGCCGTGGTGACACTATCACGAAGAGTGCGCAATCGACAGAGCCAACCGGACGGGGACATATCATAAATGGTTGCAACCAGCTCCTGCCGCGTTTTGGAAGTATTCACCTTCTCGACAAGTGTGGCAGAGCTCTGGGCCTGCGAGCTTGTGTCTTCTTGAGATTTGTGCATCTGCTCCAACTGTCGCGCCAACTCCCTCGCTTGAGCTTCGGCAACCTGCAGATCGATTTTCAGGCAAACACCCAAAGTGTGAATACGACGTCCACTTTGCATCGACACAATAACAACAACTCATGTTGAACGAAAATGTTTTCTTCTCTCACGACCTTCATCATCATCACCACCTTCCCGAGCTTATGCACGAAGAACTGAAAATCCCAGAATCGGTCAAACGCAATGATTGACGCCGGACTCTCACAGCAAGAGTACTTTTTTCTGCGACAGAAATCGTACCTGTCGTTTGGCAGCCTCCTCCTGCAACGCAGCCTCTCGAGCGACGGCTCGACTGCGGACTTTCTGCAACTCCGCAGCCATAACTCCGACTTCCGAGGCGATGCGACGCAGATTTTGTTTCTTCTCGTAGACTTCCTTGAACAGAGAACCGGACTCCTCATGGGAGTCTCTCTCTTGAACCGACATGTCTCGATCCTTCGCATAGAAGTATAAACTGAACAGATGTGTGAAAAAAAGTGAGGGCCGCTGTGACTAACTAGAAATTGGACTTCTGGAATTGTAAGCTGACGATCACGTGTCCTGTCGTTCAAGCAGCAAAATATTCCCACCGATTAAGCAACGACACCACGTACGCAACAATCCGAGGAAGACGTGGTGTTTCCAAAGAGGTCCCCACTTCCTGCACCGAGCAGTAGACTACAGCAGCTCGGATTTCCTACCGATGGTGGCGCTGTGTAACGAAGAACGTCGTGAGCGGGAGGCGGCTGTGGAAAGAATCTACGACGGTGCGTAAAATTTGACGAAGCGATTAGCTTCCACTTCCACTTACAGCGATTAATTCAGAACCAAGGCCTCTTGCTGACGGAGTCAACTCCCGGACCCATATCCAGACGACAGATGTACTGTAAAAATCACAGAAGCACGGACTTAGGAGTTCGTGCTTCTGCAAGCTGTCGAGGATGAAACCGACTCCCCGTACTTATCAGATCCGTCCCGGCCAATTTTGTAAGCGCTAAGCACTCCTACGGGGTGACGACGCGTAACGACACCACGATGATCTCGCTGCTCTAATTTAAATGTCCCAACTCCTTTGGTTTCTTCCTCTTGCGAACGAGAGAAAAGCTCCAGCACACGTTGTCGCCGCGACCATAATACATCTATCCTTTCCCGAGAGAGACCTCAGTGCCCCGGCTACTACTACTACTCCTCCTCCTCCTCCTCCTCCTCCTGCACGGTCCGTAAGATATCGTCTACCGTCGGGTCTAGCGGTGACCGAGAGCCCGGGCATCGCTGACATGAGAGCACACATCGAAAATTCCTGCGCTCGAGTATTCAAAGTCTACCGAAGCCGTCGGCAAGTTTTCCATCTTCCCAAAGCTGCGAGTCCTTCCCAACAGCGCTGCCTGCTGCAACTACCGAGCCTGCAACCGTGAGCTCCATGAGTGTGATCACGAACTTCTCTGTCTCTGCGTCTCTACCCCGGTCGGTCGCATCTCCTTCAGCCCGATGATTACAGTACCCACTGACCAGATGGAGCTCGAGCTCGAGCTCGGCTCGAAGACGCCCGAGTATTACTACTAAACCTCCAGAGCTCCGAGATGTGTCCCGTTAGCTGCCGCCGACTCGAGTCCACTTCGCTAACTAGAGAATTGGCCTCGCGAGTGCACAGAATTGCGCTCCCATGTGCAGATTTCTCCACTGCCTGCCTTGCGCTCCTCCTCGTCCTCGTCCTCGTCCCGTCCCTTCTCTTCTCTTCTCCACGTTCCTTCAGAGGAGTTTCTGGTCCGTGCCCGGCCCTCCGCCCCCTTGCCGCCGTCCCTTGCTGAAGCTTCGGTCGGCATCGGGTGCAATTGTCTCGGCGCGAGAGACGTTGGCCTCCCCGAGTTGACGTCGCGGCCGCCACGTCCTCGTCGACGTCCTCGGCCGCGCATTTAGTAGCAAGGCGCTGCGACGCAGGCGCGGGCTCTGAAGCCTTGACCGGCTACAGGACCCACCTACTGCCTCCGGTCAAAGCCCGGTCCCACCCTCCGCTCTTACCGTCACCCTAGTTCGAATCGCTCTGACACAGCCGAGAGCCAACCTCAACCCCGAATGTGGTCAGATGCCGCTCTCAGGTTGGACCTGCGGTCAGAGTTCTAACCACTTTAGAGTACTCCCAGTTTAACTCGTCTCATCTTCTGCTAACCTTTTCAGAAGGTCGGACGATGAACTTTTGGAGAAGACTCGAACCGTAGCTTCTTCTGTTGTTGGGGTGCTTAAAGTACTTAACCTTCGAAAATATATGGGCTCGAACCATGAAAAAGGTAGTCTCAGGGCCAGGAGTGAGTTTACTACATCCAAACTAGCTGACCTCACTCTACTTCCAGTGCAGTAGAGTAAAGGTAACTTCGTCTCCGCTACATTTTTGGAGGTGAAAGTGTCAGAGCCTTTTGGCGGATTTAGAGATCTGACCGGACAATGGTATATAGCCGTCGCTGTGTCAGCGAGAACCATGTAGATTTTAAATGCGGAGTACGTAGTCTCAACTGCTCTCCTTCCAGAGTAAAGGCAACGCGTTTATCCAGCTCAACAGAGTGACAGGGTCGCTTAAATACACCGTGGAGGACACCACCACTTACGTGGTTCTCTCACACGTGGATGTAGTTCTAGGTACGAGGTAGATCCTCCCTCTGGTCCCTGACCCTCGTTGATCGTGTGGAGTCCTCTGTGAAACAATTTGGTCCCCTTGGCCGAGCACACGAGAAAAGAAGGCGAGTGCACGAGTCGAATGCTATTCAGAGCAGAGCAATGATGCCCGAGCAAATTCTGGTCACTGGATCTGAATTTTCTGCAGGAGTCGGGGTGGAGAAGATTGGGGTGGTGGGGGTGGGTTTATTCCTCGCCAACTGCCACGATCCTTGGGAGGGGAACATGTAGCGACGGGCAGGTTGTGAAGCTTCTTCTTCTTCTTCTTCCCCCAGGAGAGGCCATAATCCGTGTATCAGAAGATGCACAAATCCCCGTGCCCCCAGGACAGAAGTATCTGCTCCACACGGAACGGGTCCACAACCATATCCCGTCCAATAGTCGCACGCTATTCTCGGTCCTCCGTTCAAGGTCGCCACAACTTTCCACTGTTGCGCTGTAAATTCAACATGCTTCGATCTTCGGTCTCCGTCTTGTGCAGATTGGTGCAGCGTTTATTATATGCTTCTCGGATGCAGCGGGTGAGATGAAATGTGATGAGATGGATGGCCTGAAACTTATGCTGGAGAAAATGTGTTCCCAAAAGTCTTCCCATAGTATAAAACAGTCTTATTCCATTCGCTCGTTCTCATCCGGCTTAGTCATTCTAGTGTCATTATCTTGAGCGATGGAAAACCCGCCTGAGAGGAGGTAGATGCCGTCCGGGCTTCCGATGGATAAAGACGCCATCGCTTGAATCATCCATTCTTTGAATAGTCTCGTCGGCCAGCTGGATCGAACGCAAATTCGAAACAACAGGTCCTTGTTTCTTCTTGTGATCTGTTTGGTCGGATCAGGAGAAAGTGTACTCGGTACATAACAACACGAAACAGTGGATAGTCTTGTCGGCGTTGTGCGCTTGGTCTACTTGTTGGAGCTTACAGCGTCCGACTGACATCCACCCACCCATCCATTCATGTCGAGCTGGAGGCCACCATGAAATGTCAGGACGGTCGTAGAGGGTTCCACATCATCTAATTGCCTTCTTCGTGGTACTTGAACGAGATTAATGAAGTCCTCCCCAATCAGTCAGTTTAGAGCTAAGCATCTCGTGCTTACTGTGAGAGATAAAACCAGCTCCGAGCAGGTACATCGTTCCAACATCGTTTCCCGTTTCCCTTCCAGGACACACCGCACCCCATCCTCGACGAATCCACAGTAGGCTCTTGAAGGCAACTGTCAACCCAGTTCCACCAGTTGCTGTTCCATGACACTTTTCTGGTCCAGAGAGTAATGATGAAGTGCGTCCCACCTTTGGTAGAGATGGAGTGGCAGAGTGGAGGTAATGATAGCCTACGAGGACTTATCATTCAGAAGTGTGCATGCCTCGACCTCTCGAGCATCGGAGACTCCTACGGGCATTATCTTCCTGAAGAATAAAAATATATTTTTTCATTTGCCTGCATGGATATCGTGCAGTCCATTGGTGATCATAACCCCGTGGTGGTGCAAGGGAAGACAACGAGGATTATGATCACCCATTGACATCAGGATTGGCTCGCTTGGCTACACCGTAGTCGATTACACATACGGTTGCGATGGTGCCATCGATTTCCTTGACTGGAAAAGGAGAATGCATGATTGAAGTGGAAGGTGGGAACAGAATCCTATCGTGATATTCTGTAGAGGGAAAAGGAATGAAACCCCGAATAGACGCCAGGAGAGAATGGCAGGTCGTTGATTTTTAACGCACTGTACATGAGACTCGGTTGCTCGAGAGGCTTGGCTTGATATTTCTAAAATCTAGACTCCCGGGCCCAGTTGGAACGTGGGCTTCCTACTACTAGTTGTAAAATTAGAGCTAAATTTTACCATTCCTCTAAGGGTACTCAAGATTAAATATACAAGTTTTATGCAACTATAAACACACATTTTCGCATATGACCAGACCTACGATGCTAGAAGACGGGAGCATCATTCTCTTTGGTACATCGTATATTCTATTTTAGATCACAACGATGAACATTAGTAATGTCCATCGTTGTAAAAAGAGCAAGAGTAGATACGAATTATACGTGATCAATCACGTTATGTCTGTTTCTCACGCTGGTTACGACTCTTCGGATGTTGCTTGTAGGGAGTTTAGCCTCGACTTTCGAATATATTTCCCATTGTGATCTTAATGGGGCCTAGTCCTATGTTCCTCGCTTGTTTTTTTCACCTCAGTAGACTGGATAGGGTGTTCCTATCTACTTTGTTGTGTTACTTTGTACTCTACAAAAGATGGGCCTAGCCCACCTTATCCCTCTGGAATTCTTCCGTCTGATTCTTCAGAAATATTAAAAACTTCTAAGTTATAGATGGTTGTTGATACGATTTTCCTGCTGTTTATATCTAAACCTTGCCATGGTCAAAGTCCATTCTCGTTGTTAGGGCTTTGGCTGTGCATAGAAAGCTGGAATTTCTATAATTTAAATTTCATCACAATCAACGACCTTTGTCACATGCATGTCAACGGTCCTAGAGAGAAAGACAGTTTCGATCTGAAGGTCTAGTATAGCCACGAAACCTTCTCTCATCATGTTATGATCATGATTTTGATTGAGCTCAACGTTCAACTAGAACTTGATCAGAATTTCTCCTGCGCAGCGAGTGGTAAGATTCACTTGACCTCCACGTGATGGAGGTTATGGATTCCTTCCCTGCCTCACGCACATCTACGCACGATCAGACTGGTAAGTACAATTTGCTCCTTTGAAATAAATACAACGAAAATATTGTACTTCATAAAACGAGAGCTGAATATGGTAGTTGGATTCTACCCTCTTAATACAAGGGCTACGCACCTCGACCACCACTTCTGTCGGCTTCATATTCTATTCTTGTACAATTTTCCGTTTCTCAGAACTCTTAAATAAATCGATGTCCGATTCACATCGACGGTCACCACCTCTAGGAATACGGAACAGGAGTGGACATGGGCGATATTTTAGTACAGTGATCCATCACATTCACTAGGCTCAATCCATGATAGTTCTCAAGTGTGTAACAGTGGAGGATGTGGTCTTTGTGGATGTTATCGTAGCGTACTTCAATCAACGACAATTTCAAAGTGTACTTTACAGTTTAAACATTCTGATAAGAAAAGAAATGCATGAATGTTTAGAGAAAAGTTGTCATCGAGGTTCACAATGCGCGAGTGAGGGGAGGACAGGGCAGTATCGAACGAGAACATGCCAACATTGCCGGCCGTGTATGCATAACCCCTCCCCAAGATTTGAAGTGCATGGGAAGATATTACTATTCATTGTGAAGCTCCTCGCTTTGCTCCTAGATTATGGCCTCAGTTCCTAGAAGAGAATGTCTCACAAGAGAACGCTGATGTGCATGTCCGTACAGAAGAGTCGTATGGAGCGAAACCGTAGTTAGGACTGTCGTTGTCAGCTAACTCTTCTCCTGCATTGATCAGCATTCGATCCCACATTTAGGGACAGACGACGCCAACAAAATCATGCGAAACATCTCGACGCAATAAATTAAAGAATTCACTGATTTGAACCATGAAAGCGTCCTATCGTAGCATGATTAATCGGGCTCGTCACGTCGGTGAGCTGACTGATCTTGACTTCGACTCAAAGGAACTGCTGACAGAAAGTCACAGAATCTACCGGTTGACATGGAAACCTACGATGAGCTAGAGCCAAGAGGCCATTTGGACAAGTGCAATGCTGCCGTTTTGTCCATGAGTGTCAGTCAAACTGCTCCAGATTCGACCTCCATAAAGATTTCTCGCTCTCTATTGGCTCTAAGCTTCGTAGATACTGTCCTTTTGTAGCGTAAGGGCTCTCTGCTAAAGTCCAGTCTGTATGGCATGGCATGTCATGTCAGTCAGCAACACAAAAGAGCACCTGACTGCGAGACCCCGTTCTAGTTTCTTTGCTGTCCCCAAGGGAAACATCAATCTCTCGCAATGTTCTCCAATCCGCAGCACAAAGTGAACTGAAACATACATGGCAGCAGCAGTTACCGCAAGTTGGCACTTACACTTACAAAAATTACAACTTTTCGACTGCAGTCTTACTGTGTACTTTGGCAAGACTTTCTCTCGACTGTGGATTGGTTTTTACATCGCTCATTGCAACGAAGATTCACATAGCTCGTTGTGATGGACACAAAAGGTGGGGCGAGAGAGGCTCGAACTCTCGACCTCCGGATTTCTCTGTGTACTTTGGCAAGACTTTCTCTCGACTGTGGATTGGTTTTTACATCGCTCATTGCAACGAAGATTCACATAGCTCGTTGTGATGGACACAAAAGGTGGGGCGAGAGAGGCTCGAACTCTCGACCTCCGGATTTCTCTGTGTACTTTGGCAAGACTTTCCTCTCGACTGTGGATTGGTTTTTACATCGCTCATTGCAACGAAGATTCACATTGCTCGTTGTGATGGACATAAAAGGTGGGGCGAGAGAGGCTCGAACTCTCGACCTCCGGATTTCTCTTGGCTATGAGACCGACGCGCTAACCAACTGCGCCACCGCCCCGGATGCCCACTCATCTCCGGACAAAGTTTCAGACGAAAGCATCCATCTCCATCCTTGCTTTACATAATATGATGTTAATAATACTGTAGGAGATCTTTACCGTTGTAATACTCGTGGGAACCGGTTCCTTGATCTGTCTCGTTTCCTGATTACAGTATTTGATATTGATTAGTTTTTGTTTTCGATTTGGACCCTAGATTTGTTTCTTTATTCTTCATTAAGATGGTGATGTTAGTGGGGTCTAGGCCATCTTACTTTTGGATTCATCCTTAATGGCAACCGTAATAGATTTTCTCATCCTTTTTGCTTAACTGCTTGGAATCCTAAGAGATGTCTATTATTATCGTTATTATTATTGAGTGACATAAAGAAATTGGGTGTAAAGGCCCTTGCATGTCAAATGATATCATGTAAGGTGATGGTATCACTAAATATTTCTTCGGCATAGATCTTGGAATGTAAGCTTCCAACAATAATAGACTTCAAATGACAATCATCAAAGCATGTCAATAATGACATTTCTTACATTGTGGATACGCAAGATTACCTGGTAACAAAAGGTACTACAGATCTGTACTGTTATTAATATTGTGTAATTTAATTTAGGGTATATAAGAAATGTTATCATAAACATATCAAATCAAAAAATGAACAAGCTCCAACTTCATCATTTAACCTTATACTTCTTCTTTGTGTAATCTATCTAAACTGAACATAAGTAATTTAGAATACAAATCTTGTTGTTACATTATGAATCTAACAATGATAAATTTTTTAAATTTCTAAAAAACATCATCACAACTTAACAATATTTCGATTTAGACAAAGATAGCATTTAAAGTTCTTACCGTTATTCACATAGCGATATTTCTCGACTTGAGCTTGCCTTGCTTCAGCTACATTTTTCACTTCGTACATACGCGTATTTGATAAATGCTTGGTAAAAACAATTTCAATCAATGATCATTAACTAATTTTCATCTTGTGTAACTTAACATTAATAAAATAATTTTTTCATTGATATATTTATTTATTTTATTCATTTATTTATTTGACCTTTATATCCAATTTTTTTTCATCTGTATTCGAAGTAGATTCTCAAGTTGTGCCTCATTTTTCTTTAAGTCATTCACGAATGCATGAAACCAACATATTCAAAAACTACCACATAAGTTTCAAACCACAATTTGTTGTTGGCCTAAATGGTTATACATTGGAGTCTAAATTTCTTTTCTTAATCTAATTTGACCATTTTGTTAGTCAAACATGATCCAAATCATCAATCATGCAATTTTGAAATTCAATATCATGATTCTCACATCTTCTCACACACACATAAATACGATGAAAAAAAAACTTTTTGGTGGAAGTCTAATCATTCCAATGTAAACACTGTTAAGAAGGATTTTGCCCGTGGACGAGCTATAAGAGCTATGTATCATGTTCTTCAGTGACGAGTATTGAGTTCAACCCATGTAATAGTAACAAATATTAACTATGTAAAAGTGTATTATATACACATAAAATATGAATATATGAATAGTGTGAAAGTTATGTTCATTGTGATATAAACATATATTCCTAACCTTTATATCAGCAGAATGTCACAATTTTCTGTTGTAATGAATTGTGAAATTTATCATTCACTTCTAGTGTATATGTATCATGTCGACAAATTTAGAAAGTTTCAGGAAATTCGATGTTGCATAATTATACAAGACAAATATACCATAGTTTCAATCGTTGACGTGAGCAATAGACCACGATTGGTTCTTGGGTTGTACCAGACATGTGTTCCAGTTCTATTATGGGCACACGAAAAGGCAGCGATTGGAGTGTAATAGACATCATACTTCCATCCAGTGAGCTGGATCACGGAAAAGTACCTGCTAAAACATGGTCTTCGGTTGAGTTTCCAGATTAGGATAGTGTGTCTCAAAAAATAATTATATTTACCCCATTTATTTTATAAGCCACAGTGGGAGTTTCAGTCATCTTGTAAGGGCAATTTAGTCGCATTTGATGTAAAAATCATGACTGAGGATATATCTCAAGTTGTTCACCTGTACAGGCTTCACAGATGACATCATGGATCTGCTGCTGAGATTGTTCAGCTAATTCCAGCCCTTTTCTGTACCTTTCTTAATATCCCGTTCAGAACCGCAGACATTATTACAAGTGTCATTACAAGCATCATTACAAGTGTTCACTCACACTTCCAAACTATCACTTGAGTCACAGAGTTGAAATCTTTAAATGTAGTAATATTGATCCAGTCATAGTATTAATTTTTTTTTGAGACTAGACCCTGCTTAAACCCCGTTTTGTTTCATCTTTGGAAGGATAGATTGTATTTTCCCGTTATTTTTGACATATTAGTTGGCGATCAGTTATAAGTACTTCAAATTTAATCTGCACTTATCGACAAGATGGAAAAACATACTTCCACATTTCCAACGTGGGCCCTCGATTGACAGTCACGTGGACTCTTGGAAGCCATTCAGTAGCGGGGGATAGCAGTCGACGGAGGTAACTGTATGTTTGTGGCATTCACTGACACCCCTTCTCCGAACAAAGCGAATAGGAGTAATACGATACTCGTGACCTCGATTCTACGTTCTAAGACAGATCCAGATTATCAGCAGATTGGATCAGCTTTCCATTTTCATTCGATGTTTTCTACAGTGTGCTATCATCAGAAGTTCTGCTTCATCCTCTGAGAAGGGCTTCCCCAACTTTTCTAGCTAATCATCATTCGAAAGTCCTTGCACCGACGCTCTTAAACTTGTCAAGCGTTGTCAAAACACTGCCGATTAAGATTGGTCCGTTAATCCCTATGATCGTTCATGATAGTTCCCTGCACTGCAAAACTAATAAGATACAAATCCTCAGTGGAGAACGTCGGAATTTGGGATCAGTGACCAAAGAACGTAAATTGATAACCATGACGCATCTAAGGTCATCTCCTTGGGAACCTTCCCATGGCCACGTGTAGGAAAACGATCGGCATTCAAGACTTGCAGCGCTGACCCCGTGGGTGTGAATTCACTTTCAGCAGGTCACATTCAGATTGACTTATCAGATCGTCCAGAGCAGTAAAGCCTAGTTGGTAGTCCAAGTACCTCAGCAGAAAGAAATCCGCAAGTGTATCTACATATACCGACCCCTTCTAACCGAACGTGTATTCATTTATTAATTATGTCTTGTGAGAACACCTGGAATTGATTACCGTACTCACTCTATGTCAACTTTCACATCCACAGTTCAGGTCTTAGAATGACACACATGTCTCCCGGCGAGTGTGAAGATAACACTTTGTAGTCTTTCTTCCTGCAACAATACAGGTGTGCGAAATTCAACCAGCTGGTTCTTGTTGATAAACAATCTTCACTCGGATATCTGATTCTTCTTATGTACATAGCAGCTTCCTTGATAGGTTGTGCCCTCCGCACTGCAGTTCTCAAATGATCAAACAATATGCTCCTAATTGATGCAGCATGGATTAAAACATCCATTCCATAGATTCTCAAACTGAAACCCTGATTTTAACTGCAGCAAGACGAGAAATGAGTGTAAAGCTATGATGAGACCAATGAAGCGCCATGGTGGGCGCCTTCACGCCTTTGAAGCAAGGCATGTGATGACACACTAGACGATGAAAGAAGAGAAGAGCCTCACATCAAGTAGTGAGAAAAATAAAGATGCATAACTGCTCAATCTCGTTACTAAAGCCTTGCAGCTGTAGTTCTTGCTTTCTAGAAGCACACACGATGGGTGTGTGACAGGTACTTAAATTTCTTTTTAAATGAGTTCAAGTAAATAATCAGTGCAGATGCTTGTATCAATGGCCAGAAGTAGCACATCGTGAAACCATTGGAGATAAAAGCACCTACTGCAGAAATCGTGTCAAAAAAGCTCTGCCTTAGGCGTATGAACAGATTCCTGGGTGCATCTAGCCGGAGCTGGGAGCAACCTATTTAGCTTCTGAGTGATCTGAGGACGTGGATAATCTGCTTTGACGTGCTTTCTCCGCTTTCTCCGCTTGATCCATGTAATCTGCATGATTCTGGTGCTTTGCGCCTGTCAGCAAACGACTGTAAGTCAGAAGCAATCACAGAACAGCGAAAGCTACGGCTGGTGATCGATGTAAGCAAAAAACACATTACGAATGACATATATTCTCTGAAAGTTGGGTTGGAACAAAAAATCTACAGCATAAAACTGTAGATTATGTTTGTGTAAGAAGATAACTGACACATAGTTTTTCTCCGACATACTGATACATTTCTTCTATGATCATACTGCAACTAACTTCGCACTTTCTGTATCTCACTGACAGAATTCCCAAGACTAAGAGTTCTCTTCAAATTTTGCATTGCTTCGTGAATTGTGTTCAAGTCTACCAGAAAAAAATCTTCCTTTTCACAGTCAGCAGCTTGAACATATGAATGAATTTCATGCAGCCAGTCCTGCCGAGCTCATCTTCCCCTTGGTCACGCGTAGGTGCGCACAAGTTCCGAGAATCTATTTACATGAAAATTTTCTGTGTTGGTGCCTAATGTACGTACAACAACTACTGGAAAGCGCAGTTCAATTCTTTGAGGCCCGGTGGGAAAGGCGTATAGTGCTTCTGCTTACGTAACCTAAGCGACAAAAACCCCCGCTTTCACTACCTTCTTGGTCTATTCTCTAAATATGTCCACTCATCAACTTCCCAGATAGAGAATAACTTGAATAAGGGCACATGGCAGTTTCACAAGTAATTGCCAATAACTGTAGCTTACAACGAAAAATAAAACAGACAACGACCGAATGTTCGCAAGGGGAAGATACATGTAGGAGCTACAAGAAGCCAGCAACAAACACTCCATATCTGGATCAGAAGGACCTAAAACCAGTGGATGGGTGTGGTCAACTGCAATGGCAAGCTGTGCCTTGCAGAAATTCAACACATCAGTGAAAAAGAGAAGAATCTGTTCCATCTATCAGAAGTGTTCAATTCGCACTTTTAGTGAAAGGCGTCTCAGATCTCGCTCTGTTGCAACATGTAACGACAACCATTGCTTGGACAAATAGAGGAATTGATTTATTAACGTTATTAGGTGCAGACAGTCGATGGGCCAAAACTCTGTACCAGATGACATATGCAGCAGAAAGTCCTTCGAAATGATTAAAAACCCTCGTGAGGAACGGGCTGGAATGAGTTCAGGGAAAATATAAAACTTTGAGCTTACAATTCAACAACACAAGAACTTTTCTTAAGAAGGATCAAGTCCCCTGCGAAGTGAGAAAAGAACAAGGTGGAAGAATAAGATCAGACCTGAAGTAAGAAGAAACCATGGAGCGCATGTAACAGCTGACACGATAAGTAGTCCAACGAAAACGTGCTTTTTACTGCCACTATTCAGAAAATGCTGAATTCGAGATGGAGGAGGCTTGCTACTGCTAACACTACTAGCTCCCGTCGTCGTTGCTGGGGAAGCAACCGGTGGCGGTCTGGGCACATTTGCGGCCTCCGATCCAGCACTAGTCTCTTTCAATTCCTGCATACTCCCACTCCTCCTTCAATCCTTCCGTCTCGTTCCCCTCTCCGCTCCTCTTCCGATTCCGCTATCAAAAACAATCACTCACAGAGATTCCGCCTTCAAACGCCTGACAGAATTTTGTATCGAAGACGGAGACAAGAGCCGCACACAAGCTCCGCTGAGAGAATAATGACCTGCAAAATCATTCTCCTCGCCCCAATTCTCCGCGCAGATCTTCAGACTGCATCTGCTCTCGTTCTATTCTCTGCACCGAGCGAGTACTTCCGCACTCTGCGACTCTGCGACCCTCACTCCGCGACTCCTGTTAGGGTCACACGTTCCGAGGACGCAAATCCGCGCCGTCGCCAATCGTTTTCGCGACTATCTTCGTCCCGTCTCCTCTGAGCGCTACCAAAAGCACGGGTGTAAAAATCTTTGGGTACGATTCACCGGGAACTCCCGAAGGGACGCACATGTACCCGGAGTTCTTTACCGGCGATCGTCGGTACTTCTTGGACTCAGGAATTCCAAACCAGCATACTATCTTACTTTCCAATGTAAAGTTAAAGCACAGGTGTTGACCACCGGGGCTTCAGGTTATCTATACGGTGTACATATACAGTATATGATATTCAGTGCGTGTACTTTCTTCGTACGCCGGGGTTTTGATCTTTATACGGTTTCTCTCGGTCGAGCGTAAACCCTCAATTCGCGAGACGCCAGCTTCCACGAGGAAGGACCGAAATCTCGAAGGAGGAGCTGCTGCTCGAGGACGGGACGAGCGGATTGGGCGTCGAGGAAGAATTCTCGATTGCAGGTTGAAGGGGCTTCGAGGTTTCAGAGCGGTGGCGAATTGATTGATTGATTGATTGACAGTTTTGCGTGAGGAGGAGGATTCGATGGGCCCGGAGAATGAGCGAGAGGAGGATGCGGAAGGGAATGAGAAGCCGAAGAGCTTTAGGGATCTTGGAGTCGTCGATCAGTTGGCAGACGCTTGTGCCGCTCTGGGCTGGAAGGCTCCATCTTCAATTCAAGTCGACTCCATTCCTCTTGCTCTTGCAGGTTTGTTTCTCCTTCGTGAGCTGATTAGCTCTCCGATTTTCTGTTCTGTTTCATGTACATTGCGTGCACTAAATTCCTGAATCTGTTGTTGAGCTTTTACAGGCCGGGATATGATTGGTCTTGCCCAGACAGGATCTGGAAAAACTGGAGCATTTGCTATTCCTATTTTGCAAGCCTTGCTTGAAAAACCACAAGCTCTTTTTGCCTGCATTCTTTCTCCAACGAGGTAAGCTCACCTTTTCGATTCACTTACCACCTGTCGTCTTAAAATGAGCTGTACCCTTCGAAGTTTCGAAATATTGAGCCAAAATATGGTTGATAACAGTTGCCTTGGAACATGAATTGCAGGGAGTTGGCGATTCAAATTGCCGAGCAGTTTGAAGCGTTGGGATCAGGCATAGGAGTCAAGTGCGCTGTTGTAAGTTTTGACGTGATTGACGCTGCCTGGAGAAGTTCAGATTGATCACTGTAGTACGTACAAGAAGAGGCATACTGCTTGTATTATATGCATCTCTGTATCTCGCCGTTGATCCTAGCTTGTTGAATGTAGAGTACAATTAAATTGTAATGAGACCATCGCTTTTGCAGGTGGTGGGTGGAGTCGATATGATGGCACAGTCAATAGCTTTAGCCAAGCGTCCCCACATTGTGGTAAGTCCCAGCAACATTTCCAGCTATCTGTGGAAGTCTTGATGAAGTTCGTCAACCTGGTCGCTCTTTGTGATGTTATGTATGAGCTTTCTACAGAGAAAACATGTGGTTTACTTTTTTGATGAGTTTATGCTGTTTTAGTCACAAAGGTCAGTAAGCTGAAGTTACTTCTCTCTAAATTCTTTCTCACCGTGCTATTTCAGGTTGGAACTCCTGGACGACTCGTAGATCACTTAACCAACACTAAAGGTTTTAGCCTTCGCACAATAAAATATCTGGTTAGTTGTTTTCTTCACCAACTATTGCATGATCATGTTAATTCCGACTTGGCTGAGTTTCTTCGGCAGAATATACCAGACGCAGGTTCAATTTTCAGATCGTTCATATTGTACAGGTTTTCATGAGGATTCAATGGTGTTCGTTTGTTTAAAGTGCAGGTGTTGGATGAAGCTGACAGATTATTAAACTTAGATTTTGAAGCTGAAATAGACGAGATTTTGAAAGTCATTCCCAAGGACAGGAAGACTTATTTATTTTCAGCGACAATGACCAGTAAGGTGGGCCCAATTTCAAATGTTTCTTTCTACTCCAATTTTGTTGTTGGCACATACTTTTTGAATCACTGTTTTTGCTGAAACTATGCTGAAAACTATCAGCCGACGTTGTTTTATCATTTAGCGTTTTAATTAGCAACATGTGGACTGAAAGTAATTCTCGCAATTGTTAACTTTTGACTTCGCATCTATGTCGAGGACTTATCCCCGCCCTGCTAGGCCTCGCGGTCTTCAGTCTGTAAGCTAGGACAGTTCAATACTAAGGAGTTGCAGTCTGTGTTGGACTCTTCAGGTTGCCAAACTTCAGCGCGCGTGTCTTAGGAATCCTGCCAAGGTCAGTGCTGCCTAAGTCACTATCTTCAGTTTTGATAGTGGGATTTTACCAGGGAAGTGTCTTTTGTTAGTATCCAAACTAGACAGGAAGTGAATGCATCGTGTGTTGGAGATCAATTCTTTTATGACTTCTTAACGTTCACCGAGTCTGTTAAGAACGTCACATGTTATGCCCCTAAACTACTTTATGCATAACAATTTTACCTCAGGTCGAGGTCTCGTCAAAGTACTCAACAGTTGACACCCTGAAGCAAGAGTATATCTTCATCCCAGCTAAATTCAAGGTGCGTATCATCTGATCAAAATGTCGCAACTTTTGTTGGAAAAGATGTTAATACATGTTGGGGTTCGTAGGAGGACTTTTCCATACTAGTCGAATGATTATGACCATATTTCCAAATCTGTGACAGGACTGATTGTGTCTCATATTGTTCTTGTAATGACAATTGCCATAATGTGTAAACGTGGACAGGACTGCTATCTGGTGTTCATCTTGAACGAGATGGCAGGGAATACTATTATGGTCTTCACCAGGACATGTGAGAGCACACGAAGGCTTGCTTTAATCCTCCGGAATTTAGGCATGGACGCTATTCCAATCAGTGGACAAATGAGTCAGGTGCTTCTACACTCCTGTAAAGGGCGCATGCTGCCTGGTCTTTTATAGTATGGAATTTATTTGTTTACAATAGAAACATTCTCTCACGTTCGTAGAGATATTGCCGAAGTAAAGTGGAGAGACAAGTTCAATATTAGTTTTCCCACAGATACCCCGGATCTTACTGCATGCTCGATGGACTCGTTCACGGCAAGGAGAGTCCACTTACTTGGTAGAGACCGCAGGTTAATCATGTTACAGTCAAGTACAGGACCTCGCGAGTTCAACAATTTCGCCACAAGGATAAGATGTTTTGACTTGCTTTTAAGAGAAACAGGGCAGGGAGGAAGCTAGTCTGAAATTAGACCTCTATATCTCCACTCTCACACTCCGTCCCTGTAGTTCTCAAGCAGTATCTTCACGCTGTTCCGTGCCTGGGTTTGCGCTCAAATTTCCTCATGCCGGGTGGAGGTCATCCTCTCTAACCTTAAAATAAAAAGGATGGGGAAGCATTCAACAACTTCACTATGTGGTTCAGAGGAGCAAACTCCTGCCCATAGTAGGGCTTACCTCCGGTTTAATCAGGAACTAAAGTGATATCATCATCACGCCTAGCTTTTGAAAGCAGAGATGTTTTGACGGAGCTGTCGCTGATTTACGCGAGGCCATTTAGCCCTGGAGCTGGATGGGCAAGTGATGTTTCTCTCGGTTTACACCTGGAAATTTAAAAACAACTCAAATTTTTGGGAAGATTTCCTCCACAAAAGAGATAATTTTCTTTGTGATAATTCTATCTTGCTCGTCCTCCTTCATCTCCTATAATTTTAGGTTTCTCTCCTTCTGTTTTACTAGCTTAGCCACTGGTTTACAGGCACATAACAATGAGTACAGTATACAGCACACAAATTTACCTAACTTGAAAATTGTATCGTCAGCTGATCATCTTTCTCTGTGCGTTGTTTGGTTGCAGCCGAAAAGGTTAGGTGCCTTGAATAAATTTAAGGCAGGTGAGAGGAGTATTTTGATATGCACGGACGTTGCGAGTAGAGGGTTGGATATTCCTTCAGTAGATGCCGTCATCAACTATGACATACCCACAAACTCTAAGGTAAGAATTTTGATCTGACTACTCTAGTTGGAAGTGGCTTACAGAAGCTTTGGACGCGCTTTCTTCTACTCATCCTTCTCTCAATCTGTGGCTACGTTTTAGACAAGCTTTCGGTAAATTTCCGCTCTGCAATTCCTTATTAGTTATACTTTTGTAGTAGACTTTCAATGCACGCGAGCCTTCTAGACAACACCTACGCACACTTTGAGTATTTACACATAATCATCTGCGTGGCTCATAAACAGGAGATATCTTTGGGAAATTTTTGTGTTTTTTATATATTTACTTCTCCATAGCTATTGACATCTCAATGTGATGTGACCTTCAGGACTACATACATAGGGTTGGGCGGACAGCTCGTGCGGGAAGGTCAGGGCGCGCTGTGTCTATGGTTACACAGTATGATGTTGAGCTTTATCAGCGTATTGAACAACTTATTGGTAAGTTTTGAGAACTTGAATTCGTTGTCGAGAAACTTGCTGATGCACAAAGTGGCACGAGGCGTGTACGTCTTTTGGAAGAAAGTAGACCTTGTATTGAAAGGGCCGTTTTGATTTTGCCTGCGGTATTAAACGCTTCACTTGTGGGTGTCTTTATAGATAAGAAGCTGCCAGCATTCATGGCAGATCAAGAGGAGGTTTTGCAGTTGGAGGAGCGTGTTAGTGAGGCTCAGAGACTTGCAGCATTGGTGAGTTCCTCCTGTCAATATTTACTACATTTAGTACCTAGTATTTGAAACCAGAAAGAACTGCGTGGAGCTGTAGCCAAGAACCGAAACTTGTTCTCACAGCGATTTCATTGTGCAGCATATGCGCGAGAAGGACGCTGGGAAGGGAAAGAAAGGCAAGAGAAAAGGAGACTATGATGACGACAATCATGAGGGAGGAGGATCTTATGGAGGCCCCAAGAAGAAAAAATTTGCGAAGTCTTCTAAACCATCAAGAAAGTAGAAGTAGCGGTAGGCGTTAGATCAGCCTGAGTTCAATTTTGATACACCATAGCCCATCTGTACCATATGGCAGGTTGCAATGTCCGATCTGCTGAGGAGACTGGTCATCAACATAGGGGATTTGCTCGCGGAATTCGTAACACCATTCTCAGTATTTTTTGAGATTGGATGTAATTTTATATTTGTCTAACTGGAAGAAATGTGATACGGTCACTGTTTCCGGAATGATGAAGATCAGAGCAACTGGTCACGGAGTCCACTTTGGAATCTCTTCGAATGGAATCAAATAGGGCAAACCACCCATTGAATCTGCAGTTTTGGTCCTCGAGAATGTGAATGTTTTTCCCTCCTGATCCTCATTCCAGCTCATCCTGAGGCAATGGCAGGGCTCAGCCCACCTTGTCGATGTTGGACGACGTTCAGGTTCGACAAAGTAAAACTTCCAACCCCAAAATGTGAAGATTGGCTACCCTCGCAGGTCACTGAGCCATGTCTGTCCTGTCCTTCTGCATCCTGGGATTCTTTCCTTCACACAACTTCACATCCGCCTCTCTACCGTACCATCGAGGGTCGAGAGGAAATGTTAACACTGAATCCATCGACGCGACCACGTTTGAGGAGGAAATAAATACACACAGGGCCTAAGTCGTTTTGTGCAGGATTGTTTGCCGTCCTTCCGACAGGCGATGAAAGGTGACCGTCGTTGATACTGAAGGGCCATCCATAAGGACAATTAATCCAGATGATGTACATTATTCATCAGTTTCCGCGGTAACAAGGCGATGTATCTTCTGCTCGACACGACCGAATCGGACTTGTAAAATCTTACAGGTTTGAATGATCGTAATGGAATCAGCTTCTACAATTGACAGTGTTCAATTCGGGTGCAAAATGTGAGGGGCGGAAGCATTGACGTCGTTGGACTCGACGCAAATGATGGCAAAGCACGAACGTCGTCGTGGATCTGGCCTGATCCACCTGAACTTCATCAGTCGAAGTTCAGAATGAGTCATTCCTCTTATTGGCTCAAACCCTCCGCAGAAGCTCTCGTCTTTTCCTGGAAATTTTGCTCCACCGTATCCGTGGATGCGTGACTTGTGGTTGCCGATGAATCTTCAAATCTAAAGAAGGGTCTTTGCTCAGATTCTATTCAGACAAGGGATCATCAAGTGAATTTATGAACCAAAAGACGCAAATGACATTTGAGCTCATCATTTCAACGACATGACAAGCACAATGCCATTCAAGGACGCAAACTCGGCATAAACCCCATGATCAAAATCTCTCGAGGTTTGTGATGCGCAGTAGTTTCCCTTCACGTTCACCCATCGAGTAGTGGATACTGTGTCGAATTCTTTCTCTTGCAAACATCCTCGCTGACGTGACTACAGAACCACACAGTCAAACCAGGTGTCACTAGTCTTATAACCTGGTTAGTCTTCCTAGATACCTGGTAACACGATTAATCAATGAAAATTTTAAAAGAGGGCCAAGCAAATATCAAGAGAAGATGCCAAGGCAATCGAGCCAAACTTCGAGGAAGTGCGGAGTGACCAGTTCTACTTGGAAAAGCCGGTTACTTTTAACTTTTCCAGCCTGATAGCACCGGTTTCCGAAGGCAAGTGGGTCAAGTGGACAAGTGGACAAGTGGTTGCATGTTTATATTTTTCAGATATTTATTATCATCATCATCATTATGACAGAAAACAAATCTACAGATTTTCTCCCGATTCTGACCGGGTACTTGGGTTACCGTGTTAGGAAAAATTCTTTTCCACCCTCGCGTAACCTCCTAGCAATATGAACGACCAGGAGAGGCCATTTTAGAGCGACTGTGATCCAGGTAATAAATTATCACTGGTTTATCTAACAATATTTCTTTTAACTTTGTCCTTTTGGTAACATATATATACTCACAGATAATAATATCATTATTTTTTTTCACATAAATTAAAATAATCAAGATTTCATAATTTCTGAAATTTCCAGCAGCTGATGTCGGGAAATGTCCATTTGAGACGCCCTAATTATGATTTAGGACTCTAACTCTTTGTTATATTATATAATCTCTGTCGAAAGCCACGACGGTCGCCGGAAGTAGCCCCGTGGCAAATTGTCGGCGAAGAGTGCTCACATTCCGACGTCGTGCGATTCTCAAGGATTTCCTTCGGGAGCGAAGCTCAGAGTTGAAATTGCACGAGAGCAAGAATCCTGCGGAAATGTATTCGGTCCGGACGAGATCGCGGGTCGATGCATGTTTCGATCCATATATTGATCATGATTCAATCGGTGCACTCGGATGGATCATCCTCTGAGGTACATGTAGGAGCTCTGATTTCTATAAGAGCGAGAGCGATAGACATACGGCCTTCTGATGTAGATGACAATCTGCATCGCTACGATTAAATCTACTCCCATCGATCGATCGATCGATTGATTTATGGTCAGCTTCCGACGCATCTTCAGATGCACTCCGAAGCTTCAGCCGCAAGCTGAGATCCCATTGCCCAGCTCAGGGAAACTTATATTAGATTGTCGATGACAGTATCCAGCGAGAAGGAGTGCCCAGAGAATCAAAACTATGAACTCATGAACTCTTCATGACAATGCCACTGGCGCAGAAGTTCCAGAATGAGGGTTTGGAAGTCATCGATCATCAACATCGATCATCGTTAGTTGCGAGCCGGGGATCATGAAATTTGTCTGGAGCAGGTTCGTCACTGCTGTGGAGGGACGAGGGCTCAGATGTCGGCTCGTGTGCAATTAGTTTCATCTACTTGAGGTTGATCAGGAGGAGTTTGTGCTGTGGTGAGTGATTGGATGTGACATGCACGAGCGGCATGTACGTCCTCCGATCGATCGATGTTCGCAATCCGTACATAGAAGTTGCAATCTGTGGATGGCAGGATCATGGCCTTGAGAGATGTCTGTCAGCTTGCAATGCTCAGTGAAGAGCTTCATCAATGAAAGGGGATGAACAAGACCCCACCGAGCTCTATTATTCCATCGCCCTTTCCTTTCGCTTGAGGGTCACTGCAAATGAGCTCGAAGGATTCAGAACAGTTGGTCTCAGACCGTAGCCAGGCAAACAAGTTGGCAGGTACAAGTTGATGTGTCGCACTTGAGCTAAAGTCTCTGTCCTGCTCAAGTCATCACGTCGATTAGTCGACCATCTCACTCTTCACGACCAGAAATCAGATCACACGCCTTCAAAATTGCATAAACGCCGGAGCTCAAGACTCGATCGATGATGTCATCCTAGTGGTGTCAGCCGGATCGAACTAGTAGGCATATCTTGTCGGTGGGCATGTATGACTGAACTGATTGCTGAACACTCAAAGAGGAACGATGCATATCCGCAGCCAACCAGCGAAGAAATGTGTGATCAGGCTCTCACCTGCTCGTCAATAGCACAGCATGGATTCACTATCCTCCCCGTGGACTCGCTCAATTCATCCACGGCAGATTTGGGAGCTGGTAGAAGCTTGAAGGATTCTACCAGCTTCGACAGTCTACATGCCTCGTAGCTATGTGGACTTTTGTTAAAGCAGGGACACGACGAAGCCAGAGGTCGGTCGTGTTTGGCTCATGTTCACGACCACATGGTGCAACGGGAATCGGCCATGAAAGAGGTCGCAGGTTCTATAGCTGTAATTTATAATTATTCATGCAGGGCATTCATGCAAGACAGTTAGTGAGCCTCAGAGCTGAAGAAAGCCTCCGCTAGGCTTTTGTATAGATTGTCGAAAGTCGCTCGCTGGTCGAGGAGAATCGGCGGCTCCAAATCTGTTGTAATTGAGAATGCAGGACATCTGTAACCACTTTGCAAAAAAGTAAGAAATTTAAAGGAGCACTTTGCTTTTCGACAACCTTAGTGAAGGTACGGAAGATCCTCTCTGACAGTTCCAGCAGACTGGGACCTGTTAACGATTCAATTAGACCATGAACCTAGAGACTTCCGGTAAATTTAATGGGTAGTTAAATCATCTTTCGTCTCGTCAGAGTGCATCCCTGCACCATATTTGACTTGAGCACTGAATACGAATGAAGGAAGGAAGGCAGCCATCATTAGAATAGCTCGAAATTCTTGTTCCTTGGGCCTGCTGGTATAATACGTAGGTCACCCTTTCCAGCAAGCTTGTGATCCTCGAGGTTTCAGTGACATACAGATCTCGTTTCTCTCCACAATTATTCTATGACAGCAATCCCAGAGAGGTCCAGGCAGTTGCTGGTTTTCGGGCTGCTCAAAATGCTTACTGAGTGCATCTGATTATTCCTCGGACTGAGACTCGGCCTACTCTTTAGAGCCTTGGACGTCGAAGCTGCTGCTATCTAGATGCAGCCTCGACGTCGAGGCTGCATCTAGATAGCAGCAGCTGTAGCATCCAGAAGTGAATTGAACAGTGGTCAAACGAGAGCAGTATCGACCGTCACGTGAAGATTGTGGTACTGTCGACATCCTCCCCCACCATTTGGACTGTATAGTTAAGGTCTCATGTTCTTCCTTCGAAGTGAGCAGGTCAGGTGCCCGACTGTGCAGCGACGATGTGGATAAACACATTGTGGCGATCCGGGATCGAGCAGATTAGTAACTTCTAAGAAGTGTCCACTTTCATGTTCTCAGATCTTGCGCTGGACCAGACGATGGACTCGGTTCCATCTTATACCGTGCTCCGTCGATACCGCTGGCCAAGTGTTCTTTCCTGAAACAAAATCGAGCTATGAAGCTCATCGGGTTCATCGTTCAGAGACACGTACTGCAAGCTAGAGGCCGTTTTCACGATTTTTCTCAGGGCTCGACTGACTTGAGCAGTCACTGCAGTTTCAGGAAATTATCAACCGAAATGAGTAATTCTCTGAAGCCCAGAATCTTAGACTGTATGCCTTCCGGTAGACTTATGTTCTAATTCACGGGGCGGGTTTGCAGGTTGAACATTTTATATCTTGCAATGAGCTTCCACTTGTTCTTCGAAGTGCACTCTGCCATGCCCAGTACACCTGGACCATCAGAGCGAACTCTTCCCTTAATTGAATATAATTGAATAACTTAAATCCTTCATATGACTGTAAGATTTTGCCTGAACCTTTTGGTTTGGTGTGAACCTCCGCTGTATGAGGTCCGACAGATTTACCACCCAGCGAGTTTCGTCACTTGCTTTAGTTTTGTTGTGTAGGAAGCAATTTGATGGTTTCTCTGGTGAGATATCGATAAAAAACGAATTCGACAGTCTGGACCTTTTCGACAAATCTGGAACATTTCGTTGCATTTACGACGCGACGAGATTGTGAGAATTCTGTTGCTTTTGAAGGTACCGAAGAGTCTTTTTTTCTAGTTGTTCTACTTGAGAATGTTCACAGCAATTACCTCAACTGGCACTCATTCTACATACATCCCACCGAAATATAACGAGACTGTGGAATATGATATGACCATCTTCACACCCAGGAAGTGTATGAAATGTAGGAAGTGTATGAAATGTAGGAAGTGTATGTCCCACACCAATCCTGAATCTGAAGAATCTCACAAACAGTGGGAAGTGTACATGGGACCAGACCAATCCAGGCATCCTGAATCTGTCACGGCACCAAATCTGAGGAAAATCACAAACAGTCGGTGAGCCCGAGCAGGGAACAAGGCACTTTGCCCTTTCCCTTTCCACTCTCACCAGATGACCCGTCCAGCGGATGGCTCCCTACGCCACAACTCGACGCAGACAGCTTGCAAATCGTACATCACGGAGCTGTTCTCACGGGCTGTACTTGTACGTCTGCCGCACAGTCAATCGTACTCAGACGCTTCCGTCGGTCATGCAACCCAGAGAGGCTCGAGCTCTCATCTTATCGAGCTCCCTGTCTTCAGAGATGATCTCTCGCCCTCTATGGCAGTGCAGTGCAAAGCACTGCCATCGATCTGCACCACACTGTGTTGCTACAACGCATGTTCCTTTTCTCTCGTAATCACACGCCAGTGCTCTGGCTGGGCTCTGGTTAGCACAACATCATCGACAACAGAATCGCCCACCTCGAGAGCTTTGAGACTCCCTCGAGAAAGCTCCAACAGTGATGAGCTCGCTCGCTCGCTCGCTGTGCGAGGGCGAGGACAAAACTCTTGACTTTCAGGTCCGTGATCAGCAGCCACTGACAAATCCGATTGATGCAACGAGTGTCCTCTATGTCCAAAAAGGATGCTGCAATAGCTCGGGACAGTCACTCGTTCAGCTAGCCAGCGACGATGTGAAGCCCCGATGTGGCCCACCAGCGAAACACGGCCCGACTCACAAACCGCAACAGTGTGATTCATGAGAGGCACACATCAATGAAAACCTGTAATCGACGTGGTTCCTTATCACAGATATTCTTGCGGCATGATCTGAACCACCATCAGCACCACTACCACCACCGCAGCAGCAGCAGCAGCATAGCTTCCTGTACATGATCCCCGCAGGACCTACTCGCCCCCATCGAGCCCGGTGTGAAGACAGAATCGCAACAAATTCCAGCCCTCGGTTCGCCTCAAGACTGCTGCCGGGCATCTCCGTGCAGAGTCTCTCACAGGTACGAACCAACGAACCATGGATGGGGCTCATCTCATCGAGTCACCACCCCCTGTCCAGCTGAGGCATCGAAGGAAAATTTCAGCTCCCCTCTTGCTGACTTGACGGCAGATCAACCTCCTCTTCCTCGTCCTCCTCCTCGAAGAAGAAGAAGAAGAAGAGGAAGAAGTGGACCTAGGCACGGAGTTGACTCCACGAGCGAGCGAGCGACAGAGAGATAGAGAGAAGGGTGGAGGGGGAAGGGTTGGGGGGGACGATTGTGCGTTGACCGTATCGGCCGAAAGGACAAGGGGGGCCGAGCAACGTGCGTGAGAAGAAAGGACAAAGGGGGGGAGGGGGAAGGGGGAGGGGGAAGAAGGGGGCTCGAACTTTGCGCGCCTCAGAGTTTGCTTTCGCGCTAGGGGGCTGTGGGCCACGCCTCTTGAAGCACCACAGGGGTTAGAGGCGTGTGGCAGGCGCGTGGGCGGCACACGTTTCACGCTAAAAATAAACAAAGGGCTCCGAAAGAGCGCACGAAAGTGCAATGTGAAACTTGGCACTCCCGCCAGGCCCCGCCCTGCCCCCGAGACCGGATCAGCCGCCGCTCGCCTGCCTGACCTGACCGCAGCCCCGCCCTCATCCGGTCGCTTGCTCTCCGCGGCGCCACCAGCGACCAGATCCCCATCCTCGGTCCAGCCCCCAGAATCTATCTACCCGGTCACTAGACTCACGAGCAGCCCCCGCGAGGCTGTATCCTTCGGTAGATGACCGGCTAGGGATTCCGAGACGACCGGACACGGGGTAACGCCCCCCCCCCCCCCCAATACAACCACTACAATAAGCGACAACCCCCCCGCAGTGGATCGTCGTCGCATCTCCAGGTTGCATTCGTTCGTGACCGGGACATGCAGCGACTCGCCGGTCAAACCATGATAGAATAGCCCCCGAGAGCTAGGGCGCGGTGACTCGCGGCGACTTCTTCGAGCGGTCATCGATCGGAATGCGATGGACTCCACAGTCTCTTCGGTCAAGCCCCCGCCACGTCCACAGACGGAAGCCCCTCCGCTCCGAGTCAGCCTCGACGAGGTTCAACCGAGCGCAACCTCCACTGGAGGGAGGGAGGCCAAGCTAAGAGGACAAGAGCCCCCGAGAAGTATCAGATTCTGATCCGAGAATAGCGACCAGTAGAAATAAAATCCACTGGCAGGAGATCGAAGGAATTGATGTCTGAATCTGGACTCCCCCCAAAAAACTCTTCCTTCTGCTTTCTACCCCGAGCTTAATGAATTCAGCTGGATGGACTCCTCCTCGTGGACATGGAAGATTTATCATCTGTATCACGGTAACGATCGAGCTCATGGGGTGGACCTTTGGGGTGCATTCATGAGTTTAGCTCCGATTCTCTCCAGACTCGCAGCCGCTTCTGGCAGAGGCTTTGCCGATTTGGGGATCGAGGTCCATGGCACAGTCTCGGTGGCAAATGAGAAGGCAGCCGACAGCATCACACCCCCCCCCCGCGGCAGCCTTCTAAGCACTAGTAGTAGTGGCGGTGGTTAGCACAGTTCACGAACAGTGGGAGGAGCGGGGGCTCGGCTCAGTCTGAGAACGGGACGGATGGACGTCCCGAAGGTGGGGAAGAAGAGCTGCAGCTGGCGAAATTGAGAGCGACGGGCAACGGCCAGATCATCCGATCGGCTAATTATAGTTCGGTGGTAGACGAAGAGAATCGCAGGCGAGCCCCCGGTCGAACCACCGTCGGTAGGGGGGCTAGACCGGGCCGGGCCGGGGTTAGCAGTAGCATTAGCATTAGCACCAGCAGCGGGGGGCGGGGGGCCGGGGGCGAGCGCAACGATGCGGCGGACGAGGGCAGCGCAGGGGGGGAAGCCCGGCTGGCGCGGGGGGTGGGCCTAAGGTGCTTACGACGGACACCGGTCACAATACAAAGGCACGAAGAAGATTCTCGAAAGCTCATGAGCTGGGGGAGAGAGAGAGCGAGGGCCAGACAGCGAGAGAGAGGGAGAGAGAGAGGGGGAGGGATTCAGAGAGTGCTTAGGTCCGAGAGAGAGAAAGAGAGAGGAGAAGTACGTGGGGGTAGAGTACAAGTGGCGGTGTGAAACGCGAGGGGGGCAAGAGGATTCTCGGAGGAATCAGTGAAGCGAAGCTGGAGCTGGCAGGGCGGCGACGCACGTCATGCGTCCTTCTCTGGCACTGTCTGCTGCGCGTCGTCGGCACTACTAGAAGCCTGTTCTCGTCACGTCGATGACAACGATTTTCTAATCGCAGCCTCTCGATCGATCCTCGCCCGCCTCTCGCCCCTCAAGGCGGTAAATAGCATGCTCTCGGCACATTCTGCAGCGGCACAGTTTTGCATAGATCCGATCGATTGTTCGAGTGCCCGCTCCCGAAGGAAGGAAGACTGAAAGTCGACAGACTGAAGGAAGGAGGAGGTCGAAGAAGGCGAAATTTTTGACGGCCAGCTTCAGCAGAGGACGAGCGATGGCGCCGCACGAGTCTCATCACGTAGAGAAGCATTTTACGGCGGGGGAGTTCGTTCGCGATGTGGTCATCGGTATGTCAGACGGGCTGACAGTTCCCTTCGCCCTGGCTGCGGGACTCTCTGGAGCGGCCGCCCCTTCTTCGATTGTAGTCACGGCCGGTCTGGCTGAGGTAGCCGCCGGCTCCATCGCTATGGGCTTGGGCGGGTGAGTGCACCTCCGCCTCGCATTCCTTCGCTTCATTCCGGACTCGATTTCTCGTCCCTCGGCCCGTCGATTGCCCAGCCTCCCGCCGCCGCCAGCAATCGACGTGGACTTGAATGCTTTCAGTCTTCGATTGATTGCTACTCCATGGTGAAAGCATCATGGGACGCAGATGCAGTCGTAGCTCGTAAACGTACGTGATTGCTCTTCGTACTCGCATGTCTCTCGTCCTGATTTGCCTCGTCGTCACTGCTGCAGATATTTGGCGGCAAAAAGTGATGCAGATCACTACTGGAGTGAGAGGAAGAGAGAGGAGAAGGAGATTGAAGATGTTCCTGATACAGGTGAGCACCGAGAGAGAGAGAGGCAGAGGCACACTTGCATGTTCGTGAGAATGTTTTGTCAAGGACTCACTACAAGCAGTGGGAAGGGATTTGTCGAAACTGTTGCGTGCCTGCGAAGAGAAATTAATTGGACGAGAGTTTTGCTAATTTTTTCAATTTGTGCAATGTTGGCCAATTGCAGAAGCAGCCGAGGTAGCGGAAATTCTGGAGAACTTCGGCCTGCAGCCGGAGGAGTACTGGCCTGTTGTGAACGCTCTCCGCAAGCGCCCCGATGCGTGGGTCGACTTCATGATGAGGTACGTACGAGACATCTGAGCGCGAATCTCTGACGAGCTCTCCGTGAAATGCCCCATGCTCCGGGAATATCCAATTTCCTTCCTTCGAGCCGTAGACTCTTCTCTGCATTGAAATGCGAGGCTGCTTCGTTCTCTGCCGATCAATTTGCTTGATTTCGATTCGTTTAGATTGGGGGAGAATAGTTTGCCGGTTTCGGGAATTTCGGGATCGATTTGGTCCGAGATGAATCTTGGGCAATCTCGAGTGCGAGGTCGATTAGAACATTTCAGATTTTTCGTCGAGACCTGAATCTGGAGCCGGAGCTGAGTGAGTGGGATGGATGTGAATGTGGGTTATGGCAGATTCGAGCTGGGGCTGGAGAAACCGGATCCCGGAAGGGCGTTGCAGAGTGCACTGACGATCGCGGGGGCTTACATCGTGGGGGGCATCATCCCCCTGTTCCCGTACATAGTCATCCCCCAAGCGCTCGAGGCGCTGAAGATCTCGGTGGGCGTGACGCTGGTGGCGCTGCTCGTCTTCGGCTTCGTCAAGGGCTTGTTCACCGGCACCAAGCCCCTCGCCAGCGCCATCCAAACGGCCGTTATCGGCGCGGTGGCCTCGGCCGCCGCCTTCGGCATCGCCCGCGCCATCAACAACTGACCCTTCTCCCCCTCCGTCCCCCTACCCCTCCCCCCCATCCCCAAACCCCAACCCCATCCCTCTCGCGCGGACGGCTCATACAGTAGCACCATTTATCCATCCGTCCATTTATCCATCTATCCATTCATACACCTCACCACCGCCGTCGACCATCTCCGTCCGGCCAGAACTGGCAACATCATCATCAGAGCGAGCACACCCGGTTCGAACCACATGGCAACCGCGGTGCTCGCGGACGGACCTCTGGCTGCTGGCTGCATCCAATCGTCGACGTGCCTCTTTCCTGGTTGCCGGTGGGAGGAAGTCCCTCCCCCTTCATTCCTTCCTTCCTTCAGCCCGAATGGATTTTTACACTACGGTCCCTCCGCCGTATCCCTCGTTCCTTCGGTCGTCAGACTGGACAGTCCCAGATCGCGGCCCGTCACGCTGTACACTAATTTCTAGCCCCGCAGCGGCGGAGCAATAAGAAGGCGGCGGCGGGGGCTGGGCTGGGGGCTGGACCCGACTCGAGCGGACGGGTCTCGAGCCAGCCATCCATCATGACGAAGGCGAAGCACCGAATCGATCGACGACGACTGTGGCATGGTGCTCCGAAGGTAGTCTTACTTATTTTCGTTTCTTACTAGACGACTGAAACGGTGGAGGTGCCAGCGTCATGTTTGAGTATGACGGCATCGTATACGACAGCGAGCCCGTCCCCGGATTTCGGTCTGCGATCTCCGGACGGATGGACTCGCGAAGAATGTAAAGGTTCAATCGACACTCGATTAGAAAAAATGAATGCAAGACAGACATACAGACAGAAAGAAATTAAGAAAGAAAGAAAAGGTCCGGCGCCGCTCTTTGCGTGCGTGCCTTCCTATATTACGACTGAAGTCAGACTCCATTCGATCTCTTCTGCATGGTTGTCATAAGTCATCCTCCTCCATCTTATCACTCCCTCGATCGTATCGAGGAGGGAGGAGTGCAACTTGCCTTTCTGATTTGTTCGTCGAGCTTCTCAACGACGCGTGTGTGAGTCATGGCGAATTGCCTCGAATTGTATCGTATCGATATGTTGATGCAACATCCTGTCGTTATTTCTGTTGTTGATGAAATGAGCTGAAATAATACTCGTCGATAACTAGTGGAGCGATAAAGGTATTGTACAATGCAAACAAGCTCACTAAGGCGCATGTTATGACGTAGCGAACGTCGGTGACATGTCTACTGTGATCAAATCCGACTATCTAGTTTCATGTTCCACTGTGAGGTTCAGATGTATTTCGCTTTGTATTCAGATATGGAAGATTACTCGTCAAATCTCCACACGTAGATTCGAACAGGGAGGGTGTTGTACTCACTCAATAAAATGAGCACTTGAACACCACGCAACGGAACATGGGGAAAGGTTTTGAGAGCTGAAGGTCTAATGAGAAGAAAGAAACATGATATCATATGATATATATCTTTGTGAGTAAACATGAAGTTCAAAAGCAGCGGATGAGAGGATAGCCATGTGACAAAGTCGATCATGTTTCGACAAAATTTCAGTACATGTGTACAAATAGGCCAGTGCTGCAGGATGCCCACCAACGTGAAAGTCACAGCGCAGAACGTTTTCAGGAAGGCTGGAAAACCCAAAGGCCGTGTAGCTATTTGATTTACATGGTGCTTTTAGAGAAGATTTGAAAACGGGGATATGAGCCCTCGCATCCATGCAAATACTCACCCTGAAACGTGACACGGCTCTCATGTAACTCTTCAAGACTATCTGTCACTTGAAGACTGTAAGATTAAGGGTTCAAGAGTTGGAAGTAAGTATTCGAACTGAATTGCTGTAAATGGTAGAATGTGCTATAACAAGTCAAAACTGGCACCTACAAGATTCATTCTCTCAAGAGTGCACATACTTCAAAGCAAATCCTCTTCACTTTATAACAGATTACTAATCCAGACTCAGAAATATAATTAAATACAATCCGTTCCAATTTTGGATCCTTTCACTGAGAATATTACATTTGGACCTATCTTTGAGTAATGTTTCCATGAGCGATTTTAAAAAAACTGATGAGAAAATGCATACATTAATTCTTTCCCGTTTAATTATCAACCGTAGATTATTTGATGAGAGCAACCTTTGAATTCTGAAGGGATATCTTGCAAGTAACGATCGACTAGTCTCGATTTGAAAAATTATAATTAAGGATACATTATGAATGTAGATTGTGATTAGATACAGCTGTGTTTGGTTTTTACCCCAAAAAAGCTGTAAACAACCAAAAAAAAGCATGCAACTTTTTCGTTGGGTGGCAAAGTCACTAACATGTTTTGCCAAAGTAGATGACTAAAAACCCTATCATGATAATTTCGTTTGTGAACATTAAAGGATTCGAATTTAATCATCAATTTGATGTTCATTGCCAAACCAATATCAAAGCATAGGTAAAAAATTGAAATAATTTTTTTTATTAACTACTTAGGTTTGGCTAGGAAAAGAATATGCAAAGTTAGATAAGTACAGAAGAATCTGTCTAAACTAATACTGCTGGACCGGAAGATCAGTATTAGATTAGGGAGGTTATTAATTAATGGAGGTCGGATATAACCAGCTCTTTCTACGTCCGGTCCCAATCTTAGAAGACGTTTGTATTAGATTATAGAGGTTATTAGTTTAGACAGGTTCTATTATATATAAACCAACTGTATATAACCTATTTTTTTTAATAAGAATTTTTAAAATTAAACATAAATAAATATAAATATCTAGAAACTCTAAAAATTTCACCAATATAAAAAAATGGGCGATGTCAGTGAAGTAACAACGGTGACTTATTTACATTGACTCGACGACAAGGAATATTCAGGTCTAATTGAGCTCCCTCTCTCTATTGATATAAACTGCAGTACCTGTCTTCGCATAATCAAAGCGGACTTTCGGCCAACATTCCCCCGAAATATTCGGGCCCAAGAGGAGGATAACGCTGAACAACACCTTTCAGACATTGTGACACGTGGCAGGGTTCTTAACAGCTACGGAGAATCGACTTTTGCTACGTGCTCGTCGCAGGGACCCCAATTTGTGTCTGCGCGATTGGTTTTGGAACTGTTGCGGTATCTCGGATGGTAAGACTTCATCCCCTTGACGGCCTCCCCGAATTTTTGTTCAATCTTTAGAGAGTTTCGGATCTTTTTTCTGTTCTGTGCTGAATTTCGTCCATTGGTGTGGTTTTCCAGATATGGCAATCTTCGGTGGAGCGACAACACTCGTACGAAGCTTTATTGTATGGTCTCTTCGTGCTCTAGCAATGCATTCTTGGGATCGATTCTTGGGATCCACCGTTCTTGTCTTAGGGGGTTACAGCATTCGTGCCTTCTTCCATCTTCATCCATTGTCAGGCTTATCGATGTCCCAATGTCAGACAGACTCTTGAGAGTAACCCGACGATTTTAAAGTTATTCAGCTTTCAACATGACATTGCGCGCAATGTCCGTTCGTTCGGAACGAAGTGCGTGTTGCGTTGTCTTGACCACCAATGTTCACCGCAATCGTAGAATCGTCACCATACTGTGGCCACTTGTATTTCCACTGTACTGCCTCTCGCTGACGACATTGCTGCGGCTTTACGGTCGTTCAAATTCTCCAGCTGCAGCTGAAAATCTCCCGAGCCCCTCTTTGAATGCTTCAATTCCACAAATTGTAGATGCCAGATCCGAGGCAAGCGTAGTATTCCTTCAATCATATCATAGGAGCCTCAGAATTGAAGGGAAGGCGTCCACGAAACAAGAAGTAGCGCAAAAATTGAATATGATTCAATTTTGCCGCTAATTCATGTTCTGTGGGCACTTTCTCTCTGGTAGCTCGAGTCTCCACATCGAACTTTTGATGCTAATCGGGTTTGTGATCGGATGCTGTGCAGCATTTAATCGGAGCTTTAAATTGAAGAGAAAGTGTCCACGGAACGGGAATCGACGGAAAAATGAACAATATTCATTTCTCCCGTTGATTCATGTTCCTTGGGCAATTTCTCACTGGTAACCCTGAAACCCACGACCAGCTTTTTCATGCTATTCAGGTCTCTGATCGGATGATGTGCAGCATTGAATGGGAACGTTAGAATTGAAGAGAAAGTGTCCACAGTCCCAAAAAGGGTCGATCTTGAATTCCAGCGAGGAACGGACGGAAGGGCGTTTCCGAAACCACTGTCGGTGAGACCCGCACGCCATTCGCGAGTGCCTCGGGCGTTTCGCTCGAGAGGGATCGGGAGAAGGTGACGAGAGTAGCTTCGTTCAGAAGATGGCAGAAGACTTCCCACACTGTTCTCTCGATCATCGACTTCGAATGTACTCACGAGGAGGAGGAACACAGGCATTGCATCTGAGCAAAACGATCGTGAAAAAGAACTTGGAGATCGTGCTCATTTCCTTCCAAATCAAGACCAGAAGACTGACAAATCATCGAACACATACATATGTTCGAAATCAATGCTCGACTTGAAATGTTGACACGAGTCAGAAAGAATTTGGTCGACACTAGAGGCATGCAGGTGACAGGGCACGTACCAAGTACCTCGATGCAACAAAGGCCGTCCCGTGAGAATATCACGAGAGACAAATCTCCTCACCCGCCGAGCTGCAGGTCCTCGAGAATCGCCTCGAACGTGGAGACTGGCCCCTCTTCTTCTCAGCCAATGAGCCAGACCGAGAGCTCAAAGATGGCCTCCCTCTTTCTCATTGTACGAGGTTTGCAGCTACTTAAGATTGTGATGATATTATCCACAGTGATGATTGCCTTTTGTATTATGCAGTTCGCATTGAGTACTTATACCAAGAGTGCAAGCGCTTCCGTTTCTAGGAACAGTTTGCAAGCTTAGTCTTGATTTGCATCTGCACGAGGCACTCTGTGTACATGCAAGAGCTCTCAGAAGTTGGAACTATGTCTTCTTTGCTGTGAGGGTAATTGGTTCTGGTTATGTGTGAGGAGTCTCTTCCCTTACTACATGCATCTCAACCGTTTTGTTCACTTATGCTTATTCTTGGACTACTTCTTCAGACTCATCCCTGTCTAAGCTACTCACCAGATTCTTGTGATTGGTTTCAGGCTGTCTCTTTTGGAAACGGTGCACCATCTTTCACAAATATTTCCATATGTAATATGGAAATGGAAAGGAGTTCAATATTTCATTGCTGAGAGATATCGAATCTCTTCCACAGACTCTTGCAAATCTACTTCGCCAGATTTGTACAGTTTGACCTGCATTTGTGGGTTGTAAAATCAATCTCCTCTTCCTTGTCATGGACACGAGTATCAGAACGCAAAAGCATTCTTTTGCTGGAATATAGCATTGAATGTGAAATTCTGTCGAGGCTGAAATCATAGCGTTGATCTTTGCTTGTTTTTTTGCAGTGGTTCGAGTTGATCCAGCGATTGGGTTTACAGTCTGAAATGTAAACTTGTTCCAATTAAAGTAAGACCAAGAATCCATCTAGTTCACAAAAAATGTATTATCATATCGACTGTGTGACTTTATTGTATCTTTCAGATCGCGATCATTAAGGTTGTGCTGTTTAGTGTCTGTTTACAGTAACTTTCTGTGTGTAGTGTGGAGTGTCATGTGGACAAGGATCTCTCCAGAAAGGCGTTTTACGATGTTCATGAGTTCTCACCATACATGTAAACAGTCAACAAATGATTCATGTCGAACACTGGTCAGTAAACATAGTTGAAATATTTTTCAATCACATGTTGTTTGGAATTGACGAGTATTTCAGTAGTGAAGTGTTTCTATCTACATATTCAAAGAAGAGATGTTATTCAGATGGATCACTTTCAGATGATGTGAATCATCTGAAAGTTATTCATCGTCAAGGTTTGTTACTCCACCCCAGACTATCTTAAACATTACTATCCCGTTCCAAATGTTATCCGCTCTTTTATCCAGGGCAATTATTCATCTTCAAGGTTTCATTATCATTAAGAAAATTTCACATTTTTGCTATCATTGTATACATCTATTTTATTCAGATACCTTTATTTTACACTCATCATGATAAGTAGTAGATTTTGTTTCCAAATTCACTGAAAATGCAGGTTTGCCATCAGATTTTTTGTAATTCAGAAGAGGATCATTGTAATCAATGGTATCTGTATTCTTCTCCTTCATGATAGGCTTGGTTGTTGCAATTATGTATTTCCTATCTCCTGCTGTTGTTACCACGCCAGCATTTATCTTTGACACACAGCTCAACTCCTTTTCCGATTGAGATTCTGGTGACGATCATGGACAATGTGACGTGAGCCGCAATGATCGACTTCCTGCGCCTAGGAAATGACCGGCTTCTTTCTTCCAGCATGAGTCTATAATTCACTCAGATCTTTCAAGAAATCGTAAGACTATTTACAACTGTGTTAACGACATTGGTGCTCTACGTTAAGAGTCTCTGTAACTGAAAGTCCACAAGCAGTCGAATTACAAGAGCTTTCCTGCTAAGAAACTTACATATATACACGTGACAGTTCTGAGCGTGCTAGCGATTAAAAAAGTGCAGAGATCACGGCCAGCACAAGCATGTAATCAGGTTGTAGCACGAAGAATACGAACTGAATACGGACAATACGGAACGAATTTTATATTTGCATGAGGGTCTGAACATATGCTTGTCCATTGCATAATAGCATTCTAACCTCTTCTAAATCCTAACATGTCAAAATTCCACAGCGAAGGCCTTTATTCATGCACTTCTCGCACACCCATGCATTCCCACCTTTTTCTAAACTGACGTATTTTACCTGAAACAACTTGAAGATTTCAGAATAGCGATTTTGAAGCAGAGGCGCAAGAGTTTGCTGAATCCTCCACCATGCTTCTTGCAGCTCCCTGCTTTCCCCACCTTTTAGAAATGCCCTATGATCATCATCACTAATACCTTCTAACTGAACAATATCAGATTTTAAATCTTCCCATTCCGGAATGCCTTGGCCCAACCCGAGTGCTTTATCCAGACCAGCCTTCGCCGCATAGTACATGACTTTGTATGAGATTTCAACGGTTTTCCGAATCCACGACCTATTCTTCAAATCCAACCGCATCTTGAAACCTTCCTGATCTTTGACAGTGTGAAACCCAGTTATAGACTCACACATCAAGTGTAATCGAACGGTTGTCCCGAAATGCAAAACTGCACTCATCCTAGAGAAAAATCCAACATCGTCCGTAACGTAAGGTCGTTTGGGTGTTTTCTCCTGCTGAAAAGCATGCGAATAGCCAATGATCATGTCCACCTTAGACATGAAAACACTCAACGTTGACTGCAGTTCTTGTTGCACAGAGAGTATGTGTTCCATTTTCATGTCCACTCTTTGCATGATGCTATGCACTTCTCTCAACCTCTCGTCCAAATCATCAACCTTTCCATGCAAACCATCAACCTTTCCTTCCAAACCATCAACCTTTCCTTCTAGCTGGCCGAACTTAGACAAAAGAAGTTGGGTTGAACGATTTTCCACACTTGTGATGGACCGACTCAAGAAACTGGATCTAGGTGGTTTAAGGTCTTTCATTTGGGGGACATTGGAGCCGCTAACCATGTTTTCCGCTTCAGGATAACATTGAGCCAAATCATTGTCCACGCTAATTATACCTTCCTGCAATGACTCCAACTGTTGAATTCGATTTTGCCGAATCTCATTCACAACTGCTTCCACATCGCTCTCCCACAACAAATCCCTCGCACGTTCGGATATTCCGTCGGTGTCCCTTTCAATTGGAGGCCAACACTGCTCATAGTGGAACAACTCTTCCTTCTCCACCAAGTGCAACCTTTGCAGCGGCATTTCCTCAAATTTGTCATTGATGCTACGAATGAAGTCCAATTTCAGCTTCTCGATCAAAATGGCTCCTCTAAGATGACTCGGAATCAGCATCTCCACACAGAATGTTTGGATCACACCAAGCACTAACGCCACCCCAGGACAGCCTTTCGATGATGCGCAAAATGATATCAACTCCTGGACGATATGCTTCATCACATATGTAATAGCCGCCTCCCTTGACTTATGCCTCGAGCATAACATCAGAACATCTACGTATTTGTGAGACTTTTCACTTTGAACGTGTTCGATATATATCTGATGACCGTCAAGGAAAAGTCGCAGATAATGTCGAGAACAAGTCATATTTTCCTCGGGAACATGCATCTCGGATATCAACTTGCGTCTCATGAACATCTACAATCATAGAAAAATTGGTAAATATTGAGTTGGACATTTGAATAAGGTGCTGCAATTAATGAAAAGGGGGCATTCTATTCATCATACGCAAATTACAATCAGAACTTGACACATAGAATGTTTTCGCTGTGTTTATGGAATCATGATTGAAACTCACCTGGAAGCGTGGAAAAAAAGCAGCAGTCAAGGACATTGTTCTCTCATCTTGGCATTGAATCCGAATGCCGACAAACTGTGAAGTCGCACTCCTATTTGCCCAATTCATCGACTTCACATGCGCACTTTCTTGATGATTCTGTTCCTCCTTGCTTGCATGCTCAGGGATGAAGGAAGGAATGAAATACTCAGAAGTATCTTCAAGCTTGAAACACAAATCTAAATTGATAAGGATGTTTTCAAGCATCTCTCTGTCCACATTTTGAAAGCGTGGTTGCTTTCCCAGAAACTTCTCTATCAGTCCAGCAAAGACACTCTCACTCACAAATCCGTCCTTGCTTGCGTATGAGCTCTTTCCAGAAGAAGACTCAGCTTTTTCAGCTTGAAAGTGTTGACCCACAGCTATAAGCTCACCCAAGAAGGTATTGGTGAGCCAGTTGGGATCGACAATGATGTAATCAAGGTTGGGGATGTAAATGATGGATCCAACATCATTCAAATAGGATATGATAGATTCCATTATACTTGAATGATTAACAAAGTAAGCAGAAGATGATGGAATGAAGCTAGACAATTGTGGAGCACAAAATTCATGAAACTTTTTCGATGACCACAAGGGAAATTTTTTGTTCTTCTTGGTGTTTGTAACCAAGAGAGAGATGAGTTGAGAACACAATGCGGGAACCTGTGGGGATTTCTCTCTCAACAACTCGTGGAAATTCTCAAGAATGTGCTTGTTAAGAGGAATAACTTGCTTCTTCTCCCGAGCATCCACATGAAAATACTCTAGAATAGGGCGGAGATCCACAAAATTTGCGAATCTTTTGGTCAATTCTTTCACTATGGACTGGGCCCAACTCAAAGAGTTGTATTTGGCTTTATCCTTGTGAGAAATCACAACAAAAACTTGAGGAAGATCACGTCCGGTGACCTTAGTGCTAGATGTGATAAAACTCAACCACTCTTCCAACTCAGTTCTGAAACAAGAGTCTGGTTTAACTGAAGATGTTTCCTCACAGAAGGGGCTATACATAAAAAGAAAAACACAAAAATTGTTGGTTTGAGGGAATAACACATTTTGAAGGGTACGAAAAATCCATTGTCCTGCAAGATCCCAAACTGAGATTTGCATATTGTCATCATTTTGCAATAACTCCACTTCAATACCTTTCGTCCTCCATAGTACTTCCAATTTACTGAATAGACTGGTTTTGCCTGGCCAGCTTTTGGCTTGATTTATCTTCATCAGAGTTTTACGCAATTGAGTCTTGCCTGCATGCATGTTGGAAAAAAGAATCACAAAAAAATTCATTTTGATTTGACAATATATTCAGATATGCTTCAATAAGATAATCTTTAGAAACAATATGACATGATATTACATTTAATATGTGCAGATAAATTTGATTAAAAAAATGTAGAAATCACCAAAATAGTTCACATTATATAATTAGTGATTTACATATTTGAAATTTCTTTCTTTCCGATTCTTTCTGTATACACATCAATATATCTAGATCAAAATAGCATTTGTTATATCAATCTTAGTTTCAGAAAAGTAGAAACATATATTACTAGGTGGCGTAAACTGAAAGGAGGGAAAAACTGAGATTTTACAACGCATCTTACCTGCTCTAGGAGAGCCGCACAAGAAAAGTCGACCAGCTTTTGCATCTCCAAATGTTAAGTTGGCTTTTCTGAAAACGGACATGTACACGGCCCGCTTCTGGTTCTGGTTCAGTGCCTCTTGAATCTGCGCCGCCTTTCCGTCCCTTGCCCATGAGGTTCGCGAGACCTCGATTTCCTGCAGAGCCAAGTTCACTTGCAGGACCCCCATCAGGTCCCTGAAAGCCTCCTCGTTGAGTTCGGACTCAGACAAATCCAAGTGAGTGAGGTGGTTCCCTCGCATGCACCGAACCAGTTCCTCCCATACTGCCTTCGAAAGACGTGTGCTTCGAAAATCCAATTGGAGAAACTTCAGTCCTGAAGAGACCGAAGTTTCTCCAATTTTCCCATTCATCGGGAGGATACTGAAAGTGATAAAAGAATTATTACCACGGGCCAATATACTCTTCGATTTGATACTCAGAGATTTCAGGGATTTGATTTCCCCGCGCAGTACCCCACCTAATAGGTTTAGTGATAACATCACTTCAGCATCCCTCGTAGTATCGAGTTCAAGCTCCACTGTGGGGTTCTTGCCATCGGAGCTAACAGAACGAACAAAAGCTTCTATTGACTTCCAATCATCATATTCAAAGTCAAACTTAACAAGTAGAGTTGTCGCTATAGCATTAGCATTGTCACGTATGACTTCGCCGAGCTGGTGCCATTCCCTTGGACGCATTTGGTAAAAGGACAACTCCACTTCCTTCAATGATGGGTTGGAAATAAGAAGTTCCCTTAAGTTCCCTTCTCCGAGTCTATCCATATTCCTAAGCTGAACCCGTTCAATGGATCGGTTGCCTTCATCTCCGGCCAATGCTTTCAGCAACAAGGCTGGTCCCCACTTCTCCTCACATCGTAATATCAACTCCTTCAAAGACGAGCTCTCGATCAAAGCCTGCGAGAGGACTTTAAGGGCCTCGTCCTCCATATTCTCATAAAAGCCGCCTAATCGCAACGTTTTTAACAGAGGAGCACTGTTGATCATCTCAGCCACATGCTTCACCGCTCTCGAGTCATTCCACGCTTCAAATAAATCTAAAGACTGGAGTTTGGATTCGCAGTTTCCTCGTAGTCCTGAGACGAGATTCAAGAAACATATGGAACTCAATCTGCAATAGTACATTTTCAATTCTGTTACGCTGGAGGTATTCAGAATTCTCCCTAGCTGTAAGCACAACGTCTCCATTTCCCAATCTGAACCCGCTAGATGAATTGGAACGGTTATCATTCGTAGAACGGTGCTATACTTGAATCCTCTCAAAACCATCTCCCATTCGCTAGCCATCAACCTGGATACATCTCCCCCGCAAATATTATGCACGTCCAGAATCTCAACGGTGTTACAGCTGCTGATTGCTTCCAGCACTCGAAGGCGCACTTGGCTTCGCCACCCTGTGATCGTCGAGAGCGATGCACGCTCCGGAAAGAACTCCAGAAATTCTGGCCCGTTTAAATTGGGAAGCCGCGTTATAGGCTCGCCTTCTCCTTCCAGACGCTGTACAAGGTCCTGGATGGCGGAGGGAAGCTCCGGTTCCTCGTCTGCGGAATCCATTTCCCGTGTCGCAAGTTCAGCACCGTCACTGACGATTGACGTACCTGCACCTTCCTTTCTCTCCTCCACTCTCACCGAGAAGAAACATGAGCTATTTGGCATTCGCGGGCGAAATGTAACAGGGCCTACAGGATTGGAACAGTACTTCAAGTTGGAGACGGTATTGCCCCTCTCCTCGATTCGAAAGCCCGGCTCTCCCGAAATGAATTGACCTTTCCTGCATGTGCGTGCTGGGCATGAGACTCGTGTGCGTGTGCACAAGTAGCGACACAAATATCACTTCGGTATCTGCTGGATCATGGAAAATCAAAACAAACGTAGGGAGATGGTGCAAATTGAAAGCAGGAGGCTGCTTGAGCTCGGGACAAGCAACGGGAATCAAAATAAACACAGAAGACCAGGATTTTGGTTCCAACCTAAATCGTAGACCCTGTGGCAAAAAAGACTTCACGTCTATCGGAAACGACTGACCGAATTGAGTGCACAAGATGAAAGCTATGCATGAGGATCTGAAATCAAGTTCTTAGCAAAGATGGTGCGATGTGAAAGCAGAAGTTCATGGAATGCATGATATTGCAGATATCTCAGACATTTCAAACCCTGAGTTCCCTCAGATATTTCAAACACTCAGACATTCGAACACAAAAAACGTGTTCCTTCGTACTCTGTGATTGGAACATGGAGTTAGAAGCTCAGAGTAGATCTTGACTTTGTTGTGCAAGCGAAGAGGAAACGTGGGTGAATGCGTCAATGTGATGATATACTCGATGATGTCACACTGAGAAGTGAAATTACAAATTTTCTTCTTTATTAATCCATTTATCTGGGATATTTGATCTATTCGAGAAAGTTGATGTATTCCTGACAGGTGAGTGGCACATGCTTAGTCAGCTTGGTGTAATAAGCATGTTACGTTTGTTTTCCTACTTTTGACCCAGAACAGTTGTCTACATAATTGTAAATAACTTGTAGGTTCAGAAAAAACTGATAAGCTTTTTGGGAATTTACTAACTTTGATATCGAATAACTGTGTACAGAGTATACCAGTACTCGAGGCTCTAAACTGCTGGAATGATTGTTCTTCTAACTCAACTGTCAAGCATGTGAACGCATGCACAGTTCTAGTTCCAGATTCTATAGGTCTTTACACTTCAAACATTTCAAATCGAATTTCGTCCGTGCTGAGAACACTCTTGCTTGTTTATCGCGTCGTTTGGAACCAGCATGATCCTGGCTAAGGAAAAGGTGAATCTTCTGAAAAAGTTATATTTTCGGAACTTGCTTGCAACTGAAGACAAATTGTGTTGTTCACAGGACTTGAAAAATACATCATATGCTAAATGTTAGCTGACAATAATTTAGAACAAGACATTATTTATTAAAAGTGAAAGTATTATGTATCTCATGATATTTCTTCACTGCTACAAAGATTTTGACTATAGCATTCTTCAGATGTTTCAATTGTTTTACAACTTTTGGCGCTTTGATTCTTGGGTTGTTTTATTTAGATGCATCATCAAGATTAATGCAACTTAAGAATATTTTAATATTAGAATTTTACTATTGATATAAAATGGAAGATGTTTTACGACTTAAGTACTAAATTTGGGACAAAAAGGTTATCAGAGCTCCATAAGTAATTTTTGTGAGGTGTAAACCCTTAACCCTCCGTTTTGGTCTGAACCCTTGTTTAGCTGAAATTACAATGAACATGACATTCACTCCATCAGGCCACCGCATTTTTTTTTGGGGTTTGAAAACTGTGACCTCAGTTGAATATTTCAGCCAGGAAGCTTCGTTCTTCCCTGGGCTTATTCAACGCAGTAGGACTGTGGCAACTTCAAGAGTCATGCGTATGGGACAAAGCTCGTTCTCATGTTGACTATTGACGTGGTCATCAGTTGCAGTTAAGAGGGCACCATGGAGCATTTGCAGCCCGGCACAAGTATGTCAGCAGCACCTTCTGAGATTACTGGCGTACGTGGAAAAATGGAGCCATCGTTTACCTGTGGAAAACTGTGACCTCAGTTGAATATTTCAGCCGGGAAGCGCTCGTCACTAAGGGCTCCCCACTTTCGGGGGAAACGCGAGCTCTGCCCGGGAGGGCTTTCTGCCCGCCCGGGCCCGCAGCCCGAACTCCCGCTTCGACCAGGGAGGGCCGCCCCGCTCCCGGGTTTAGGGGTCCCGGGGAGCCCTTAGTGGCGAGGGTCGCCTGCACCAGTGTAATGTCCAGTGAATGTTCTCAGTTTGCCCCGGACGTTACGAGCCATTCAAACCAGTTCAAGGAGAACTCCAACTCCATTGGACAAATCTCTGGGGCCTCTCTCTGTCCTGGGAGAAAAGCTTTGGAATCTGGGGACAGGGCATGTTCGAATGAAGAAGTGAGGGTAGAATTGCTAACCAAAGCCAATTTTGACTCTACTCACAAAACTGTGAATAATTTTGACCTCCTCCCCTCTTATGATTACAGACTTGGATGCACTCAATGCTGAGTTTGAGAACTGCGCTTTGGTCTGGCACACAGCTTGGGACTTCTTGAAAGTTCTTCCCGCATGGATGGATGGTCCTTTCTCCAACTTAGATGCGGAAGAAGTCCAAAATAATGTTGGAATGTGGTACAAGAACTCTGCCAAGTGTTGTAAGGTGTTGACGAACGAGTCGAAAATAGTAGCAGAAGAAATGAAGAGGAGAGTGGAAAAATTTCAGGTTAGATTACCCTCACATGCTATAGCACGCTCGCTACCTTGCTGCTGTTTCTTGTGATAGAAAATTTTCTTTCACATGTTCTTACGTTTGCAGCTGATTCTGAATCAATTCACGGTCTATTGACTGCTACCATGAACATGAAGAGTTCTCATTTTGAGGTTGGTCTTATGCATGGTAACCCATGATATTGATTCAACAACAGGAAAATGTGCACAAGTTCCCTGCGAGGGAGCCCGATGGTCGAGAGGGAACGGGCGGCCTTCCCTGGTCGAAGCGGGAGGTCGGGCTGCGGGCCAGGGACCCCTGGCATCGGGCGGGCAGAAAGCCCTCCCGGGCAGAGCTCGCGTTCCCCCGAAAGTGGGTACCGCTCAGTGACGAGGCCCGGAAACTCCGTTTTTACTTGGGCTTCTTCGTCGCAGGAGGAGTTGAATATTTCAGCCCGGAAGCTTCATTCTTCCCTGGGTTTATTCAACGCAGTAGGATTGTGGCAACTTTAAGAGTCATTCGTATGGGACAAAGCTCTTTCTCATGTTGACTATTGACGTGGTCATTTAAGAGGGCACCATGGAGCATTTGCAACTCGGCACAAGTATGTCAGCAGCACCTTCTGAGATTACTGGCGTACGTGGAAAAATGGTGCCATCGTTGACCTGGCATCTATGGCGTAAAAGTCGTTCTTGTGGGGCCTCCATCTCGGCCACGCACACATTGACTTCACAGTTCCCCACACTTGCTTTATGCTGTTTGTTTGGAACGTAGCCATAAGGATTTAGTTCTATCCAACCAGTATGCCGAGAAATATAAGGAGGACGAAGCAATATATCATTGCGTTCTGCGTGGGGTCCTTTTTGATGGGAGGACCCCACGCAGAACGCCGTAGGACCGCGTTATTCCTGGCGTGATGATTCTTCAGCCTTTTTGGACAGTCCCTCTCGGTGGGTGCTAGAACGTGGCAGCTTCAAGAACCTCAGCGCCCAAGAGGTTTTCAGGTCCAGTCTCCAAGGAAATAGGAATTAGCTTTTATTATTTTTGGACAAGGGTGAGTATTGTGGAGTTGCTGGGTCCGGGAAAAGCACAAATCAATCGGAATCGCACAAAACACGAGTAGGACATGGATGGATGATTAAGAATGATATTTGAACGTGTTGAAACACGTAAATTCACCAAAATGCGCTGACTTGGATGTCGTATTCCGCAAAGCGAAGAAAACACTAGAACTTAATTTCACATCCGTGTCCATGAATTTCGAGATTTGTACCTTAGGAGAAAAGCTTGACTAGCTTCACATCAACTGTATGACAAGAAGTAGTGAAAGAAGCAAGACGTGAATGTTCAACCAATCAGTTAAAGTATCAATTATCAAGTATCAATCAATTTTGTGGATTTAAAAGCTATCGAGTCAAGAATTTGGTAAGATGCTAAAACCTCCGTTAGACTTTGCTGTTTGTCTCCTATCATACTCAGAAGAACTGAGGGGAAAAACAAGGTAACTTGATTAGAACTGACTTTACTGACTGGCATGGCACGACGAGTGCACCATTCTCAAGCCAAATTTTCGTATCCGACGTTTACATAAACCGCCACACGAACACAGACTCAGTCTTGGTTTGACTAACAGTACACGGAAAAAGTCTTACTAAAAAGAAATGAGCTTGGACAACGGTGGTGCGAAATGAAAACCTGATACAACGAATTTCCACAATTCCTTGACGCAGGCAGCAAATGAGCAAGTGTGCTTCGCCCGACACCTCGCCATCATCAACCTTGATCAGATCAGATTGCAAGGCCAATGGGTTGACGGATAAAATTATTCACCGTGTGGGTATACGTACAGCGCTATGACGCTGATGAGTTCAATAGATTGTAATCTCGACACGTGTCTCGTTGTCTTGTCGAGAAAGCTGTTTTCATACAGCACTGTAGACACTCCAGAGACTCTATTCAGTGTACAAATAACCGCTCCACCTTGCATCGCATGGATCTCCGAGATGCTCTGCAAGGAAAAGGAGTCCAGACACGAGCCATAGTCCAGCACTCGAATTTACTTCATGCAGACGTATTCATGGTTGTGGTGACTGATTCGCAAATATGGTTGAAGGTGAGACTACCTCGAGGATCCCAAATGCGAACTATATTAACCACACGTGAAGATGATCGACACAGTTTGGAATTGTCCATAAACCGCATTTTCTCCGTACGGTGTTAGCTCGTTCCCAAGACTATCCCTATCGTAACGTAGCCAAATAGTCCATACAGTAGATATTACTTCACGCTTGACAGATTCTCAGTTTTATTCCCGTATTATGATTTAATTCTAACTGTTCCCGCAGCTATAATGCCAAAATAATGTAGGGGATGGTCGAAAAGCAGCCCTTTCCCCGCAGATGGCCCTGCCAGTGTGCGAGTGGGAGATTCCCGGAGGACTTCTGACGCCACCGATGAGTGAGTGGCGTGCGAGAGGGTCGATGACCATCAGGTCTGCTCGGCGTTTATCGCGTAGAGTTGAAAGATCGATCCTCCATCAAATCGCGTCGACTGGAAATAGAAGGAATCCAACCAATGTTCACCTTTGAGGTGAACATTGGTGGTCAAGACAAGGCAGCACAGCGTCTTCATCACGCACTCTTCCGAACAAACAGACATTGCGCGCAATATCATGTTCAAGGCTCAAGAAACTTAAAAACGTCGGGTTCCTCTCAAGATTCTGTCTGACATTGGGACATCGATAAGCCTGAAAATGGATGAAGAAGGCACGAATGCTGTAACCCCATCAGGCAAGAACGGAGTGATCCGAAGAATCAGATGAATTGGTAGAGCACGAAGAGACCAGAATCGATTGATGAGAAAGAAATCGCAACAAAGGTTGCAGCAAATAAAGCTTTGTACGAGCCTTGTCGCTCGACTGGATTGCCATATGTGGAATACCTCACTGGTGTACGAAATTCAGCGCAGAACAGACGAAATATTCTAAACTCTCAACAGATCGA